TTTCTTCTTTTTCTCTCTCTTTCTTCTCTTTTTCGTTTCTGTCTTCTTCGTACGCGTATCCGATTGTGAAAAAGTAGTGATTCTGCGACGATATTATATTTCAAACCCGTGGCCACAATCCTTTTTAATATAAAAGCATAGTCGACAAAGCACTTGGATTCGTCCTCTGATGAGGATAGGGAATATATTCCAGATTCCCCTATCCATCCGTCATTTCTCGCTCGCCGTCGGTCCAGTGGCCGGGATTCCAAAACTGCCCTCAGTGATGATATCCTGACCCCAGAGATCCCAGAGTCTCGGTCGTCGAAGCGCAAGCGTGCTGCCTCCCCTGAGAACAAGTCAAAGCCAAAGCGTGCCAAGGCTGCCCAGCCAGTCCAAGATACCTCCTCTGTCCTCAGTCTCTTGGCAAATCCCCCGCCGAAGGAGAGTATGAGAGGGAGTCTCCGGACAAGCAAGCCCTCTAAGCCCGATCCTCCCTTTGTACCATTCGCCATTGATGATTATGCCGTTGATGGGTATGCCTTTAATGGATATGCCATCGATGGCCCAGTGCAAGATGTGCATAATGAATCTCATACTCATGAGTTGTTGGACAGCATCATGATGAGGATCACGAAGAGCTCTGTGGGAGAAGATGACACGCTAGACGAAGAAGACTTGCAGGCTATCCTTGACGACGCTGAAACCACCACGGAGGAAAGAGAGGCCACTTCAGGGGCCCTCGGGGATTGCCTTCCTGCTCTGGATGATCATGATGCTGACTTTGCTGACGTTGACGACGATAACCAGCAAGAAGATGATGAAGATGATGACAACGACAAGGATACCATGACTTGATACAGGCAACGGATGCCAAGTGCATTGGAAAGGACACTGCACTCTCCTGATAATGTACTGTCTTCGAACTGTATCATTCGGCGACGCGAGCGCATATTCACATGGTAAAAGGATAGGATTCGACTCAGATCCAGTTGTAATAATGCAACCGGAATTCTACAAATTAATTCGCCTCAATAGACGAATTGACAAAATTCTCTCAGAAAATAAAACATGAAAAATTTCGATACTAAAAGGCTTTATTAGGAAGGAAGGTGCAAGCCGACTGCATAAGTTGGAGTGGGTGCGCCAGTGACTTGTATAGGGAAAAGGGGCGGGGATTTAATTGGCTGACAGTCCCAAGTGGGACTATTATATAATTATAATAATCACGTCTGTCAGAGTTGTCGATACAAGAAATTTGAGAGCACAGAACAGTCTATACGCATGCTCCCTTATGCTATCACGCAAGTTCTAGTGTTTCCAACTTTGTCTGGAAGCTTAGGGTTGAAGTAAAGATGACTCCATGTCATTGTTCATCATTATGTATCTATCGCTTAACTATGCGTCATATCAATCATTAAAAAGATCCCCATCGCTTTTGTCTATTTCCTACTCGAGATGAGTCGACTTTGCGTCTCCCTTTTCGGCAAACTCCTGAGGGAGTGCTACCGGACGAGTCTTTGCAAAACGCACGGTTGCCCAGGGTGAGGGCGACTCCTTGAACATCAAATCGATCTCTTCAAGGTTGCGGCCCATGGTTTCCGGGAAAAGGAAGTAGACCGAAAGAGGGATCATGGCGGCGATCACGCAAAAGACGATGTAATACTGCCATCCGATCGTATCCAGGGCGACGGGCGTCACTAAGTCGGAATATTAGCAATCAATTCTTTTCAACAAATTTTCGGAAACTCTTTCAGAAAAAAATTCCCAAAAGAATTTTTCCAGATGTTATAGACAGGTTTACTTACCGAGGGCAACTACAAAGTTCCAGAGCCAGTGGTTGGCGGTGGAAATCGAGCTCATGGCCATACGCATCTTGAGAGGCGCAATCTCTGTGCAATACAGGAAGTTGGCACCCAAGAAGCCAATGGGGACAAAGGTGTTATACAGATAGATGAAGCATCCAGCTGCGATTTGTGCGGCCTTGTTGGACGTCGGGAATGACGTTGTAATGGCCAGAGACATCATGCAACAAGACATGCCGACTCCCGAAATGATGAAGACAGCACGGCGACCCAGGCGATCAATAGTGAAGAAGGCAATGAAGGAAGATAACATCTTCCAGGTGAGCGCTCCACCCGCCAAAGCCTTACTTGTCTCTTGCCCGAGTCCAAGGTTGTTTTGAAATAGGATAGGGGCGTACACGCTGACGAGGTTGCTGCCCGACATTTGCTGATAGAACTGAAGGAGGAGACAAAGCAGGAAGCGGTATAGTAGCTTCTCTTCGCCCATCTTCAGCATGTCCGTAAATTTCATGGAGGCTCCGGCAGTCTCCTCGAGCGAGAACTCAATTCCAGTGACCTCGGCTTGGACCTCGACCGAATCCTCTGGGAGACCACGGAGGGCGGCAACAACGGAGCGGGCCTGGTCGCTACGGTTCTTCAGCACGAGCCATCGAGGAGACTCGGGGAAGAAGTAGATGGATCCAATCAGGATCAAGGAGAAAACAATGGAGATGGCAATCGGCGGGCGCCAGGTCACAGGTCCAGTCTTGAACTCATAGAAACCCAAGTTGATCCACGACTCGAGGACATATCCCACACAAATAAACAAGCCGGTCAGGACGACCTGGCGACCTCGGTTGACGGAGCTTGACGTCTCGGAAAGCCAGACGGGGACGATGGAGCTCAATTGGCCAACACCACCGCCAAGAATGATGCGGCCGACGATGAATTGAGCGAGACCAAAGGAGGATGCTTCGAGAATGGAACCGATCAGGGTAAAGATACCACCTTTGGATAATGTTAGAGAATGAAAAAGTATTGAAATGTGTCTTGAAAATTATGCTTACCAGCGCAAATGACATTACGGCGACCAAAGGCGTTACCAGTGTAGGAGCAGGACAGAGCACCGAAAAGGGCACCAATAACAAAGACGGCAACGACAACACCCTGGATGGTGCTGTGTTTGCTCTTTGTAGCGCCAGTATAGTTGACTGTATCGATTTGGGGGAATGTCTTGACCCAATCCTCTTCTGATAGAAGACCACCAATACCTGCCTGGTTGTAACCAAACAAGATGAAGGACGGAGCGACAATGAGAGCGAGCTGGAGCTTGGCCAGGGCCGAGCCGGTGGCGCCAAAGGGAGTACCGGGCATCTTTACGAAAGGGTTCGAAGAGAGTTCCGGGAAGAGATGAATTGGGCTGGTCTTTCACGGGGACATTGCAAAGGTAGCAAAGCTGGGAGACCTTTAAATATGAATACTACTCGGGCTCACAAAGGCCAATTGCCCCTCTTCTTCCCTTTTCGACCACATCATTGCTGAATTCCACACCACCAGCTGATTAACCAAAACCCGTCCATCCTTTTTTTGCCAGCCCCAGCCCTGCCCTGGGGATACTACGGCAGATAGCACCCACCCACCGACCGACCGTACTTCGTACGCAACACAAACCACCCACTAGAAAGCGTGTTCGGAGGACCCCGCGCTGATGTCAGGTCGGTCAGTCATCGTGGGGAGAAACGTTCCCACGGAGAACCCGGTCCTGAGAAGTGGGCCGCGAGCCATCTGCTATGGACCCCGTGGCCGACTAACTGGTCTCATTACCTTGTTCCCCCAGACTCGGCGCGACCCAGCAATGCGAGGGCAGCAAAACGCGCTCAAATCAGGCACGGCTGATTAGTCTCGTTAGTGACCCAGAGCATGCAAGATGTCGGTGTTTTCTCGGCGGGGCCCCCTGTGGCTCGATGGGTCCGGGCTCCGCTCTCCGCAACGACTTGCGGCCTAGCGAGCAAAGCGGTGTCACGGCCGCGGGCATCTAGCGCCTTTAGAAATCCGGAAATCCTTGGTGTGAGTGACAAAATTCCTCAGGACTTGACTCCCAAGCTCCTGGCCCAGGGCGAGGTCGGCTGGCAAATCGTCCCAGGCTTGCCAGGGGGGCCCCAATCCACCTCGTACTCAAGAGTCAAAAGAACGTGTCATTGAAAGGTGCACAAAATAAAGGTACGTCACGAAACTAGTAGACAGCCGGTGCAGTGTGCACAGATGGAAGCCAACTACTACACACTACACAGTACGCACTCCAGCGAGTAGATCCAACGGTCTCTGGGCTACATACCTAAGCACTGTCTTTTTTGCTTGCTGGCCAAGCAGCCACCTTTTCTTGGCCACTGATCACTGCTTGGCTTCTGGGTCCTCTACTACCTACCGTCCCATAATATGCGTGCCAGAGCGTGGACTCGGTGCAGACAGACAAGCTTCCCAAGCTTTTACCAAGACGTGTCAAGATGCACGACGCTCCAGTGTCGCCGCAGATCGACCGTTGCAGCACACAACACAACGTGTTTGCCCCGACAGCCAGAATTTCCAGAAAATGCTTCACAAACCCGCCAAGACATGAGGCTCCCCCTTTGCGCTAATGTCCAGCATATGCAGGGTTTCTCTCTTTCTCATCTTGGGGGGGAAGGGATCTCGCGAGATTGTAAATCTGGACTGTGGATAGGATTTAGACTTGGCATTGGCAACAGATTGATAGATACACTTTTGCCCCTCCAGATTTGGAAGTTCTCAACGAAATCCTTCTGATTGTTGGCTTCTACACAGGAATCTTTTTTCTTCTTGTGGAGCGGGGGAGCGAGCAACGGACGGGGTGGCGCTCGAGACGGGGCGAGCATCGTAAGCTCTTTGGGTATGGTATCCACTGCTAGAGACGGAGATGTCACCACTAACAACAAAAAAATCGTCGCTCTCTCGGCTTTAGGACGAATCTTTATTAATACCGCATAACCGCCTATCCAATCCCCCTCCCCTTCGCATCGTTTCCCTTCGCGCTTAACATGTTATTGGAATGGGCCACGGACTGGCACTTACGCATCTTGACCTTACCCTGATCCATACGCACATCTGTGCTCACAATCTAGAATACCCTGGATATGGATTTTGTTTCGCCGTCCTACCAACCTTCCTTACGGGCCACGGATTCTCATCGGCCAATTTTACGCATATTGATGCTTGCACAATGCAGAGGAGAGGAGAGGTTCCAGAGATAATAGAGAACATTTGGCCTTTCAGACCCCATTGTTGCTGTCGCGCCTACAGCGGGTTGGAGAAAAAAGGCAGAGAGATAACAATGCTACTTCGACTTACGTGGCCCAATCTACGCAGCAGCAGCAGCAGCAGAGCTGAGACCTATGCGTTGCGTTGCAGCTTGCTGGTTTCCACATGTGGCAATCTCGACGTGATGCGCGGCAGGAAGCTCAAAAAATGTGGTGGTAATATGTGACTGTGCGCGTGAGCAAGCAGAGATTTTGTTTGCTCTCTCATGAACGTATGATGCGCGTCAAATGGCGCCAGCCGCTTCACCGTTCGTCTACAAGGTTCTCGATGCCGGCATTTGCACATGGCTCTGATCGAATTTAATCCATGCATTCACTCACTGTCCGGCTGATGCAGTCACTCAACTGGCGACTGCCGAGTGTAGACAGCAGAGACATATTGTTTGCTTTTGATTGTAACCGCTTAGTGCGATTCGCAGAACAAGTAATGAGGATTGATTTGTCGATACATTGGACGAGTCAGCGCCAAACAGAACACGAGTCGAATAAAGCAAGTCGGGTCTGTTTCCCCTATGCAGCAAGGATCCGCTGGTCTCACAAGGGACGATAGTGCCATCGTACACATTTCCGAAGTCCCGATTAGAACGTGTTGCAAATAGGAGTATGCAAAGAATTTGTCAAGATTAGTCCCCTTGGGTCTGGGGGGCAAGGAAGCTATGAAAGAAGTGCTTACTAGCACCAAAAGCCCTGAAACCAGCACTGGGCACTATATCTTTCCGTTTTTGTATACTCCATACATTAATCATATAGCAGAAGGATCTGCCCGCCACAAACTCCATAAACTTATTGAGTCGTGACTCAATTTGTGTGGGCGTCGAGTCCCAGTCCAGTCCAGTCCCATTTGGTGGACGGGTAGCTATCTAGCAGTCTGCAGTCTAAGGTACTCAGCAGCCCGGCTAGTAGGTAGTGAGTGATGATCGCGAGTAAAAATGTGGAATTCTCACTCGGCTTGATCAGCGTTCTTGATAACTGCAAAGAAGTGCGCAAAAAAGGCATCGGGGTCTACATCGTAAGCGACAATATCGTCCCCTTTGCCCTCGTCAAAGCCTGTCGCTCCATCGTTTGGATCTAACACGACCCTGCCCCTTCTCCATTTACAAAGGTCGGGTTGGAAGATGACGGCCGCCGCCAAGGGGTCATGAAAAGTGAAGCGCTGTTTCTTCTTCAGCCACCAGTCGCCAATCGTTTGGATTAGGGCACCTAGATCCCCCAGGTCTTTATAGATCCTCTTTTCAACGTCTTCAGTCCATAGCGTGCACGGCCGGGTGACGTCAAGGCCGACGAACCAGTGCCGCGGTCGCGGGGTCTTGAGCATGATGGCGGTAGCCGTCTCGTCGCAGAGCATATTCCACTCGAGATGACTTTCGGGGTTGAAAAACGTGCCGGCCATACTGACGATATCTCTGCACAGCGACGGCAGCTCGGGGTCCAGCGCAAAGAGCGTTCCCACGTTGCTGAGGGGCCCAATGGTGAGGAGCACGACCTCGCCCGCATTGTCGCGAATGGTCTGGCGCAAAAAGTCCACGGCCGTGTTCTCGGGCCATTCCACTCGATGGTCCAGCGGCTGCACAAACTCGTAGCTCTGAACGTCGGGCTGGCCATCACCTTTGAGCAGAGGCTCGCGACGACCGAGGTGGATCGGGACATCGGACCGTCCGCAGACACGTAGCAGAACCTCGGCGATCGCAGCGCGCTTCTCAACACCGCCGGTTACGATGGTGACGCCCAGGAGATCGCAATCTGGGTGTAGAGCCAGGTAGGCGAGCGCGAGGCAGTCGTCGGGGTCCGTACCGATATCGGTGTCAACCACCACCTTTGTGCGACCGGCTCGAGACATATCCGGAGCAGTAAAATGGATATTGGTGTAGTCAAATAGTATTGGGTAAGTCGTTGACAATATTGAAAAGTAATGATTCGGCCTTTTTAATGTCGACGACTCTCGAGGCTTTTCGCTTCAGGCAGAAGTCTGAGAGATCATTGATGCAAGTGAATGGTGCCCTGCAAATGCCCGCCATACGCCAAGCTGTACCCCTCTATTATTCCTCAGTTGTCGCGGCCGTGCAACAATTTTGTAAGCAAACAAATGAACAAACGTGAGTATTCGCAGTAGCTTGTCTTTTCAAGGGCTCTTTGTTAGCGAAACAAGCATGATGAGATTGATTGCAGCATTTATTCCAGCTTTCAAAGGGCATCTTGTCTCCAGAGAGCCAGGTTTATTCTTGAGTAAGCTATTCTGTGCTAGAAGTGGATCAAAGTTTGCCAATCTCTTCCATTGTACTCATCAACGTCCTAGCCTTGTTATAATTGGATATATCGACGACACAGCTAGCAAATGAAACCGAGGGAAAAGATACACGAAATAAAAAGAAGCGACCATGTCCATATGTACTGTTCCGTAAATGTTTCTAAATGATATTGAATGTCTCATGCCCCCAAACTTATACCACGGGCTCGGTATTACAGCGCAATTTTCTCTGTCAGGACTAGGGGATTATGGATTTGGAGAGGCAGCCTTGACACTGTTTGCCTCATTATCAAATAAGTCATTATTGAGCCCAACTGTGATAAAGCTGCTGTACATCAGTAAGACTGATCTTTAAATCAGCCTTACCGGGCATGATTAGTCCGGCAGACGTTGACGATCGTGGATATATTAGATCTTTCACATAGTGATATTTTTTAATCGAACAAAATCTTCAAGACACCGACCTTGTCTTGTACAGGATGGATGGGCATATATGTTCCAAGCGATGATAAGAAATCCACTAATACGAACGTGAGTGTATTCAGGCATTCCTATTTTCTTTCCATTCGCTTTCCCCTCCTTGAAACCGAGGTGCCTAAACCTCTGCTGGTACAGTTTGTGCTTGAAGTGCCTAAATTTGGTGGAAAGAACGCTAAAAACGAGGCACCAAACCTTCGATAGAAGGCTGCTAGCGATGATGACATGCCCAGCTCCAATGAATGGCGCCTACTAGGCATTCATCCATCTGTCATCCCTCCCTCAAGCATTTGTCACTTGCGACCAACGACAAGGGAAATAAACAAAAACATCATCTATTCGTGGTATCGCCTCCAGTGACGGCTTCGATACTTGCATGGTCTGAAAGCTTCGTCCTTTGCACGATAGGCCTCGACTGGCCTCGACGAAGCGGCACCTCGGCGGTACCAACTCCGTGTACCTACTACCTAATATAGTACCTGCTGCACCCTCATAGAAGTCGACGACCACCACAAACCTCGTCTTTCCACCGAACGCAACTGCCACGAAGCTGACAAAAATCCTCTCTTGATTTCACAACATTTGCACCACATCAGCAATCGCACTCCAGTTCGTGCAACAAAAGGTCAAAACCACGTGATGGGCGTTGCTGCCTTCAGTGTTGCCCCACTTGGTCACCAACTACGCCGTGATTTCGTTTTGTATCATGTGTAAACAAACTTTTGGATAGAGAACCATTCTGCCCTTTTCTATTTTGTTTCTCTTTGACTTGACATTGATATTACCTCGACATCATACACTACCCTTTGGTTATAATTTCGCTCCTCCAGTCATGGAGGGCACCGCTGTACTCACAGCCGAGACGTCCCCGGATGATCCCATTCCAACATACCAAATCGACCTCGCCCGGCCGCCCGAGACACGGTACGACGAAATCTCCAGAGATTTTGGTCCCCGTATGCGTTCTCTAGTAGGATTGTTCGACGAAATCATTAGTTGTTTTGTTCCTATAGCATTCTTGCGCCGCATCTTTACCATCATTGCAAGTCTACTGGTTCGCCGTGTCTATGACCCAGAGGAAATGAAGGAGATCCGGGGCATTGCCGCGGCCACTGGAGTCGACTTGTACTTGCTCATTACGCTGAACAACCTTCTCGATTGTCTCCTAGGCTGCACCTCCGGGGCAGCGTTGGTCAAGCCCACCAAAGGGACACGCAAGGCGGCAGTCCGTAAGTGGGACGAGCCGCGGCTGATGCATTTTCGGACCTTGGATTGGGGCATGGACGGATTGAGGGATCTTTTGGTTGTTCTGGAATTCGTCGATTCACGCGCTTCTGGTTCAAAGGTTCTGGCGCGGTCCATTACGTACGCCGGTTTTGTTGGCACACTTACTGCAGTCCGGTAAGCCTCGATCTGTTTTTACGACCTTCAAGTCTAACACTTATTGAGCGAGGATCTATCGCTCTCGTTGAACTTTAGACCAAATCATGGGTGTCCCACGCGCTTTTTGAGACATCATCAGATCATGGTTCTTCTGGGTCGACGCAGATCGATTGGGTCTATACTGCGGAAAGAAATTCTAGATCATAGAAAACCTGCGGCTGGTCGAGAACCAGTACTTTGTGTGCGAGAGAGAGCGCAAAGGTTCAAATCACTTCGTGCACCGCCATGCTACATTGTCTTTTGTGACGGGAATGAGGTTGCAGTCATCGAGAAGGACTTGAACACTGGGAAGACCAGATTCTCCAACGATTTCTTGGTACACACAAACCATGATGTGCATCATCTCGTGGATGCAAAGTCCGAGGAATACGCTAAAGCCTCATTTCTTGGGCATGAGGAGTGGCTTGAGGAATCTACAAATCGAAAGGAGTGTTTCGAGAGAAAGTGGACCAGGCATCTGATAAGGAATCAGTGGGAAGCAACTGCGAAAGAGTCATCTCATGGAATTGAAGGTGGCACCACGACTTATCCCGTACAAGAATCGACATTGAAACGATGGGTAAGCTCGGGTACAACAATGGCAGATTGTACACACTTTGCATGCATCATGGACCCCAAGAGCGGCGAGATCAGGTGGCTGCGGCGTGGTCCAAAGGCGTAATATCCACATGAGCAGGTCTAGATATTATACGAGATCACATCGTTGTGTGAATAATTGAATGACAGTTTCCACGAAACTGCCATGTCCTCCACTTTGGGTTGCATACAGTCCGTCGACAAGCAACTGGATGTGCTGCGATTTGTCGTTCCAGGTCGATCTCAAAGGGCACATGCATCGCAAGCCATGCTATAGTACATGGACGACTAAACATATGACGGTCGCTTTCCAAGTCTCTAGCTTCCAGGTTTTCGTCCTTGTGACATTGGTGGCGCCGGGCGCGGGTGCTTACAGAAGTTTTAGCGCTCGGTCTGTACCTCGTGAAATACTTATAAAATTATTCACCAATGACTTCTCTTTCGGAATTTTCGTTTTCTTCCTCTCTTGACTTGTAGTACTTACAGCTGTATCAGAAAAAGAACGATGGGTTCAAATGTACAGAATTGTTTGCGCATATCTACCGTGTCAAGATTGAAGGTACAACGCATCTGGCCGTCGTAATACATAGGTCGCTAATCAGTGTAGCCAGGTACAGGTGGGTGCCTGTGCATCCCCTATAGTTTAGTGTACGAGATCCCCAAAGGCGGCACAACCGGGGCCGAATCGAAGGATTGGGGGTAGGCGGTGCACTCCACACTTTATTAGCATTCACAGCCACCCATCGATAACGTGGATCACAACGAGTGGTTCCATCTGCTACTTGTGGAAGAGGTAGAGAGCGGTCTCAACCCTGTGTATAAAGAGTTATTCTCGGGAATTGAATTTTTCTCTTAGTTTGGCAACAAGCAAGACCTTCAATCCACGCTTGAGCGAAAGAAACATCACACATCATGTTAAACCGTCGTGGCCCCATTGCCAAGCTAGTTGGTGGAGCAATTGGTTTGAAAAAGGAATATGAAGCCGATCGAAAAGAGAAGAAGCAAGCGGCGCAGTCATCATCCTCGGCTCCGTCCCATGACGACGACGCGGCGAGCAGCTCTGCGCAACATTTGGCTGGGGACAGCGACCTTTCAGACGACGAAGACTGGGTGCATGGCCTGGACGAGGTCCAGCAGTATGAAGCCCACGAAAACGGCTCACAGCATGATGATCCCAACGACATTGACATTGACCGTCTGCTGAGAGAATTCATTGCGCGCCATCCGGTGCCGAGCGAGCAGTGCCATGGTGCGCTACCAATGCCCGTCATCTTACCGCAGAGGCGGCCCGAGTCCCGCAATCGGGGGTTCGTAAAGGCGTATGCCCCGGTGTTGGAGAATTGCGGCATCAATCAGGCTACCTGGTTTGAATTCATCGATGGATTCGAGAAGAGCATCAAGGCAAATCCATGGTAAGTACACAAATACTCGGCTTCCTTCATGCCGATGAACTGATACGATCCAGGTTCCATGTGGCCAACGGAGCGATTTGGATTGCTGGCCACGTCGAGCAGGCAGTTGTGGGCATCAGTCCGCTGGTAGGGTTTATTACCATGGCAATGCACGTAAGCATGGAGGCTTCGAGGAGAGCATATGGTATGTGATCATGCTTGCGCGAGTCCAAGAACCTATGCTGACTATATCCCTATCCCTAGTACAATATCAGCAGAACCAATATCTTGATACCATGAACGAGGAATTCTTCAAGCCGCGTGGTCTTTACTGTCTCGTAATGACGTATAGGCCGTCTTCAGACGACCTCGTTGATCATGTCGACATTGACCACAACATTGCAAAGACAATCGCTACACGAGAGGAGCAAGGCAAATGGAAGCGCGCATTCTCCACGTCATCCTCCACGACGACCCAGGAGGCGGAAATTCCAGACTGTGCACCGCTAATCTTTCCCCAGCTGGATAGCCTGGACGACAAGGAGAAAGGAAATTCGATCAAACAATTTGGCAGCTTTGTCTCGGACTACTACGATCGTCAAGCAGCAGCCAAGTTCGAGGCCGAGCATCCAGATTCCAAGATCCCCGTGGCACCGCGCAAGGAGTTTGCCTCTGATTATAGCGATCCAAACACTGTAGTCGGAAGCGGAGGACTCATTGCTATTGCTTCTGGCGGCAAATACAACCCGGTCGGTCCGCTGGGCAAGCTCCGGGAGAGAGTCAGCGAACGCCGCGCAGAGAGGGGCATCGATCGGCCAGGCATTATCGAGGCGCGAAAGCGAAGGAAGGAGAATCGGCCACTCCGCCGTATGCTGAAGCAGGATGCTCTCTACCTCATGGTGGTCAATCTCCCAACCCAAGAAGAGATGGACCAAGTACTGGCAAAGGTGAATGCAAGCCAGAGCACATGATGGCAATGGTGTGCATAATGGCATTCAGTAAATTGAGCTTTGTTTTTTTCTTGAGAATAAATGATATATATTTTTCCCCCACGAGTTCCTTTTGAATAACAATGGCAGGGATTGAAACTCGCACTATGCTAGTCGATTGCCGGCTGACCGGACACCGTCCTTGCAGCGGAAAAGCGCTTCCGTGAGGGTTGCAGACTCGGTGTTATTCCGCCTCCGAAAGTCTTACAGGCCATTCCGCAGACATGGTCTCCACCTCTAACATTTAGCATTGATGAGTTTAATGAGAGGCGATAGAGTGAGTTAAATTTGGCCACAGTGAATAATCCTGTTCATCGAATGTAGTTATCGTAAGTCACGGATGCCCACCAAACCTGACATCCCATGATAAACATCGTAGAGAGCGGAGCCCAACTCTGCCGCGTTGCCATGGGACAAGAGACCATCACTTATTTGTAAAATGAAGTATGCATGGAAGTATCAATGAATTGTTTTGAGTCAAAGCTTTGTCCCTGTGACTTTCCATGCGACAGGTCAGCACACCTGGATATATATATGCTACAATTGGGCGCCTCGGAGGATAAGTATATCCCCTGTAACACGGATTCAGACAGGCGAACTTTGTGTGTTTCGTCATACATACCAAATACGACACTAGACCAATTTAGAAGGAGAAATTTTATCATATAAGGGTTTTTTTCAGTTCATCAAAGCTTGTTCATGTTGTACTTGCATATCAAGTGGCATAGTGACAGTCAAGCAGTACTATCACAATGGGGTTCTTTGAGAGCATATCCAGCCAAGCTGGAACAGCAACTCTCTTCATTGCAAGTCTAGTAAGCACAGTTTACAAGAGAATTGAAATCAACACTAAAAATGATTAGGGCTTGCTGTACACATTATGGAGGTGTATCTACAACGTCTACTTTCACCCACTCGCTCGTTTCCCTGGACCATTTCTCGCCAAGATCTCCCCGATATACAGCATATGGGGGCTCTTTCGAGGTCGATGGCCCTTTGATGTGCATCAGCTTCATCTCAAATATGGACCTGTACTGCGCCTCATGCCCAACGAGTTGGCTTTCACCGACCCCCAGGCATGGAAAGACATCTATGGCCACCGCCAGGGCCATCCTCAGTTCCACAAGGACCCGATCCATGTAGGATCTGTGCAAGATATCCCCGGTGCAACCACTCTTACCATGGCTAATGATGCCGACCATAGTCGACAAAGGAGAACCTTGGCGCACGCCTTTAGTCAAAAGGCGTTGCTCGAGCAAGAGAGTATCATCAGGGGCTACGTTGACCTGCTCGTAGAAAAGCTCACGCCCTTTGCATCCAATGGGCAGCCCGTCAACATGTGCGACTGGTTCAGTAGGATACTCTGCAAATTCCGATGACCTCAGAAACGGTGCGCTGATAGTTTTGTGCAGACTTTACGACGTTTGACATCATTGGCGACATGGCATTCGGTCGACCCTTTGGATGCCTTCGTGAAGGAGTCTTTCATTCCTGGGTGTCTCTGATCACTCAGACCATAAAGGCCGGCGCATTTGAGCAAGCCACCCGGCGCATGTTCCAGATCAACAGCTGGCCGCAACGGATGCTGGTTAAGCTTATTCCCAGTACACTCCGTGAAAAGAGGTATCGCCACCTCGAGTTGAGCCGAGAGAAATGCCTTCAGTATGTAGCCAGTATCATGTTCCATGTTCCACACCCTGTCTAAAACTGACATGTCATAGACGTATCGAAGAGGGTGTTACCCGCGAACACAACGACTTTTTGTACTACATCCTCCGACAAAACCAAAAAGGTGGAGTCAGTCAAAACGAAATCATTCTCAATAGTGCGCTGTTCATGTAAGTCATCACATCTCCACAGAGCTCGTGGCTTTACGCACTGGGAGGACCTCCAGCATGATTCCAGCTGACCAACTCAAGTGTCGCCGGTTCCGAGACAACTGCCTCGCTCTTATCCGGCCTGCTCATGTGGCTATTGCGCACGCCGCATGCCTACCACCGACTGACAACAGAGATCCGCTCCAACTTTTCCGACGCCAAGTCCATGACCTTTCTCGCCCTGCAGGAGCTGACCTACATGAACGCGTGTATAGACGAGGCGCTGCGCATCTTCCCACCAGTGCCGACGGGCCTGACGCGCACGGTACCCGAGGGCGGCGACACCGTGGCCGGCGAGTTCATCGCCGGCGGCACCACGGTCTCGGTCTACTCGTGGGCAGCGACACATTCGCCCGACAACTTTGCCCGGCCAGACGAGTTTGTGCCGGAGCGCTGGCTCGACGACGCCGAGGATCAGGCGCGCTACGCCTCTGACAATAAAGAGGCGAGCCAGGCGTTTAGTCTTGGTCCCCGTGGCTGCATCGGCAAGCACCTTAGCTACTTGGAGATCCGGCTCATTCTGGGAAACCTGCTCTGGCATTTTGATCTCGAAAGGTCGGACCTCGAGGGTAGTAATACCGGGGACATATGGGACGTGGAGGGAGATCTCAGACACGTCAAGGCGTTCAACACCTGGAACAAACCGCCACTCATGTGTCGGCTCACGTTGGTTCGGAGATGAAAGGACAGCGACAGCAAATGTACGTAGATAAGCGTGCTTCGCGAAATAGCAGGTCATGTGGTTGATGCATGAATTTGGCCTTTATGATGTATATTCAACTAGAAAAAAATGCAACGTAAAGGTAGCCTCGACATGACACCCGTATCAACAATCCATGATTCAAACCAAGCCATCAAAGCACAACAAAGTAAATAAATGAAATAGAGCCAGATTTGCGAGCACCTCAACATGTCATCTGTAAGGCCATAGGCCTGTTGCTCTGTACCTGTTACCTACGAAAACAATGGGAGAACCGAATTAGGAAGTGAACGAATGAGTACTCTAGCTACTAAGCCACTAGAGTAATAATCTTCAGGCTGATAATCTCTCAATCTATACTTGCAAGGTGTAGCTGAAAGTGTGATACAGAAAAGAAAGGTGGAAAAGCTGTAGCAGTTGCAGGGGGAGTTAGGTATGTAAGTACTAGTAGGCAATGCTCACACAATTGATACACACCACACTCCGAGGCTTACACTTTTAGAAAAGCACTGGTTTACGGCATTCTATATATGGCTAGAAGAGATGTGGACGAGATTTCCGGGATCAAAGACCAGATTTGATGATCGCTGCCGCATGTTCCGCCACGCCATATACCGTCGCCTGGGGATTGGTCCTTGGAGTGATCGGAATGATACTCGCATCGCACACACGAAGGTTCTGGCACCCATACACACGCAACTGCGCATCCACCACACCACCCAATTCCTGAGGCATCATGGAGCATGTGCCGGTGAAGTGATGAGCGCCGATGGCTGTTTTGTGTAGGTAATCCTTGGCAACATCTAGGTCTGCAAAGCTCCCATATGGCGGTGCAGAGGGGCTGCGTTTACCGTCCAGTTTGAGGTGACTGGCTAGTGGTTCGGTGGATGCAATCTTCTCAACAACCTGCAAATGGCGCGCCATGACCTCGACATCAAGAGGGTGCGTCAAATACTTTGGGTCAATGGCGAGGATCTTTGCGCCAGAAGGGGATGCGTTCAAGTGCACCGAGCCGCGAGAAAGTGGATGGGCGAGAAGGAGGGTAATGGTGAGATACTTTTCATCTCCCGCTGGTGTCGGAGCCATCCAGCCATCACCTGTTGCTCCAGCATATCCTGGTATTGCAAGGTAGCAACCAGACGCCTCCGTGGGGGACGAGAGCACAGAGTGCACAAAAGCCTCATGGTATTCCTCAAACGACTTTGGCTTCTGTTGGTTCTCCAAGATCGTGCTTCGCAGGAGTTTGACAAGCTCTGACGTGTTTCCCCCAGTCTCGACCCGGGGAGTTGGCAACTGTGCGATCAGATTCGCACCGCTTTTGGAGAAGGGACCTTTCTGCTTCGAATACGCGTCCATCGCAGCGGCAATAGCGCCGCCATCTTGTCTTGCAAGCTTGTCGATCGTATCGAAACCTTCCTCGTCGCGTACTTCAAAGTTGAAAGTACACATGGGGTGGTTTTGGAGATTTTCACCGACATTGGGGTTATCAATGACAACATCGATTCCCACTGACTTCAGTAGGGCCGCATGACCGACACCTGAGAGTTCCAGCAATTTAGGAGAGTTGATAGTCCCTGCAGTGACGATGACTTCTTTGCGAGCATTGACGATTTTCGTCTCTCCATCCTTGGTCAGCTGCACGCCAGTAGCGACTGTCTTGTTTGAGGTATCAAACAAAATCTTCTCAGCCTCCGCTCTCGTCCAGATTGTCAAATTCGGTCACGATTTCGCGGACTCGAAGTACGCATTCGCGGAGTAACTTCTCTGCTTGGTGGCAGGCTGCACGGCGTCCAAAGCTACTGCGCTACCGGAGAATTCACCATCAAGGGTGCCTCCGGTGGTGGGGAACCCGAGCGATTCAATGGTCCTTTTCCACACGTCGGGCCATTCGCTATCGTCTTCGGGGGCACTCAGCTGGATCGGCCCGCCGGTCGGGCACTCGGCATCGCCCAAGGTGTACGACTTTTTCATGGACTTGACGAAACGGGACCAGCCCCATCCTGGATTTCCCAGGCCCTCCCAAGCATCAACATTGGTCTTTGAAGTGGCGCTGAAAGAAAGTCCATTGAGTGCACTGGAGCCGCCAAGCAGCTTGCCCAGTGGGAAACCAATCTCCCGGTTTTGAAGCCCTTCCTACTCATCATCAATCCTCGAGTAATGAATCAACGGTGGCCAATGAATTTACCTGGGGAACGGTACTGAAGTTCCAAGCAGACTCTGAACGAATCAAGGTTGGCCACATGCCAGGGATAGTGACTCGAGGATCAGCAGTCTGATCTTCACCAGCCTCAATCACGAAGACTTCGATGTTTGCATCCTCCGAGAGCCTGGCGGCTAGCACAAGACCGGCCAGCCCACCGCCAACAATCACATAGTCAAAGCTGCTTGTCGACATGGTCTCAAGATGCAAACAGTTAGTACCTCTTCAATGATGCACTCGCTGACAATGGGAAAGACGTATGGGAATATGCAAAGAACGTCAAGATCTCAATACACACGTTTTCGACTCATTTGACCAGAAAATTGAGGTCCGCATCTCGTCGACAAGAAATGTGGACCGTCTGCAGCTTAACTGTTGGTGACAAGGAAGTGCTGCAACATCCGAGCACGGATCAGGTATTCACGCCACGTTATGATTCACTCCGACACAGCCACTGAACGTTGCATCAGCGATCAGCACAAGTTCCAAGTCAAATCAACGAGCCACAGAAGTCGAGTTTTACTTTGACTTCCACCAGCTTAAAGGCATAGTCATTTCTAGTCAGTGATGCTTGGGCGCGAATCGATTTCCTATTCGACCACTTATACCTGGCATCTCAACAATTTTCTGCGCATCGACTCACTATCATGAGCTCTTCGGAGGCTCCCCCGACCACAAATCGGGTTATTTTGAAACGGATGGAACTTGCAAAGGCCCAAGGCAAGATTTGCCCTAAACCAGTCGTTAAACTCCCACAACAAATCCCGGGAAAAATCCTCCAAAACGTTGGTCCGCGCCAAGTGGTTCAGCATGATGACAAGGTAACAAAATTCCTTCCGGATGGCATCGGTCAATCCGAAGCGGCGGCTATGCGTTTCGTATGTGAACACACGTCGATTCCGGTCCCTTATGTGCACGAATCAAGCGACTCAACCATCAGAATGGAACTCATAGAGGGTGTCACACTCGAGAAAGCGTGGAATACACTGTCGGATGAGGAACGTTCGAATATCAGCACCCAGCTCCGGGGTTATATCGAGCAGATGCGAGATATCCACACCAGCGGCGTCCGTATTGGAGCCGTAGACGGGGGGGCCGCCATCGATAGGCACATGATCTATAGCTGTCAAGGTGGGACATTTACCTGCGAGGCAGAATATAACGACTTTCTGCTCGAGGGCTTACGTAGCCATTGTCCGGATGCCATACGAAGAATACTCCAAAGTCAACTTCGGACTGACCATAAGATAACATTTAGTCACGGCGATCTACACGGAACCAATATCCTTGCTCGTGATGGTTGCATTGTTGCTTTACTGGACTGGGAACTCGCCGGGTTCTACCCTGAATATGTTGAATACATAGGGGCGCTGGTGGGTGCTTCTTGGACAGTCGGGTATTATAATGCATTGCTAGATATCTTCTCGTGTCAATATGATGCTGAATACCTCACTTATCGTACTTTGGATGGATTTCACAAGTATTCGTAGAATTCATTACGGATTTTCGGGCGCTGCTAAAACTGCTAGACGGCATGACCCTTGATATTTGATTTCCCCACACGTCATTTCTCTTTTCCTGATCCAAGTCCATGTTTAGCTCCGGATTCTTTCGTCAATCATTGTTAACTACCGGTCCTTAGGTTTGCTGTACAAAGGTAGCCTGCGCCGACGCGGCTGCAACAATGTCGGCCACGACGCGAGGGTAGTTTGCATACAAGGGCTCCTCCGACGCGTCCGCGCCGACAGTGGATCGCCGAGAGCTGATGCTAATCTTGAGAGACCCGTCGTTGCGCAGGCGTCGGGGGTCGATCTGCACGCCGCCCGCGGTGACGACGCGCCACCGAAGCCGCGCCGTGAGGAACGGCACCACGTGCACGGGGTCCAGGCTGCCGAGCTCGCCGACCTTGACGTAGTCCATGAGCTGCGAGGTGATGATCATGGTGTTGCGGACCACGGTGCGGTCGCGCGCTTTCGCTGCGCAGTTGCCGCAGGTCTCCTTTGGCGCCGTGAAGATGTGCGTCGCGCCCACGAGCGTCGGCGCTACCGCCAGGTCCCGCAAGCCCGCAAGTGTGGCCGACGGCTTGGAGAGGACAAAGTAGGGGACGGTGAAGCTGTCATTCAAGGACATCCTAAACGCACGGAGGAATTAATCGGATGATTTATCAACTGGGGTGGGAATGGAAACTTACGCTTCCACACGATCATCAATGTACCACTCCCACAAGACCTGGTTAGTAGATTTGGTCTCTGCTGCTTGACCTGAAGCTGGAATTGAAGCTGGTAATGAGGCTGCAGCAGGTTCTGGAGCAGGTTCTGGAACCGAGGCAGGAGCAGAGGCTGGCTCAGATGCGGGAGCTGAGGCTGGAGCTGTGGAAGACTGGACTGATCCGATCTCAGGAATGGGCGCAGGTAGTACCTGCACGGGTTGGTTCTTGAAGAACGACTTGTCTTCCATCGTAATTGGCTTCATGGCCTCAGGGGGCTCTCCAACATCCTCGTGAGGGTCTGTGGGGATGGACCAATTATAGTTTGCAGCGTAATTGGCGGCGACCTTTTGCCCGGGGAAATTACCGTTTGCATCGCCGGCGTCTTCAAAGTAGTAGCCGAGAGTCCTGCTGTCCCTGACATCATCCGAGCTCCAGAAATCATCGTCGGTGACTCCTCCGGAAGGTTTCTCACGGCGAAGGAATGGCCGCAGCGCCTCCTTGGCTTCCTGTGGGTCATAGTTGAACCAGTTCGTCTCCTTATCGGCATGCACAGCTTGCCATATGGTGAACATGCGCTCGATGTTACTGATTTTGGTCAACGAGGGTCTGCAGATGGACGCGAAATATGGATGATAAACTTACTTGTGGTGGAACCAAAAGATGGGATCAAAGGCCGCTACCGGTACGTAGCCAATATGACCCGATGCCGATCCAAACCCACCAAGGTAGACGTGGTACATGTTGTGGATTCCCTCGAGGGATCCGCTGAAAGGTTTGACCTTGCCTTCGAGCTGCTTCTGTTCCTCTGTCTTTCTTGGGTCATCCGGAGACGAGGCTGGCGCCTGTACATTGCCACGGGCGACAGTACTCTTGGAGATGATCTCGTAGTTGCCATACTCTGGGTCTGTAACGAGCCTGACCGCAAGTCTTGCAGAATCCATACGAATCTCGTTCACGACCGAGTTCAACCTGTCGGGGTTGTCTAGACTTTCGGCCATGGGATGTCTAGATGTGCGGTTTCTACTCACACCAGTCTCTTCGCTGTAAATCTTCTTCCACTCATTTTCTTCATTCAGCTGCCCAGCCGTTGCATCGAAGGCATGGAAGTTGAGCGGGTTCCGTTCAAGAGTTCTCGGAAGGTTGTCTGGCTCATCAAGCACCACGACCGTTGGAGCAGTAAAGATCAACGGGACACAAAAGTTGTACTTGTAGCTGGTCCTCTTGCCATCGAGGATGACACCCGGGAACTCAACCTTACCGCCTCGAGGTCTGTGATAATCCCAGTACGGAAGCCGGAAGTCATATACCGCTTTACGATACTCTGTCTTGTGGGGCTCGTTGTACTTGTTTGCATGTTCCATCATCTTGACGAACAGTGCTTGCTACATATGAAGTATCAGCGGAGAGTCTTCAGAAGCGATAGGAAGTGGTATTCACCTCCAACATTGCAAGGTATGGCCGATGCCATGTGGGAAATGTTGTCTTCGAATGGGCGCAGTAGCCAGGATCGCCCGCCTCACGCTGACGACCAGGAATCTCGTACCAATCCTGGCTGGGAAAGCCGTGAATTCCTGTATGAATAGCGTTAGCAACCGGCACAAGATTCTGTCCTGAAGGACTTGCCTGCAATCTGGAAGAATCCCATGATATCACTTGAAGGGACCTGCTGCAGCTGTTCGAAAGCTATCAGGAACAAGTTGAACGCCTTTGGATTTTTCTCCATCAAGACGTCAATGTCTAAGCGAGGCGCGAGGCCTGCGACCTCGTGCAAGCCAACGATGACGCCCTTGTTGTGAGCATCCCGAAGGCTCTCGAACTTCCGGTCAAATTCGGCATCCATATTTTTGGCAGCAATTGATGATTTTTCAAGGAGAATTCCTGTGACAGGTGAAAATGCTCCGAATGCAGAGATGATGAATCTGGGGATGATACCCCTTAAATATCTACCGAGTAGCTCGTCAACTTCTGTTGTGCTCTTAGACTGTCACTTGGAAGTGGATGACGGGCTGGACTGTCCAAAGTGTCAAAAAGGTTTGGACTATGTAAGCCATGTAGTCTCTTCTCACCGCGTCTCGACCAATACCGTCTTCAAAATGGAAACCATTGGATACGATTTAACAATAGGGGTTTGACTAGACTCATTCGAAGATGAATTTCGTATTCGAGCCCAGGAAGACTAGGTGTGCGGCGTGCTGCCAAGCGTAGTAGTTTCTTGGACTGGCGGGTTAGACCACCAAATAAGACTAGCTGAACAACAAATAATCCACCAAACATCACTTGGCGAGGTCGCGAGCCCAATATTGCGTCCAACACGTGTAGTATCTGGTGATGCGCAGATTCATATCTTGACAAGCTCTAAATCAATTCTACATTCCAAGATCGAATATGTAGACAGGCGCGGACGTCCCATTGACCACCGTCCACACTACAGACGATGGCCATAATACAGACACACTAGTGACTCGGTAGCTACCGAGGCGTGCTTTGGTGGAGATTATAGCGGTAAACAGGGTACAGCTGAAGAGTTGAAAATAGGGTAGATCGCCTAAGGGTCCAGCACTAGAACAGCCACTTCAGCAAGGTCTGGTGTAGCTGAACGCAAGGTCGCTGGAAGCTTGTGGTATTTTAAGTTTTTCTTGGTGTCTAATACTAGCCTAGTGGTGAGCTTATTCTTATTGTCAACAATACCCCTAAATCTTTATTTCAATGTCTCGACTCTCAATCCGCGAGCCGGTATGCGTTGACAATTTGTGGATCTATACAGGTGGTTGATCTGGCGGTGTGGTGCACTATATTTTCAGCTATAGACCCTCTGGTCTAGCCGAACTCAAATTCAGCGCCGCGGGCCGGGCCTAGAACCCCCTCCTCGAGATGTCTGTCTCTGAGCTTCGTGACACCTCTGAATCTGACATGTTGGGACTTTGGATCGATGTGCAGATTCAATAATTGTCGCGAGTAGGGGAGATGCTGCAAACTTTCACCTTCGAAATCTGCAAAAGCCTTCAATCATTGTTAACTTGGTAAGAACGAGATATCCAGAGATACCTTCTTCACGCCCGAGGCATTCCAGAGCCTCGTCAGGCTGTGCGCCTTGGTGGCAATGCTGCAGCTGCATGATGAGACTGAAAGACTTGTTGCTTGACAATACGAATACTCCTACCAAACAAGCTGGCCAGGTCTATAAAGGACTTTCTGATAGCAGGGCAAGTGAGAAGTGGGCGGCAAATATATCAGCAATGACGTGGTCAACTCCCCGGAAGAGTGATGAGCTTCGTGACCAATTCAGCTTATTCAGCAAGATCGATATCGATACGCCTACGCAACGTCTACTATTTCGGAAGATTCAAAAAGACTTCGATGGGGAGGACTATCAACTGGCACTTGCTCAACGAAAGACCGAAGCATTGCAGGCAGAGGGTGATGCCAGTAGGGCCAGGAAGCGTAGGAAGGTTAAAATAAGCCCAAATTCGAAGTTTGGCGATATTAAAGCTATCCGGAGGACTCAAATTAAGGTTGGCGAAGTTGGCGATGATTCAGATGAATCAGGGGACCTTTGGAACCCTAGTGATAGTGAATAATGCATTGCTATAGCATTAAAATAAAGATAAAAAATAATTGAAGTATATGGTTAAAGTATAAGCGCATCGAAAATGGGGCTGCCCATAAGTGGGTGACGGACGTTATTTTAGCATATAGAAAATCAAAGTGTTAATGCACTAGTGAGTTAGAATAATCTATTTGGCGATTTGGCTTAAAAATTAAGCCATTTAATTATATTCGACCTTTATATTTAAATAATTGCCCGAGGGTAGGAATCCCCAAATGTTGCGCTGTGAGGAACCGAGAAATATCCTGGCGAATTTATACGAGATCTCATTATAAGCAATCACAGGTTTAAGCTCATTATTAAACACTAATCATTTAGACGAGCTTATTAAAATATCTATTGCTCCCGGCTAACTCGATTATCCTCAAATACGTCACGTATCGTTTAGTTTTGCCCCGGAGACTGGTATTCCTGACGTAGTTTGACAGACATCCGCAGCCTCTAAGGAGAATGCCCCTCTCAGCTCATCGCGCGGACCATGCAGAATCATGCTCATCTCTCGCAAGACTCGGGAGGCTGAGAGGTGGTTATTCTCATCGACGACGCGGATTGTTCGCAGCGGTTTCCGGACCGGTTGCAGTACGAACTCATCCTCGGCGACCTCGGAAGACAAGCTTTGAGGAATTAGGACCGATGGTACCGCCAACATGCAATCGATCTGCGCACTTTCGAGGAGACCGGGGAGGAGTAATCAAGTGCTAACGAGCAATCGGTTGAGCAGATTTCTAGTGAGAAGGACTTGCACGAGATCGGGGAGACGTTCTTGGGATGTGACTAGTATTAGTCAGATTGTGAGATTCGAGTTCGCGAACGGTAGTTTGTTGACATGATGGAAAAACTCATAGTATCAAGATTGATCTCGCTTTCCCCAGCTTTCAGTGCTCGCTAATTTGTCTTTAGCACTAGTCAATGTGATCCATTTTGGTTCATCCGTAGATTCGCTTAATGCGTCTATTCCCATTCCTTCCCATTTGCACCCATCGCAATTTCCACTCTACATTTTCTCGCTTACACATTGGTTCAAAAGCTGTTTGGCAGTAGCTCAAACTGAGTGCATCGGCCAGCGGTGTGGCAATATAATTGAAGTTGTCCTTCAAACAAGTTGCTCTTTAACTCGATTACAAAGTGGCTTGAAGTCAACTTACGAGAGATCACGCAGATATGACGAACGATTTCCCCCGATTTCTCGGAAGACTCATTGTCCAATGTAATCAAACCAGGCACTACATATTTCACGGCTCACATGTAGAAGCATGGTGTTCATGCACGATGTATACCGCTTCTGAGACATGGTGGCATATTGTCAACCAGGCCAGGGGGCAGGTGGATCTTACGTATAAAGTGGTAGCTACAGTAATCAAGACATCATGAGGATGACATATGCGATGTAAGAATAATAAGACGGGAATATGGTGTGCGAAGGAATATAGCACAAAAGAGAACCTATATGGGCGTCATGAGGCATCAAGGCAGAAGCACATTAGTATAAAGAGGTACCCGCATGTCCTCACATTGATTTACTTGATCTCATAATCAGTCTTGCCGGACCAAATTCCTATAGCCTATCTTCAACCTTCTCCAGTGTCAAAATGCACCACTACAGCACCATTACCATTCTTTTCACTTCCCTCGCAGTAACATCTGCATTTTCTGCACCTCATATGGCTTCAGAGGCCCCCCAAACGATTGAAAAACGGGAAACATTCCGCGGCGTAAGTTAGCCGTACTCATCGCAGTCATGATTATCTTTATATAAGTCGTGAACTGCCGCTAATCCACGCGATAATATTGCCTACTCGCCGACAATACATGCCATTGGTGTCAGGACTATACAGGGGTATACCGTGGGGGTTCACTAAGTGCCTATTTGGGAAACCCGTCTAACGTGGGATATCGGCTATGCTTAGCCGTCTCCGCGAAGGAATTGAGATATAGTCACTATAGCGCTGCCCAGCTTTCTGCGATTGGGCAGGCTTTTGCTTTCAATACTGAATACACCTACCATTGCCATTCTATCACTCTTACTCGCCCTCACGTTCTAACAATTGGGAACGTGATGACCATACCAGAGCAGGTAAATGCACCTGCAATACTGGTAACGAAATAAGTAACGTGAACCATGAGAATTCTTGGGATATTTATGTACTAACTAGGGGGATATTCTTAGTGTCGAACCAATAATGGCCGTTGTTATTATAATGACGAGACCCTTAAATGCGTTTATCCATAAGGTTAAAATTGTAATTTGGGCATTTTATTACATACTCAAGGTATTATGATGAGAGCTGTGTAAAGGGTTATAGCACAAGATATTTAGTCAATTAAAGAGCCTTAAGGCACTTTTGTCAAACAATATATGGCTTTTTGTAACAGGTTGGCTACAATCTGGTCCATTTTATCTAGCGCACAGGGGGTCTGAGCACCGCCAACCCACTCCAGGTAAGTCTTCGTCAGAATCGACATATTCCTTTTTTCTTATAAATGCTGATGAACTGTCGTGCTAGACCACTTGGACGTGGACGCTTCCTCGCAATCAACTCTCAGTCCTGCGGAACCCGAAGCTGAGAACGAGCTGCTCAATCTACCCAGCACTGCCCTAAAGCAACGCAGATCTCGAAGTGTGCTTGAAGATGAAACAGTCATAGCCAATCGAGATTATCCATGCAAGATTATCGGAGAGAAACAGATTAGAGGGAATACTTGGTATCTTATCAGGTGGAAGGCGACATTGGAGGTACGATTTCAAAAAAAGGTCCCTTATTCGAAGATAGGCGCCTACATCAAGCTACGGTACCAATGGGTGATCTCCAAGTACGCCAAGTCAAATTGAACGATGCGTGAAGCACTCAGCCAAGTCGAACAGCCACCTAGGTTAGGGCAGTCCATTATTAATGCCGGGGCATTCTCAACTGCATGCAACGCAACCACAATCACCCTCTTTCGGAGATTTCTTACCGAGTTCAATATCGAAGAACTCGCTCTTTTGAGCTCTAAGTGGTAGAGAGAGCTAGACTGTGCCGCTCAATTGCAGAAACGTCTGAGCGCCTAGGATTTACGCGGCAGTCGGTAGCCTTACCACAGCAACCATCAGCCATCTCCTACTTAGGCTTGTTAGCTGTATCACCCAGCCTGTCGCTTTGCTGCTTTTAGCGCCTGAAATTAGGGGCTATTACTTGGTCTCAGGTCTCGACTCAGTGACCCTAAAGGGATCCATCGCTAAAGCAATGGATGCAGCTAGTGCTAGCTTCCCTGTGAACCGCGCGCATTCAGGGAAATTCAAGAGCTACAGAGAGCTACGAGAGAAAATGCTGATCTCCAAGGTTTACTAGTTGCTGTATCACAACATTCATCCTGTCTAGGTACATATCCACGCTGCAAGGAGGAGACTGCGGTGATTGTGCGAGTCAGTGTCATTCCTCAAGTCATTATAAAATTGACTTCTTAATGCAACACTAGTCTCTACTCTACTCCCTACTCTTTCCCGGCCAACTTGATTTATTCTCTACACGCGTAACTCTATCTCTACCTTGTTTTCATTGAATACCTCTACCTTGCTCACATCGAGTACCTCGGCGGCGTCTCCGTCGAAGATGATGGCAATCTGCTCCAGGGATCTCCCGCGAGTCTCAGGGTACCAGAAATACACAGTGACTGCCATGATCAGGAGAATGACGACAAAGACGATGTAGTACCTCCAACCGATGCTGTCGAGGGCGATGGGGTTGGCAAAAGTGTTGAAGAAGATGGCGGTGATGGCGGCAACCCAAGTGACAGTCAGGCCGCGGCTCCGCAGCCTGAAAGGCCAGATCTCGCAGGGATACGCAGTCAGAAACGGCGTCAGGGCAATGTCGTAGCCGGCGAAGAAGATGAACAGGAACGGGATCACAGCTAAGCCCATTGACGCTTCGCCCTTCTCAGCGAACGATGCGGACAGGGCAGTCACCAGCACGAATGAGATGAGCATGATAAGGGCAGAAGCCAAGAAGAGGGGCCTCCGCCCAGCCTTATCCACCAATAGTGCACCGGCTACAGAGAAGACGAGATTCCAAACCTGGAGGCAGGCTGAAATCATGGTCTGGTCCGTAACACTGGTGACTCCCACGGTGTTGAGCACCAACGAGAGGTAATAGCTGACCACACCATTGCCAGCCCATTGCGCGAAGATGCCCAAACTGATCGATATGAAGAGACGGTATCGATTGCCAGGAGTCCTTACCATCTCCATGTAGGAGGCGCTGCCATGCGCCTCTTGCTCTGTCTTGATAGCCGTTTGGATCTCGGCGAACTCGTAACCAACAAGTGGGGAGTCCTGGTCACCACCAGCGTGGACCTTGACAAGGATCTCCCGCGCCTCACCGGATCTGTCCTGAGAGATGAGCCATCTAGGACTTTCTGGCGCCACGAGTAGGCCAGGGAGCGCAACAAGCGGCAGCAAGATCTGCAAGAGGGAGGGTAGCCGCCAGGCCCAATGGTTGGGATAGTTTCGTGTGGCAAAAGTCTCCCAGGCTGCAAGAGAGCCACCAACATACCATCCACACATGAAAAGAGCGTTCAGAATGCCGCGGTGGGTAGGATATGCGACTTCATTGATCAGAACGGGGGCGGCATTGCCGAACAAGGCCGAGGCGCATCCCACGAAGAAGCGGGCGAGGATGAAGCCGACATCGTTGGGTGTCAGTGCCTGTAGCACAGATCCAAGGACAAGAAAGACGTAGCCCACATAAATTCCGGGTTTGCGTCCGTACTTGTTGGCAATCCAGGCGGCAATAGGGAAGAATATTCCAGCACCAAGCCAGTAGATGGCGTTGATCCATCCAAGCCACGCTCCGCTAGGGTCGTCCATAAACTCTTGCCATTGGGACAGCGCCTGGAGGGAGTTCATGAGGGACCCATCATAACCATTGGCAGATGCTATATTTGCTGCGTCAATGGTGGCTCATAGGTGGGTTAATGGTCGCATATACTTACAAAAGAGAACCAAGGAGATCAAGCTGAAATTGAGCCTGATCAGGTATGGTCGTTTGTACCAAGGACCTTCTGGCAACACAGCAGCAAGCTCGCTGCCAACAGACTTCGAGCCAGCGGCAACACTTACACCCATGATGACAGAGATTTCGATCGTTCCGACAGGATGGGAAAAGAAAATTTTGAAGAAAAAAAAAAGAAGGAAAAAAAAAACCGAGGCGGTATACAAGTGGGTCTTCCAAGTGTAAAGGGGCAGCAAAACACGAAGAAGTGTGGTGACTTGTGATTTTAACCAACAGTATGTCTCTCACAAGGCGCCCAAAGGTTTATGAAGACGACCAGCTCTCGACGACGAGCTCTCCCGATATTGTATATCGGGATCTTGAAGCCCTTCTCTTGATCATCCCATGATCTCCTGGAATTTTTTCGAGTCTCATTCTCCACCGCTGCCTTCCCCCAGACTCCGGATTCGTCGTTGAATGGGGAAAGGAGGCTAGGGACTAATTTGTTCGGTACTAGTCTTGTTCTCGAACGACTGGGGTGGAGAAATATCGTGCAAGCGAAGTAATGGAGACATTATTGACCAATGGCTAGCGACGCACGTCCAATCGCATCGACGAATATGCTCCGCTCGCGGAGAAACGGATAATTCGAGATGGGACGATGGTCAGTATGGACATGACATCAACGGAGAATATGGACCTGTAGCGTCTTACGGAACAATAGAATTCATGGCGTGTTCCCAAGGGCGTAGAAACGCCACCGGGCTCAGACTTTGACGTCGAGGCCATCCTGAAGTAGCTGACGTTGGACGAAAAGGTCTCGCTCCTTGCTGGCAAGGACTTCTGGCACACTATACCCGTCCCAAGGCTGGGCATACCGTCGATTCGGCGCTCTGATGGGCCTAATGGCATACGGGGCACTCGGTTCTTTGGCAGCGTATCGTCGGCATGCCTTCCCTGCGGCATGGCCATTGGGGCCACATTCGACCAGGAGCTAGCTCGGGAGATTGGGCATCTTCTCGCTGACGAAGCCAGAGCAAAGGGCGCCCACGTCATCTTGGGACCTACCGTCAACATTCCCCGGGCGCCTCTGGGCGGCCGCGGTTTCGAGTCGTACTCGGAAGATCCCGTACTGTCCGGCTTGATGGCGGGAGCATTAACACGAGAACCAGCGGCCCGGTCCGAGCTTTCTGGGGAGCGGCACGATGGAAGAGACAGCTTCTGTCGAGCTTGTCAAGAGCCCCAGACGTACGAAATTCTGGTGCAATGGGGCTGCGCCAAGACAAGCAAGCTGAAGGTGCCCGCCACTGTTGACTTTGGACACGGCGGTTTCCGCATCAGCGGGTGTAGGCGCCTTGATCTGGCTCAGGGTATTGCAGACGCTGTCGAGCTGGCAAAAAATAGCGACCAAGTCATTTTGTTTGCCGGCTTGAGCGGAGAATGGGAGTCGGAGGGTGAGGACAGAGAGACCTTGGATCTTCCACCTTGCACTGACGACTTGATTGATAGGGTGCTCGAAGCCAATCGTAATACCGTCATCGTCATCCAGAGCGGGACACCTGTGCTCCTGCCTTGGATTCACAAGGCCAAAGACGTGCTGCATGCCTGGTATGGCGGTAACGAGACGGGCAATGGTATTGCCGATGACGTTTTCCAGACGTCTAGAGGATCACTCTGCGAGTCTCAATTATCGATCCGAGGGTGGCAGGTGTTTGTATGGCGAGGATGTGTATGTTGGCTATCGGTGTTTCGATCAGATGAAGGTTGAGCCTCTTTTCCCATTCGGACACGGTCTTTCACACACCTCCTTGACTATTCTAGATCTTCAGTTACGAGAAGAAGGAGACGCTTTCTTAGTCAGCGCCACGGTAGAGAATAGTGGCTTAGTGGTGGGATTGGATCAGACTGCAATGGGGAATCACTAAAACGAGCTGGGAAAGCAAGGGAAAATCCCTAAACGAAATCGTAGTAAAAGCAGTCAATTAAGTGGTGAGTTATGTAAAAAGGATTATCTCGCCACTTGGCGAGATACGAAAGCTATTATAAACAGTGGCCCAGCGACCGTGCTTTCCCGTATTTCCCCTACCACTTGGCCATCTTCACCTAATGGCTCGAGGCGATCCGAGGGCCTCGTCCCTAATATGAAATATAAAGAACACCCATAGGTCTTCGCCCATCAATTCAAAATATAAGCTTCCCATATTTCTCCCTATTCCATTATTCAGTTAAACTGACTGAACATTCGACCCGTAAGGCCGCGAGGCTTCACGACCTTCCTTGGCTCAAGTCCCAAAAGGCTGACCTGGTCGGGCGGCATGCGTCCAATCCTCGGCCCTCGACATGGCAATGTTTATGCACATAATGCAGCCGTCCGACCCAGCGGCCATACGGATTCGGTCAATCCTTACAAGCCGTCTGATAAAAACCCACGAGTAGCCATGCAGGAAGTATATGGTGACCGATTTCGCCACCTCTACAACGACAACACGTCCATCCACCGACAGTTGGAGAGAATCAATAAAGTTGTTGAAGCTAATCGACCGTATGGTCAGCTGGTTCCCGCCGTGCGATTCCTGGACATTCCCAATTAACACCATAGTTGAGACTTTGCTGGTCATGCCAAGAAACCATGTTAATTGATATTGTTTATACCTTCTTTAAAATTGCCTAAATACCTCCAACCAGGATCAGCAACTGTGCAACTATACATTGCACCAATCACAAAGCCGAACCCAACAGTTCCTAGACGCCCACCACAGGCGCTGAAAGCTTTCCTCGAGGTTGCTCATCTGCGACCAGGTGAATCGAGGAAGGTCCAGTTTGCAATCAATCCGACAAGGGATATGAGATATCGGGATGAGAATGTGGGCATGTGGTGCAGTAGCGCTGGTCTCTACCATGTGACTCTCTCGCAAACTAGTCGTGATGTCAGAGAGCAAAAGCTTGTTAGGCAAATAGACAAGACGAAGTGGTGGGATAGTTTGTCATCATGATCAGAGTATCGGCCATGTAGATATTTGTAACCCGACGGTGCGGCTTGATTCTCCCACAAGAAGAACTCTCATGCAATAGTCTGCGAATCTGCAGTGTTGATTCTTTCGCTGCGGTCGAGACGCGATATTATAGCTGTCAAATCTCTGACATACTCAGCGGCTCGCCTGGATGCCAGATCCTCGTCCCCATATGGACAGGCCAACATGTCAACAGCGACGTCGCACACTTTGAATGCCAGGTGTAATCCGTTGGGTTCCAGAGCGCTTTCTGGAATGGTATGCAGCACGTGCAGAAGCTGTCGACACATCGCCTCTCGTTGATCTTACAGTAATCTCCTAGCACGATTGTCGGGGTTTTCCGTCCCTTCCATTGCATCAATCTGATCGATAATGATACTCTGTAACCATAGGTGCGTAGCGTGGAGGTTGGCGCGCATCGTTGCGAACCAAATCTGAACGACGTGCTCTTGAAGATCACTGTCATGGGTGCGGCAGCCCCGTCATGGTTGGACGGAAGATTTGTGGCCTGAGCCCATTGTCTTAGCGGACCTGGGATAACGTCGAGTATGTACTTGAGTTCATACAAACTATCTTGGAGATATTTAACGTTTCCGGCCTTATTGGAAGCTTATTGACATTGGCATAGCTCTGAACGACGTGATGTGCCCGCCGCGGGTGCCCAAGGACCCAGCGCAGTTCCAACTACTTTCGAATAAACTATAAACCCAGTAGTCAATGCTACCACCAGAGTCAGTTTCATGTAGTGATAACTCTTCCCACCCACTGAAAGATAGGAAATATTGTCTTGTGGATGGAGATGGGCAATGACAGGCAATGTAGTCACTTAAAGTATGTGTTGAATCAGCTTCTAAGATGGTGTCTTTCAATATCAATTCATCATCGACGTCCTTTGGTAAAAGTGCGCAGAGGTCGATAGCTTGCATCAACGCTGGGTCAAGGAATGTCTTTACGGAAGTAGGTCAGGTCAGCTTTCTCTACAATGCATTTATGCGAGGCATTCTGCGTCCTCGAATCTGCCGTACTAGGTAACGGGTCCTTGGCAAATAGAAAGTATCAGCAATACCGAGTTAGAAGGCACTCGCAAGTTTTTCTTTGCGCATATTCTGCAGCTGTGAGTGTCTAAATAAGCCTTATGATCTTCATAAAAGTTAATTTATTTGAACAACACTATCTCGAGTCGATAACGGCGGCCAACTCACGGTCGACGCTGCATTTAGCTCCCTCGCCATTGTATCCTAGAAGGTTAGTGATCCTTAATGTTCGTGCCATCTATCATCAACATATCCCGCTGAAACATATTTGCCAGACTTCACAGTGGTAAAAGCACACTGATCGCGGCCCTTCTTCGTCTGGTTGATGTGGTGCCACCGGTACACTCTACGATAGGCGACTCAACTATGGAGCGGATCCTTATCGACGACACACTACAGAGTAATCACCACAGTATATCGCACAGCTCTCAGGCCGCATATATTGTCCATCCCACAGGAAGTACCTACACTTGGCGGCGCCATCCCCTTGCACGCTAATCCCCTTTGACGCCACGATAAGCCACGACAGCGAGACGGGAAGTGTCGATAGCAAGTCCCACGGCGAACTGATCATCTCGGCAATCTCCAAAATGAGATTTCAGGAGGCGATTGAGGCTTGGGGAGGTCTTGACGGCGATGTTACGACGCAGCCGGCTCTCGCAGTGCGAGGGCCAGCTTTTGGCTAAGGTATTGCCAGGGCCATCGTTCTGAAGTGCAGCCTGAGGGCCACTAGTCGCAATAGTGAAGCAATAGAAGTCTCAGCCAACAATGACATACAGAAAACTCGACTTCAAGCGCGGCACAGCATTCATACTTTCAGATGAAGCAACTCAATAACCTAGCAACTTAGACGTTGAAGAAAGGGATACCAATATTCAAAGCGTCCTCCGTAACGAGTTTCGAGTCACCATTATCACGGTCGCCCACAGGCTTGACTGTATTAGGAACTCAGATACGGGAGGTGTTATTTTATGGAAGATGGACCCCTGGTGCGATTCGGACCAGCGACGGGGATTTCGAGTCATTGAAGTGGGACGAGTAAAACTTTGGCGAAGGTTCCCCCACGGGGGTACCATAGTACATAATTTCCCGTCCAAGGACGGCCAGTACTCCATAGCTGAATTCACCTCCCTTTCCCCGAATCGTCTTTTTCTGTACAAACGTATTTAGCGTGGTGAGTGTGTATTATGTAGAAAGCTGGACAGCTACAGCTTTGGAGAGCTGCGGCGGCGCACGTGGCAGCCCTCTATCCCATGGGGCGCCATATCTTACCACATTAAAAATCTCTCCACTTTCATATTGTACAGCTCCGGGGGGAAGAACCCGCCGGGGAATCTCCGAATCTCGATCTCGAGCACGGCGATAAGCACCACATGGTCTGTGTAGGAATAGGAGCCATCGACCTATCTGTGGAAAGACTGGGCGGACAACAAAGAGAACAAGAAAGGAGGGGTAAGGTGAGGCATGTATAGGTGAGCCAAACAGGTAATCGCAGTGAAGTGGAATGAAAGTCGGCTATCCAGGCACGTGCTGTCTCTCTTTCGGGGGCAAAGTCGCGGATGCTGCAAAACAGCAGTCACGGTAGCATGCATAATTGCGATAAAAGTAATTAATATGTATACATGTGCCTGCGAGGCCGACCGCACCGGTCCCGTTTTCCCAACTCCGACAAAAGAAATTCTCCGCCTATCATTGTGGGAACCGGACGTTGTCCAGCTCAGTTCAGACGGGGGATTCTTCGACTCTCCAGTCCCTCTTGATCGTGATATGTTTCAATTCCAAGTCGGCATGATGGTTACCCACCCTGTCGGATGAATCGACGGAATTAACATCTGTCGCAGCAGTTGCATCACCACCATACTTAGACTGTCCTATGTGTAGTTGCCTTGTCGAGCCGTCATCGTCTTGGAGTTCCGAGAATCCACCCTTCCGAGAGTTGTTTCCGGTGTTGTTTTTGCTTTTGCCTCCGGCGTAACCGCTGGCGTAACTGCTGGACAGGCCTCGGGAACTTTTGCGAGACACCAATGGGCGGAGAAGCGGGATACATGCCGCAGTTACCAGTAGACAGGGCTCTAGTGCACTGAACATGAGGGCGATTCCGCCGGAAAATGCAAAGTCGTTCATGTCGATCTTGATAATCTCGGCAAGTCGGACGGCGCTTACAATGCAAACTCTGTATCTCCTTATTAGCCGGTGCGGTTAAAAGACGGGAAGGAAGAGTCAGCCACTTACGCAAGCCCGATACCAAATGTCGCCATTAATCCGACTTTTTTGTACGTCTGAAGTGATAGACCGTAAAGATATGGCATAGGGAGGAGCATAATAACCAGGTCCGAGAAGATATTGAGCCCTCCAGTGACGGCCCATAACATCCTGACGTCGCCACAGGTTCCCACTACCGAGAATTTGTCCCAGTTATACTGAACTGGCGTGCAAATGACGAAGGCCCCGATAAAGAGGATCATGGCCCAGACTACGACGAAGACGGCACATGCTTGAGAGAGCAGGATGAAGCTCCGAACGGAGAAGATCTTGGAGTACAAGGCGAGAATGGAGAGCTTCGTCAAGCCGAGACTGAGCGACCAGAAGATGACGACGGCGGTCACAAGCTCCAAGAGGGTTGTCAAAGAGTCCGTTCCTGCCATCGCCATGATCTCAGTCGTGTGGAATCCCATCCCCCCAACGGCAACGCAGGCGACTGCCAGCCCTTGGTATCCGACCGCGACGATCTGAAAGGTTGCATGTGTTAGGAAAGACACCTTGTATCGAATATACAGGAATGTTTGGGCGAACAAGATACTTACACATGACAAGATGATGAGCCAGTCGCTGAGATCAAGCTTGTTGTCCTTGTGTTTCGACCGCGCTATTATTCGCAGAATAACCGCAGCTACCGGTAGTATCGAGAAAACGACTGCGCCTGCGATAATAGCCTTCTGGCTACCACGCTCGATTGGGAAAACATAAACCATGGCGGCGCAGATACTTCCTGTCCAGTGCTCTCTGGTCGAGGCTCTGGCGTCGGTTGATGATATATTGCAAAAGCAGTCACCAGTCGGGCCAATTATCCAGTTGGTAATCTATGCTTTCAGGTCCGCAAGGCTGTTGGAAAATGGATAAAAAGTGGTCTCTAATGCAGGTTGTAAATGAGACGGTTCGTCCCGAAGAGATGGCATAACGCATATACCAAGCAAGTGCCGATGCGTGATGGCGACGAGAAAGGACCAGATCGTTTTCTGGCCGCGCCCCACCAACTATATCTTCTAATTAGGGTAACGAGGTCGCTACTCTCTCTTCGCTAATCCGGGTTGTGTCGCGGATCATGCCATATCATAACATGACTGAATCGCGGAATGGATAGTGGACATGATGTTACGGCAGATCCCGCCAGGCGGGCTAACGGTTTCGAGCCCCGGACCAATAAGTTCACATTAGAGCTCTGATGCATTCTCAGATCCTCAGGGGGTTGTGGCGATCTATGCCATGAAGAGTGGTTCAAGCTTATGGTGTAGCTGGGGGTCTGTATCGGCATCAGCAGAACTTGACCGTAGTAGTAAGTCAGTGACATTTACCACACAAACCTCCTCTGCTACGGTCGATCGTTCGCAACTACCCGCCTTGACTTATTAGTCGGCCACTCGTGCACTACTCTGTAAGTAGAAGATAATTCCAGCCGAGGTTGGAGCACCCTTTGTGGGGTATGGAGCTGAACTCTGGTGATTAATTAAAGCACAGAGGGGCCCTCGAGACGGCAGCCCAGTTTTCGAGAGAGATCATGGGCTCGCCTTTGGGCCTTTTCAACATGATAGCGGGACGAACAATCCACGCGGATTTCGATCTCCACGTTAATATCGTCCGGTCGGTAGATTGCGCGAACATGATCATGATATGGCGCTGTATTATACCGATGAATGGTGCAGACTAGACCGGTAGTACCCACTTTAACATAATGCGCGGCAAATTAGTAATGAGAAGATCAGCAACATGATGTTGTCTTCTGCTGGAGCCACCGGGAGCGACCCGTGGTGTGGTCCCGCTGAAGCCAAGGCTCTTGGCATGCAGAGTCTGGGGTATGTTACTGAGCCTCTGTGTCACCCAATTTCCCTCCACCATCCATCGCGGCTTAGTATCATGTACGCGGGAGCCATATGCCAGCTGAGTCAGAACTCCACCCGCAAGGTCCCAGCTTGTCACAACCAATAGGCGAGCAGAATTCAGGGTTCCGGTCGTACTATACACCATGCAAAATGCAACACGACGGGGATCCTCTAGCGGCTTCCCATGTGGAGCTGACAGGCATCCAGCTGCGTATTCTTTGCCCTCCAGCGACAGGAATTCGGCCGATAAAGAGAGAAACGGTTTGGGCAAGCCTTGCGCCGCACTGGCGCATGATACCTCCCAATAGCCCAGTTGCAAATTTGCGTACCCTGGGCTGATAAGGGTGAGCACTGAGGACTCTGGGATCTTTTCTGCCTTAGCCCCTATCAAACGAACGGTGATGGCGGCCAGCCATGGACGTTGTAAAGTTTATTATTGCAGGCTGTTTGACCGTGGAACCACCAAGGGCGACGTCTCTGGGCCCGCTGGGTATCCAATCCTCATGCTAGCCTATATCCACTTCCTCCACTCGTGACTATACACAGTACGCCCGGGGAATCGTATCAGACGGAAGGACGCTGGGCTTCCTCCTCAAAGTTTCGCTTCTCCCCTCGCCGCACCGGATCCCTACCCCTTTCCTTCCCATTGGAACATCTTTCCCAGGTTGGTTTCCACTGTCCCCCCGCCCGCCCACCTGCGTTGTACAACGCAATCAGCCTTGAGTCAGCATGTAGGGTCCAGGAACTATTTGCAGTGCTGGCTGTTTCTACAGCTCACACGTCGTTCGGAAATGTGCAGGTCCACACCGCTGTAAATAGTATGATACTTATATAGAAGGAAATAGACAACCTTTCGTCCGTCGAGACATTGCCTATTTCTTAACAAATCCCTCCATCAACTCACAATGACTTTTGGCGTCACCACATCCGACTTTCCCGAAGGCTGCGCCGTGGTCTTCGGCGGCTCCGGCGGCCTCGGTCGTGCGAGCGCCGGCCTGATCGCGGAGCGCGGCTCAGACATTGTTGTCACCTACAAGTCGCGCGCCGCCGAGGCCGAGTCCCTGGTCGAGGAGGTGCGCAAGCTCGGGCGCAATGCGAGCGCGGTGGCTTGCGACGTTACCGACCGCAAGTCGGTCGAGGCCGTCTTTGAGCATGCCGTCAAGACCTACAAGCGCGTGCACACGGTGGTGTCCGCCGGCGGCCTCGTCTTCGACACGGGCCCGCTGACCGACTTCAAGTGGGACTCGTTCCGCGGCGTCATTGAGACCGACGTGTACGGTTTCTTCAACATTGTGCAGGCCGGCGTGCCGGTGCTGCGCGCGGGCAAGGGCGGTTCGTTCGTGGCCTTGATCACCTCGGCGACGGATCGCACCGTGCCGCAGGATGCGCTCTCGTCCACGCCCAAGGCGGCCGTGAAGATGATGATGCGCCACCTCGCCATCGAGGAGGCTGGCCACGGCATCCGCGCCAACGCCGTGGGACCCGGAGTCATCAACGCCGGCATGGTGATGCCATTGATGGAAACCCCTGCGCGGGCGCTACTCGAGGGTGCCACCGCCGTGACGCCGCTCGCACGCTGGGGTGAGGCTTCCGAGATCGCCGAGACAGTTGCTTTCCTGGCCTCATCGAAGGCGTCTTACATCACTGGGCAAACCATCATGGTCGACGGCGGCCTCGCTGCATAAGTCAGACGGGCCTGACACGAGGCTCGATGTGGCACGCTATTGTTTAATAACGAGGGAGGGAACGATTGTGAACGCTCGAGTAAAGGGGGATGCGGTACGCGTTATCCTTTTGGCCGACGGTACTATCCGAGAGGAATGAGTTTGGAAGAGACGTCTATTTTTAGAACTAATCTGTATGAGTCCTACAAGTTGTGAATAAAATCGTGCCCCGCCCCAATTTATTCCAATTCGAATTAGCCTAGCCAGGCGCATAAGATGCAACCTAATTATAAAAGAAGGAATGTCTTACCGTGTGCATGAACTGCGGGATAATATAGTCTTGCTAATAACCTTGTGTAAAAAAGAAAATTATGAGTACTATTCAGCGATTACCTCGCATGTTTCTGCTGACCTATTGCTAGTGACAGAAGATTTACTACAATATACACTTCGACAGCTACCTGTGTAGCTTCGTGAGTTACAGTGATTCTCACAAGGAATCAAACAGTTGAATTTTATTAATTCAAGGCCTTCTACTTCTGGCTCATGTCCAGGTACACTTGGCCCGTCTTTCGTACCAATTCTGTTGATTGTCGCAGTGATGAATCTTGCCGTAATCCGGGTCCTTGGCGCACTTGACATCGCCGTAGCCTGGGACCTTCAGCGTCCCGGGTGAGCTCTCACTGCCCGTGTACGTGATACCACCGATTCCAAACGCGCTGAATGCATCGAGAGACGCCGGATAGATGCTCGCGGCGACACCCTGTTTCGAGAAGGGCTCTGCGTTGCAAGGGTCGAGCCCCGTGTCGGGGCTGGTTCCAAACACGTACCAAGGGTACTTGATAAAGGTGGTGTCCATGATGTAGATGACCTTGGGCGAAGGGTTGGTCGGCTGCTGGGTCGTCGTCGGCGTCACCTTGGTGGTGGACACGGACGTGCTAATGCACGAGCTGTGCGTCATGCAGGCCGTCTTGGAGCCGCCGCCGCCGGGACCTCCGCACTGCTCCCAGGTGCTCGTCGCTGCGCAGTTGGTCGGGATCGGCGGGTCCTCGGGCTCCAGGGTGGGCAGGTCGGGTAGGCTCGTCGGCACCGTTTGGATGCTGGTGCAGACTTGCCTCGTCACGCACGCCGAGTGCCCGTTGCCGCCGGCGCACATCAGACTCGTCGTCGTGCCCTCGCCGGGGCCGCAGCTGGTCGTTGTCGGCTGACTCGACAGTGTGGGCAGGCCGGTCAGGGTGCCTACGTGGCTGGGGTCTAGCGGATCGTAGTACCCCGGTGGCTCGCCGGTCGGGGTCGGGTCACAGTAGTAGCCGCTGCACCTGGTTCCGCAACCCGCGTTGCAAGTTGGCGAAACCGGACCGGGTTTGTAGCTAATGGTGAGACCATTCGGATTTGAGCCTCCGTTGTTGCCACCCCCGTTGCCGCCGTCCCCGCCACCGATCACGCAAGTCCATCCTTGGCCGTCTTGACGCCGTTTAATTCCTGACCCTCCTGGGCCACAGTCACCGGCACCAAATGGAGCCAGATCTGCGATTTTGTCGGTGAATATGGGGCAGCCTTTGAGTTTGGGGTTAACCAGGCAGTCCCCGTCAGGTACGCGGCCTGACCATATGGTGGGCACTCGAGATCTAGTGCCATCAGGAACTTGTATGGTTTGGGCCTTGATGGGCCTTTGCATGAAGCGCAAGAGCTTCTTTACGTTTGCAGGGTCCTTGAGTTCTTCAACCCAGTCTGCCCGTACGCCTGGAAGGCCTCTCCAGTATGCTATTGTGCCAGCAACAAGCGGAGCGGCTATGATACGGGTTCATCATGTTAGTCTCCAGGCTTTTCGTGGATAAAGGGAGATCTACTGAAATTGGATACGGTGACATAGAAATCTACTTACCGAGAGATGCACCGTCTTCAACGCCACCGCCAGCAACGTGGACCTGGTATCCGGGTGCCTTGATAACCCAGCTTGCCGATGGGTTCAGGCGCGAAACGGCGCCGTTCTTGTCGCTTCCGCTGACCACTATCAAGTTAGGGATGTAATCATTGTCGCTAGGGTCCCCATATCGACTCGGCCACCCATCAAGCCTGTTCCGGCCCCGTACGTCCAAGTTGAGGTTATGAGTAACTGCAACTATAACCACACCGTGTTGGTCCAACGCCGTCAGGATCTCGTCTACACACGTCCAAAAACGGACAAAGAGTCAGATTTCATGATACAGAATTCGACCACAATTGGCTAGCTTTGGAACCTTCTACTCACGAAGTGTCTCGAAATGGGCCGGGTGGACCCATGTATGGACGTCGACCAACCAGCCAAATGACATATTGAGGATGACTTTGCCCTTATTTGCCGGATATCCAGCCATGACGTCGCCGAGGACGCGAATAAGACTTTCGAGATACCTGTCTTGGATCTTGTAAAACCTGTCTGCCGGGTCCCCGTTGGTGTTTTTTGGCATGACGATTTGGGCATTCTTGCCTAGTCCAAAGCTTTTCCCCCATACTTTGCTAAGCACATCGCTGCCATGCTTCAGCAAGGCAGCGCCATTGTGAACTTGTCCATAGTCCAGTGTTTCGTCTATCATGCGGACTTGAGGTCTGTTGAAGGTTTCGGCCCCTATGTTATAGGTAAGAGCGAATTCCTATGCATCTTAAGTTAGCTTGCACTGCGACGGCAGCAGAAGTCGCTGAGGAATGCGAAGGGCTCGGATTGTCAAGGAGTATGGAACTGTGCGCGCGGAAATGTAGCTCCAGCAATACCAACCATGACTTACTTCGTCGTCTGAAAACCCATCCTCAACAACATAGATGGTCTGACCTTCTCCAAAGCTCGTGTCGTAGTACGCCAAAAATGGCCCATCGGGCAGTTCAGCAGAATCCTCCCAGTCGACATTTGGAGGCAAACAAACTTGAGACAATTCCCAGTAACCATTGGTTTCGTCTGCTCTCTTTTCGAGCTCCAGCGATTCGTTGAAGGCGCTGTTCCTTCTAGCTACCGACGCGCTGGCACTTTGTGGAAGATAGTTATTGCGTTGGTTGAAATCATAGATCGAGTAAACATCTTTGATGTAGTCTCCGATGTGCTCTCGAATTATGGGGATGAGGAACGTTGGTACATCTCTTACAAAGAAGAATGCCGTGTATTCTTCTGGTATTCCCGCCACTTCTGTCTCTTCCCACAACTTTTTTACATTGGGCGTATTCAAAAGGCCGTCATATCCAAGCTCCTGGAGGTAGCTCTCAATAGTGTAGACCGAAGGATTCGATCGATCATCTATACTGACTGGATAGATGATGATATCGTCTTTCGTACACGCTTCCCCAGCGCGGGCACTCAGCTCATGTCTTTCGGAAGCTGAAGCTGTTGCAGTCGCCTCGGCCCTTCGTCCCAGTTGCGTTAGCGCCGTACAGGAGTCGATTGTGGTAACGCTCGTGGTTGAGTCGTCGTCTTCGACATTGCAGCCCACAATTGGTGTACAGGTTGAGACGACTGAAGTGGCCGTCCTGGTCGTTTGGCCTGTGACGGTAGCACTGAAGGAAGTGGTGGTTATACAGACATCCGCCGTGGAGCTCGTGCAATCCGTGGGCTTGTTTTCCGGGTAGGTAGCAACCCCGTTTGCCCCAATACTAGTGACCAAATTAGGATCTAAAATTAAAGTATTCTTGGTAGATGAGGTCTTATATCAAGCGAAGGCTTGAGTGCGGAGGATACCGCATCAGAAAGAAGAATGTCCAGAATACGTAGGTCAGGTTGCCAGAACCGAGGGATAGGTATGCTACCCAAACGTGTGGAGTATTGTTGACAGAATGGAGGTATAAATGAAAGGTATACATACGTAATACGAGGCCAAGGACCTGGAAGAGTGCCTCGAATGGTCATTTGAGGTGGGAACTTGATCGTTGGCGGGGGGCCTGGCGGAAGAATGCCCGGGGGAAAGTCCCATCGCCAGCCTCCGATCTTGATGTCGCCCCAGGAAATACATATCTGCAGACGAAGAAGATATCAGTTATCTATAAAAATTGGTTAGGCACTATAAACGATTAGACTTACGAAAAAGAACCAGAGCTTGCACGTTGTCTTCTTGTCGTCGTCGTCATCTTCAGGCTCATCTTCGACCCAAACAAGCTCGCCAGCAGGCCAGGTCGAGTAGACGGGCAATCCTGAGATAGTTGAGGTTGTTGTTGGTACTCCTTGGAAGCCGGTTCCTACCCAGACGGTACATCCGAGTGAGAAACTCTTGTCAGCGGCCGCCGCAATTTCTATCGTCTTCGTAGGTGGGCAATCCCATTCCATGGTGGTAGGGCCCTGACAGTCTTGCAAGGTGATCCTGGCCTTCTCCTCGACGACGTAGAGAATGCTTTGCTCGCAGTTGGCGACTATGGCGGGCTTGGTGTAGGGTTCGTCCGCTGGGATCGTGATAGTGCTCGACGCACCGCCTTCTCCACTTGTAGTGCCGCCATTGCCTGTCTCAACTGGTCCATTGGTGATAGCCGGCCAGGGAGGCAAAGACAAGACTCTGGTGCTTGTCTCGCCTTGCCCATTGGTAAGGACCACAGACACCGGTGGCACCTCTACGCTGGGCATGGCGACTATGCTGCTACTTCCAGACTGGCTCGTTACGTGAACATTGGACATGGGGTATTGGTCGGTAACGATGGATGTCAACGTGATGGTAATAGTCGTAGTGGTGACAACGAATGTAGCCTCGCCATTCACCGCGGTCGAAGAGCCAACCTCCAAGGACGTGGTGTACTCGGGCAATGAAATGGTAGTGCTAGATGGCAACTTGCTTGGCGGCAACACCATGATGCAAGGGGGTTCGCACTGGGCGGTTGGTTGTTGGTACACCTCAGTACCAATATAGACAACTTCCCCGTCCTCTTCATCAGGACTAGATTATCGTTAGCCGTAGTAGATGGAAAGCATGCGTTGCGAAGATGAACTCACCCGCCTGAGCCGACTTCTTGGAAATCGATGCTCCAGACCATGGTACCACCAAAGCAAAGGCTATCAGCAAATGACATCTTGGCTGCAAACGTATCCTCATCGTCGTAGCCAATCCATTGATCGTCCCACGTAATCTGCTTCATCATGGCTTCCTCGAGGTACTGGGGTTCCAGGCCTCGCTGTTTGATGAGCTGCTTGATTTCTACAAGCGACATTACTCCGTTGAACGAGGTGCACGGAGCTGGCTTGCTAGGACCTGAGAAGGGGCAAAGAAGTTGGTTGCAGGAGGGATCGGCTAGCGTATAGCCTCTGCCATACATGGCGAGGCCGAAGTTCAGTTTCGCTGGGTTGAGTCCATCGAACCATAACGGAAGTGTATTCTTGGAGATTTCGCGTATATCGGCTTGGCCACGAACCAGACTACCCAGTGCCAACACATCGGCATCCCACGAGCCGTGAAGATCTGTCACGTAAATGTTAGCAGGGAAAATTTCACTACGGAGTACCGGAAGTGGTCTTACCGTAAGCCATGAACCCAAAAAAGTCTACGTTCGCTTCCATTGCCTTGGCATCAAACCATCTTAGATACCAATAGTCGGGAGCAAGAGTCAAACTGATACCATAGGCAGTACCATATGCAGCGCGCATTTCCTTCACCAAAAGAGACAGGTTTCTTGTGTCATCAAGTTTCCTGCCTCCTCTTTCCGGAGCACCCGGATACTCCCAGTCGATGTCGACTCCTTGGAAACCGTACGTATCCATGTACTCCTTGACTGAGCTGATGAAGGCTGCTCTGTTGTCTTTGGTTGAGACCATGTCGCTCCTGTTCAACGTTAATACTTGATGAGAGCTATGAAAGGAACGATGACAAACACACCATGTTGTATGGGTAGCAGCTTCCGGGTTACTGAAATCGAAGCCACCTACGGCAATCCATGTTTGGAGTTTACCATCCTTGGATAATGCTGTGAAATCTTTCATGCCCTGGACATCATCGGGATGTGCAGGAGTGATACGGAAGGACTGAGGATCAATTGATGCAAATGAGAAGAACAAGTGAGTGTAGCCGTCCGTGTTGAGCTGGTTGGGTGCAACCTTGTTGCATTTCCGATCTCTTTGATTCCAAGACTGATAATACCCAATCTTGCGCTTGGAGCTTGAGCCGCTGCCAGCAGGACATGAAGGAGGGCCCGTGATGGAACAAGAACCATAACCAGCTTGACACGGCAAGGTTTTATGGGCTGGGTCGGCATTGTCACAGTACACCTCTGTAGTCTGGGCCTAGGGTCAGTTTTGGACTAATGGAAAATGTGATGCGGCTTGGAAAAAAAGAAGAAAAAGGAAATCAATCAGAGATGGAGGAAGGGAGTTTTCACTTACACCACACCATCCTGTGGCCGAACAGCAAAGCTTCATACCACAAGGCATTTCCCCGTTTTCACTGTACTGTCCGCACATGGCTGTGGCATTGCATTGAGACGTGCAACCGTCACCGCAGAAATCTGGGCCATAGCCACAGATACCGCTTTTACCGCAGCAGCTGTCCAAGCGTCAACAAAGCCTTGGCACTTAGTTGAAGCCGCAACTTACCTGCCGTCAATACATGGGCCATCGGTGCAATAAAGTGGACCGTCGGCACGCCGTTCCAACGCATGAGGGTCCGAAGGTGAGTGGGAAGAAGAAAAGATAGACCACGACGTCGTGGTCAATAATTCGGGATTGTTTTGGCTTGCACCATTAACCAGTCCTATGGCCGAGTCATCAAGCTGTTCTATGTCGGTAACACCCAAGTTAGTGATTCGGCAGCAAAAGGAACGGGCCGTGGGATTTTGTTATTTCTTACCTCTATCGGAAGGGCCGCGCTGCAAGATATTGCGTGGACTGACTCTGGGCCCGCTTCCATAATGGCTCTGGGAAAGTAGGACAGGAAGGCAGAGAATAAAGACACCGACAAGGGCACAAGCGACGAGGCTTCGCGCGTGTGATTGCATGGTGGGTGATCTGCTCTTCGGTGGACTTTGAATATTTTTCTCAATCCTTATCAAGGAAAGGAGACCGGTTTTCTTTTAAGCCTTGCATCTCCTGGCACATTTGTTTATAGTTGTACAGAGGTATACTTGACTCCGCCAAGAGTGAAAATGCAACACCCGTTTGGACGAGGCTTGTGATTACTGACCAACATGTTATACGAGAATGCCAAGACACCATAAATTTGTCGCAGTTGTTGTCTACACAGGCAATAGTTGCTGAGTCTGGGATTTGCGTATATTCCTTCAGCTCCACTGAATCGATAGTCTGCCCCGGGTCAGCAATTCTGGGCTTGGCGCCCATCGGTTCGCTTAGGCTAGTGTAGAAATCCACATCGTGGAAAGTGGAGGAGTTCTTGCCGTCGTCTGCGCCAGTCGGCTTCCGCCGAGCCACACAGCAGCAACACAGGGGTTTGGATAAGGTTTCATTTTAGACTTATATATAACCATGGAGCGTTCCGTACACCTGGTACACATTAAATTGATCCCTCGTGGCAAAGCTGACCAAGGGCTGCCTTAGCTTCGGCTGGTTTTCGGGGCCCAGTCTAAATCTGGGCCAAACTTTATACGAAACTTGCAGGATATATCATAATTTTTGCGTGAAAGACTGAAAGAACCCTGCAAATAAACGTGGATTAAAGCAAATAGTCCATTATAATAACGGTGTTAGGATTCTTTAGCAGTCAGCTCGATCACATGATAACTTCCAGAGCACTAGCTTAGGCGGCGATATTGTTGCTGTGATGGGAACGTTACAATCTGGGACATTGGAGACATCAGGATGACCGTCGGCATACTTCGGGAACGGAGTTCTCATAGTTCAAGTCCTGGAGACAGACAGTTTATATCCGAAGGGGAGACATCGCTCGAACAGCAGGTAGGGATATATTAACAGTACCGCTCTCCCCTTCTTCCCTCGAGGATGTGTCAATAGCTGTATCATAATCACATAGTTCTGCTCGCCTCCAACATGAAGTTCTCTGTGCTCGTCTGGCTTGTACCAGCGCTGGTAGCATCTCAGAGCACAACCACGTCTTCACTCCCAGCATGGGCAACGGGTGTGGAAACGGAGGATGGGACCTGCGGCGGAACAACAGGGTGGGTATGCACCCCGACCTGGGGCGCTTGCTGCTCCAAGGATGGAATATGTGGCCGCTCTGACGCCTATTGTGGTGAAGGCTGGTAGGTGTCCCTTGTCATGATATTTGTGTGGTTGTTCTCAAGCTGATTGATTCAAAGTCAACCCTTAGCTGGAAACTGTAACGCGGTCGCAGCACCTGCGCCGGGACCCGGAAGTCCATCTCCAGATGGCTCCTGTGGCGGTGCAAATCAGTACAACTGCACTGGTGCTACCTACGGCGCCTGTTGTTCGTCAAGTGGTTACTGTGGCGACACAACCGGTCATTGTGGCGCGGGCTGTCAGAGCCTCTTTGGTACCTGCTCAACGGTCGACGACACCGTCAGTACTGATGGACAGTGCGGTAGTAATGGCAAGACCTGCGAGGGATCCGGTTTCGGGGACTGCTGTTCCTCTGGCGGTTGGTGCGGTGGCACAGATGCACACTGCGGAACTGGTTGCCAGGAGGGCTTTGGCAACTGCACCAGTACTGGGAGCAACCCGCCATCGGGTGGCATTTCTGTCGATGGCGCATGTGGAGCCAACGGCAAGACGTGTGAAGGGTCTACCTTTGGCGACTGTTGTTCTTCCAGTGGTTACTGCGGAGGCACGGATGCATTCTGCGATGCTGGATGTCAATCCGGCTTTGGGCTCTGCTCTGACGCAGTAAATGTTACAACAGACGGTACATGCGGCCATGATGGCAAGATTTGCACAGGCTCGACCTTTGGCAACTGCTGTTCAGCGAATGGGTACTGCGGAGATTCTGACAGTCATTGTGGTACGGGTTGTCAGCAGTCTTTTGGCAAGTGCTCTGCCCCAAGTAACGTGACTACCGACGGAACTTGTGGCAAGAACGGCAAAACCTGCAAGGGGTCGACATTTGGAGACTGTTGCTCATCAAGTGGTTACTGTGGTTCGACCAGCGATCATTGTAGTGTTGGTTGCCAGTCATCATTCGGAACCTGTGACAGCGGCAGCGCTAATATATCGACCGACGGATCGTGTAGTAAGAATGGCAAGACCTGCAAGGGCTCAACATTCGGAGACTGCTGTTCGGCATCCAACTATTGTGGCAAGACAACGGACCACTGCGGCACCGGATGCCAGTCTGGCTTTGGCACGTGTACCAGCACTGATAACAACATCTCAACCGATGGAGCCTGCGGCAAGAATGGAAAGACGTGCAAAGGATCGACGTTTGGCGACTGCTGCTCCTCAAGTGGCTATTGTGGCAAGACAACCGATCACTGCGGCGCTGGTTGCAATGCAGCCTTCGGTACCTGTAGCAGCGGTTCCAGCAACATCTCTACAGACGGCCAGTGTGGAAGCAAAAATGGCAAGACATGTGTGGAATCCGGGTTCGGAGGTTGTTGTTCACTTACTGGCAATTGCGGCAGCACTGGGGCTCATTGTGGCCAAGGATGGTGAGTTTGATACCCTCTCCCAGATCCTGCCTGCATCATTTTGGCCCACGTCCGTTGAGAAAACATGTATTAATTGTTTCAACAGCCAGAAAGATTCTTCCAGCGCTTGCTTGACGACAAATATCCCCACGAACGATGGTACTTGTGGAGCCAAGGTCGGCCTCACATGTGCCGGCGGTAGCTTTGACGGCAATTGCTGTAGTTCCAGCGGGTATTGTGGAACGACCACTGGGCATTGTGGCACCGGATGGTGAGTATTTAAACTCCTTCCAGCAAGCATCTTGTTTAATGCTAACTCTCATCAGTCAACGTGGTTATGGAAAGTGCACCTAGATTCCTGGGAGGCGGCTTTGGTGGCGGGGAGCGTTTTCAAAGCAAAGCCAGGACTTCTTAAGTAGACCAATCTGAGCAAAAATACACATCTTAACCGGCGTCCAAGCATTCTAGGGAAGAACTAAATCCTGAGAAACGACAAGTTTGGACACGAATAAAAAGCAGCACAGGTCACAGCCAACCTATTCAGAGCTACGCCCATAACAATTCAATAGGAACAAATATAACGTACTTGAGTGTTTTATGGACTCAATGTACGAGTTGAGTCTTGATGAAAACAATATTTTTCTTATTTTTTTAAATTTCTTTTTTACGGTGGAGGAAATAGTATCCATAACCCATGTCGTCCACCAAGCGACGCATTCCTTCATATCACAATCGTGTGGGGCCCGACCAAGTCTTGGCAAAAATTACCTACTCACGGTCAGCACAACTATAAATTCATGCTCATCCCCCCTCCTTAAAGTGAGCATGTAGTTGAAGCTTCAACACATTCAATGCTACGCGGACATGGAATCTAAGACTCTCTCCCCAGGTCGAATGGTTCAAAACAAGACATCTTCCTACACCCTGGAGTCACTACACCCTGATGTTCTCGTGCTTCTTTTATCGGCCGTGACGTCTCTCGACGATCTCAGCGCGTGTATTCACGCTTCTCCTGTCTTATATCGGGTCTTTCTCCTATACAAAACGTCAATCCTTGTCCGAGTCAGCTATGGAACCCTTGGGCCCGCTATCCGAGATTTACTCATTCTAGTACGAACCGAGGCGCAGCCAATCTCTTCCCTGGAAAGCAAAGTTCGTAACCACATGATAGAAGAAACGGTGATCAGTTGGAAGAAGGAACTTTCAATGGGGGAAAATCATTTTCCGACGGGGATCACCGAGGCCGAAGCCGTACACCTGGCGCGAGTGAATAGGACGGTTCAGTATTTTGTCGAACTCTACGCTTCGATTAGACTTGCCTACTTTGAACGGGAGCTCGGTCTATCAGCCGGCGGCTGGAGCCTGGGTATAAGGGAGAGATATTACTTATCGCAGGCTTTTATCCGTTGCCAAGTTTTGCGCAACCTGTATGGCCCGCCTGGTCGGCCTCTTTTTGATGAGCGACTTCTCATCACCCGCGTCTGGACACTTTTCGAATCTTGGGAGATGGAACAGATATCGCAAGCCGATAGCTTCAGCTACGGTCTATGCAGAGCTTTGGTGTACTGCGAAAAGACGGAGGAGGGAGTTCCGCCGACTCCTGAATACTGGCAAGCCGCACGTCGCGCACTGCGCGAGGTTGCACCGGGCGGAGGTGCCGTCCAGGAGTATGCTACCCCGAGGTCGCGGTACTACAAGGACTACTACCCGAATATGCATTCACTACGACGTAGGATACACGAGTCCACAGCCTCCGACCCGGCCCTCATGGATCGAATTCTGCAATGGCGCGATGTAGCCAATGGCAAGCTCACACGAACGCCCTACAAGTTCCTTCACTATAGTCAGCAATTGCAGGCCGGGACGTCGACTCGCCCGCTCGATTTCCCTTCTGTCCCACGCAACCTTACTACGCCAGTGTCGGCTGATCCTCCATGGGGATGGGTGGATGCCATGGCTGGGCGCGGTGCAGATCGATGGGGAAGAGACTTGCTTCCCCAGCCACCAAACGGGACCAAGGCTGATGTCTGGCAAGCCACGGAAAGAATCTTCGAGGAATGGAGATGGGCTGGCTTTGTATTTTGGGAAAAGGACCGTGCCGAGACCTTGAAGACGAAGGGCTTGCTGGGCGAGAAAATAGCTACCGGCTGGCTGATAGCACCGTGGGAATAACTTAACTAGCAATAGGTTCCTGCATAATACTTTGGGTTCTGTAAGGCCAGTGCCTTGCCGGTAAGTAGCAGTACTTCACGGAAACAACGGGAGAAAGAAGGTTTTGATGGAAAACGATTAGGTAACTAGCTACGGGCCACGAGACTGATGATTATCAGGCTTGATGAATTTTTAATTTAGTTGTGGCAAAGTGTAGCAAAAGTTGATGTATAAAAGAGGGCGGAAATTTGTAGCAGCTGCGGGGGAAATTAGGTTCTAGTACCTAGGGTAGTGCCTAGCACCTAACAGGTTCATCCAATTAGGCAGACTCGCACCAGTCGCTGCTGAATGGGTTACCAGACTAGTCGACATCACCTTCTACTGCAATTTCCTGCCGAGTAGATCAATAATGAGTCCAAAGTATAGCCGTCGACCACCATTATAATCACTTTTAGATATAGCGACAACTAGCCATAAGTCTGTACGAGCTAGAGTAGTAGTCATCGTGAGAAAGTACCCACAGGTGCACTGATTTCATCGTACCCACCCGTCTCTCCCATTGCCCAGCTGTTGTGGTCATTTTACGTTCTATTGACCTTGTAAAACGGCCACCAAGGGAGGGGGAGGGGGGTTGAAAGCGGAGCTGAGAACTCAACTTTTTTTTTTTTTTTTTTTTTTCACATTCCGCTGATGGAATTGGAAGTTCAAGAAGAGTTGCGACCGCCAGAAGATATGCTTACTCTTCGTCATAGTCTGTAACACGTCCGTAAAAGAGGACTGGTCTCTTACCTTCGATCGTGTTATAAAGCATGCTCGAGTATAGCATATAAGCAGCTACCTAATTAACTGTAGTACAGCAAGCGATCTTATTGGTGTATTACGCGCCAGTCTGCGCCGCAGCTGACAAATGTGCCAATACCACAATGCATGATCCGAACCCGAGTTTCCGCCCTTTCGCCATCTTATCAAGAGCGCCATCCTATATTTTCCATCCAACGCATACCTACCACTTGATGCGAGCATCGCACAGCCATGATCCACCCAGTCGGCTGGATCACAGCGTGCGCCGTGGTGCTCGGCTTCCTCTGCTTACTGCATCCCCTAGCCTTGAAGATTCGACGACGTGATCAAAGCCCTCAGCCTTACGGCATCCACGTCGTTTCCGACCCGCCAAATGCTAAATTTGAGTAAGGAAGCCGTCCACCGTATCTCGAGGAAGCTAATCCGGCAGAATTGTTGCCGTCCACGGTTTAGGTGCCCATCCCGAATATACGTGGATCCGCCGCGTTAATGCCCAGAAGGCAAATACTACCCCGCAAGAGGTTCACTTGCTGCGGGACCTTCTGCCGGAGACGTTTCCCGAAGCCCGGATCCTCAGTTTTGCCGATAACACCAGCTGGCTGATCGATGCGCCGGTAAAGACAGCCCGAGATCTTGGCAAAGATTTGCTCGATCAGCTGAAGAAGCACAGAGCAAGTCAGCGAGGGCCGCGCTTGCCAATTTGTTTCATAGGGCACAGTTTTGGCGGAATCATTATCAAAGAGGTGGGTTGGACTTTCGTGGTATAAAGCCTAAGTGCTAATCAAGATTCCATAGGCTCTATGCATGCTGGCGATCACAGACGAGATAGTGCAAGATACCTCTGGTATCTTGTTCCTAGGAACCCCGCACCAGGGATCTTCACTGTCTCTGATCGGATCCTTCGCGGCATGGCTGACAAGCTTCCTCGGTTCCAGTGCCGACTTGCCCTTGTCTCTTCGCCAGGATTCTCCAGAGCTTAGGAACTTGGCGGGCACGTTTGAAAGCCGTTTCAAGGAGCGTAGGGATGTCAAAATCTATTCCATTTGCGAAACATTGCCTACAAAAGTCTTTGGTATATCGGTCGGTTTGGCAGGTACCATCTCACTACAGAAGTTTCTTCCGCATCTAATCGTTGCTAGGTGGTTACTCACAATTCGGCCAAGTATCCTGGCAGCCATGTTATGCTTGTCAATGCTGACCATTCGGGGCTCAACAAATGTTATGGGTGGAAAGACCAAGCGTACGTCAAGATCACAGAAGCGATCATTGATATGCGCCGTCTCTCGCTTCTTGATCGCGCGGATAAAGATATCCGCAATAGCTACGATATGGAAAATCTGAAGATCGAGAGATTATCGAGTCAGAGATTGCCGATGGAGCAATGTTACATCAACTTGGTTCTAGTAGAACAGAATCAGCCCCAAGATCCAAGACAGGATTCGACACAACCACCCGCCTTATATCCTACGTTACTGGAGCGGATGGACATCAAGGAAAGTAGTAGCGAAAAACAATTTGATCTTCAGACGCTATTTCAACCTCGTAAGATCGATCGAGAGGAAGAAATCAGATCACCAAAAAGGATCTTGATCCGAGGTCGACCCGGTGTTGGAAAAACGACACTATGCAAGAAGATTGTCCATGACTTTGTTTACGATCGCCAATGGAACGAACACTTCAAACGCTTGTTCTGGGTCCCGCTGCGAAACTTGCCACAGCGCAATCCACCTTATACAATCAAAAACCTCCTCCGCGATGAGTTCTTCGCTCAATCTAGTGATCGCAACTCAGAGTCAAAGCTGGAAGAGCTGTTTCGTCAGTGCAATAGCCCTGATTTTAACGACAGTCTCTTTCTCCTCGACGGGTTGGACGAGATCTGGCACGGTCTCAGCACCGACAGTGACTTATACAAGTTCGTTCAACATCTGCTTAATCGGCCTAATGTGATCGTTACCACACGGCCGTCAGTCCAATTTTCTGGAAGAATCAATGAATTCGACCTCGAACTGGAAACTGTTGGGTTCTTCTCAGCCCAGGTCAAGGAGTACGTGCGAAATGTAGAACCATACAACGCTAGCAGCATCCTGGATTTTCTCGACGAGCAGCCCCTCGTTGCAGATCTTGTTCGGATACCAATCCAGCTCGACGCCTTGTGCTTTGCCTGGAGAGATAAATCTGCTATCAAGCGAGATGGCCTTATTAGACCAGAGACGATGACAGAACTGTATCAAGCTATCGAGCGAGGAATCTGGAAGAAAGATGCGGTTGCTCTGGGAAAGATCAAACAACAACAAACCCCTTTTTGGACGGAGCTCGAGCTGATGCTCGAAGAGGAGATTTTTCTCCTTGAAAAACTCGCGTTCACCGGTATACACAATAAAATCACAATATTTGATTCCGGGGTTATCCGAAAATTGTTGCAGCACCTACCATCTCCTAAATTGATGATTGACTCGACGTTGCAAACTCTTTCGCTTCTCCGAGCTTCCGGCGTATCACCTTTTGATATGGATCGCAGTTATTATTTCCTGCATCTTACTCTGCAAGAATACTTTGCAGCGCGCTATATCAAGCGGCAGTGGGCCAAAGGCGACAAAGGAACCTTAGACGTCCTGGATCTTGAGAGCGAAATCTGCGAGACATTACAGCCTGCTACTTTCTTCCACCGTCACAAATACAATGAATATTACGATATTGTTTGGCGCTTTCTGGCCGGATTACTGAATTCCGACACGGAAAGTCAAGTACGCTTTTTCAATGCAATCCAGTCTCAGCCATTAGATGTGCTCGGTCCAGCTCATCAACGACTTGTAATGCGTTGCCTCTTTGAGACCAGACACAATTTTTCCTTGCGGCGGCCACTTGAAGACCAGCTATCGGCGTGGTTAGACTTTGAGTTTGAATTGTATCAACAGTCTTCCGGGGAAAAGCTCGTCTACAGATCCCTAGCTGGAGCCATGGAGTTTCCAGTGGATGTTCTTGAACAGCGCATGAGCAGCGACGAAAAGTTCGGACACTATTTGCTGCAATCAATCAAACCACGCCGCGGAGTTAGTACCTCTTTCGTTGAAGCGGTCATCATGCATCTCAGAAAGTGGAGTGACATGGAAGTGTTACTAACAGCTCTGTCATTCTTTAAATCTTTTTCTGATGGAGAATTGCCCAAAGCGTGGATGCAAGAAGTGGTTGCGAGACTTGAGCACAGTAACACTATTATCCGACTAACTGCTATGGATATCCTCCGGAAGCAGTCAAGCCTGCCAATGGGGACTCTTCAAGCAGTTGTGGAGAAACTTGAAGACAGAAATCGCCACGTCCGGCAGGCTGCTGCCGAAGTCCTAGGAAACCAGCCGGATATATCGGGAGCGGTACTCCAAGCAGTTGTGGACAAAATTTTGAACAAGGATCACGACGCCCAGGAGTCTGCTATTCAAGTGTTTCGATATCAACCGAGCCTTTCAGTATCGTTGCTTTCACTCATCATTCACAAGCTCGCAAGCAAAAATAGTCGCGTCAGAGATGCTGCTATTAAAGTTCTTCAAAATCAACCGAGCCTTTCAGTATCGTTGCTTTCAAATATTGTTCTCAAGCTCGAGAGCGACTATTACTTCATCAGCGAAGCTGCAAGTCGAGTCCTGCAGGAACAGCCCAGCTTACCAAAAGGAGTACTCGAACGAATCATTTTAAGGGTTAAGGGGGTTACTTTTTATAGGACCAGTGAGCCTGCTCTCGAGGTTCTTAGGAAGCAGCCAAGCCTTGAAGAATCATTGCTGTGCATTCTAGTTGACATGCTCAAGAATGAGAATCCGATCATCCAGAGATCATCTGTTCCTATCCTTCAAAAGCAGCCAAGTCTGCCAGGAGCGGTCCTCAAAACTATTATTCAGATGCTCGAGGGCGGAAACCCTTATACCGTTTGTGCTGCAATCCGAGCCCTCGAGAAACGGCTGGACCTTTCCGAAACTCTGCTCGAAGGAGTTATCCAGAGGCTTGAGGACCAAAACGCAAACGTCCGTGCTTGCGCTATCGAACTCCTTCAAAACCAGCCGAGCCTACCAGAAGCGGTACTTGAAATCGCTGCTCATCTGCTCAGGGACAAAGACTCTGAGGTTCGACAGGCTGCTACCTACCTCCTCAAAAAACAGTCTGATTTGCCAGTAGCAGTATCTGAATTGGTTACTCGTTTTCTCGAGGATGAAAGCTGCCAATCGCATGCTCTCACTATTTTTGAGAACCAGCCAAGCTTGCCAAAAGCGGTGCTTAAACTCGCCATTCATTGGCTCAAGCATGAAGAGGCTCAAGTACGACGGGATGCCATAGGCTTGCTTGAAAACAAGTCGAATTTGTCGGAAGAAGTGCTTGAAATTGTTGCTCGGTTGCTTGAGGACGAGGACGAGGAATCTGACGTCCGATGTGCTGCCGCCAAGTTGTTCCGCAAACAGCGAAGCCTGCCAAAAGCGGTTCTTAATATCGCCACTCGTTTGCTCGAGGACGAGGACGAGGACAAGAACGTCCGAGCGTTTGCAATGCCTCTGCTTCGAAATGAGTCGAATATATCGAAAGCAGTGCTTAAAGCCGTCGCTGAATTTCTCGCGGACATGAAACAAGATATTTATGTACAAAAGGATGCTTACGGACTTCTTTTGAACCAGCTCAACCTTCCAGAAGATGTGCTTCTAATGGTTCTTCAGATCCTCGCGAAAGAGCCAGATGCGTTTGGATCATATGCGGAAAATTTCCTTAGTAATCAGTCCAGCTTGTCTCTAGCGGTGCTTCACAAACTCGTCCATATCCCGCACCAACAGGCTATTAGCTTCCTCAAAACTCAGCCAAGTCTACCGGAAGCAATACTTGTAAGGCTCGCGCAACGCGTCTATGACAGCACCAATTATTGGGACTATTCTGAGATCTTTGAAGTTTTTAAAGAGCAGACACATCTCTCAGAAGCGGGGCTCCAAGCAAGTGCTAATATGCTCGAGTCTCAAAACTCTAGTCTGTATTCATTTGCTTTAGACGTCCTCGAAAAGCGAAGCCTACCAACAACGGTACTAGAAACGGTGGCAAAACGTTTGCCATTAATATGCTTATCATACAGCGATCAGAGGCTCCTATGGATGCTTATGGGCAACCCTGAACTGATTCGCATATCCCAGTCTGTCGGTACATTTAGAGCGCTGTTTAAATACTTACTTCGACAAAGCTGCAACGTTCACTGCGCTTGGTATCACGATGGTCAAACCCATTTCTTGACTAGCGGCGGTGTCATTGTGGACCTATCGGACCTGGTTCCTACTTGTGTCATCAACCAAATGGTGCAATATTTCTCTGTTCCCACCGTAGCGATGGCATTGTGAGGTTCGAGAACGCGTTATTGGTACCATGTTGAGAAATGAATGAGACAGATACAAGCGTCGACCATGTCTGTCGGGATATATGGAGACATCATTGATAGATTGCTACACGGCTTTTAGCTGAATTCGTACAAGGCGAAAAGAAAAGAAGAATTTCCGCGATGTTGGTTCACGTTGTTATTTTGGTCTTGTGATTAAACTTGCGTCGCCCTTCGGATATTGATACGTCTCGGCGCCTGATCACCGCATTATCCTTCAGTTCGCCAAGATTTCACCCATATCGTTGGCTATCGGAATGCACTGTTTCAAGAGCCCACGATACTCCATATAACCCAGTCCGCCTACAGGAATGCATTGCGAGCCCGGAGTTCTACCGTGCTACATGTCCTCTGTACAAGAGAACTGTGCTTCAAGAAGCAGACTGAAGTGTTATGGACATGTGACGTTACAAATAGTGCAAACACGGAAGATTGAATAGTAGAAGCACCTGAATCCGTCTCCTCCGGTGTTGCGCGAGCATCTACCGGTAACTGCCGATATCTGATTGCAGAGTTGCGTGCGGGCAAGTGATTCTAGAAAATAGGGAGGAATGGATCTATCGAAGAATGATCACCCGGTACTAGATAACTACTACATACCAAGGCATCCATTACCTAAGTGATTAATTTTAGCGATGATCTTTCTATAGGTGGAGCGCTCAATGCGGTGATACATGTAGGTACAGCATCATCGAAGAAACCCCCCCCCCCCCCCCCCCTCTGGCTACAGGTCTTGTTTTAATCTCCAATTGCGATGCCTATTAGCCGTACATAAAATTCCCACAGAGAATTTGTTTCAAGTTTAATAGTAGAAAAAAAAAGATTCTGATCGATGGCCTGAATTAGAAAATAACGTAGTTGCTATTACCATGAGAAATACAAAAGAAGAATCAGTCTGGTTAGTATAGTGTTGTATCCTTCCATAGAGGAAGACTCCTAAGGTCATCGCGTTCAATTTTTACGCGACCCTTATCATCCAACCATGCACCCTCATCTGTGGTAGTAATTCCGGCTTGCGAGTTTGCCTCAATCTCCTTCTTGCTAAGCTTGGCCTTGTCAGATGGTAACCAGATTTTAGGTGTCTTTGATGTCAGGTTCGGATGACTGTAGGCGTTCTCATGATCGTCTTTAGTGTAATTCGGAGGATCAACATCCGTATCCTTCAGATAGCGCTTCATGACCCGATGCGATGTGTATATCTGAGGCTCAAAGAAACGGGCAATAGGATCCAGGATGCGGTGAGGCACGCGAACATCACGACCCAAGTGATGGATCCTTGAGCGGTCATGGGCTTCTTCAAGGACTTCCTCACCTTCCTCGGCCGCCAGTAGTGCATCTTCTTCACCCTCCCCCTCACCAATCAGCTTGGTGGGTAAATGGTCCTCTAGTGGATTCAAGAACCTGTTGCTAAAGTGATTGTAAATGGCCGTGCCAACAAAAAGAATGGCCATCAGGATCGATGGTCCTGTTGCTTTTCGGAGGCCCATCAACCCGATCAAAGCCAGTTCACCAACATAAACGCCGGTCAATATTTGAGAAAGAGATCGAGTATAGCACCTGCCCTTCGTCTCGAGCTTGGGCTGGACCACAAAGAAGAGGTTGTGGCGATAGCTTAGATAAAAGATTGATAATCCTGCGGAAGCAAAACCCATGACGAGCGGGCTGATGCAAGCATAAGCCAATGCGATGATGACAAAATTGGTAAACTTTGGATAAAGCTTGCCCCAACTCATACTCTTGAGACTTGTAAACTGATCGTACTTTTGTCTCGGTGTCGTGTTCCAAAACCAGTCCAGTAGATAGTCTGGGAGAACAATGAATTAGTATCCCAAGTGCCAATCAGGAGAAGCAGTGACTGTTTTCAAGCCATGAAAGCTCAACCCAGGTGAAGTACGGAATCTTACATTTCAAGAGATCGGACTGGTTAAGAATGTTCGATGCGGATGAGCCAAGGCCTTGCAGGATAAAGTATGTCAAGTAAAATTTTGACGACTTGGGGAGGTTCTCGGCAAGTAAGAGCGGAACTTGATGGGGTTGAGAGATAATGGCTGGTATCAGAGCCGTCGCCGAGGAAGACAATGCTGTCACAAAGAAAACTTGAATGATTTGGAACATGAAGTACCAATTCTGCACTTGGAGTTCTGCAGTCACCGTGGTGGGCTCACCAGACTTCTTGGCAACGTCTACGATCTGTTAGTTCTGATGTTCTCAGATACATGGGTCTTACGAGTTGGCACTCACATCTCATGAAAATGGGCACGTATGACGAGAGCAAACTTGTAATCAAAGGTGGCACAAAACCAGTCAATACTCCCAGAATTGGCGCTGGCAAGTCTTGCAGCCAATGAAGCCACTCGACGTTATTGCTGAGGTAGTTGACGTTGGACACCGTTCCCACAAATGCTGATATGACTGACCAGAAGAATATCAGTGCTGCAATAGTCAAGTTTCCAATGGTCTTTCGAGAGACCCGAATTGCTTGCGGTAGAGCAAGGTTGCTCCAAATGATTTCTTTCGGTAGAACGCCAATCAACTTGGTGTCGATCGCGAGATTGGTTGACGCTGGCAGATGAGACTTTGGGGCTGCCCGATATGCTCTCTGGGCTGCCGATTGGGACTGGTATTCGACAAAGACGGCGAACCGTCCATGGCTTTCATCAGTACTGAAACCCTCCCGTTTCTCCTCAACTTCGCGCGCAGCTTGTTCCAACTTTTCTCGGAGGTGGGAAATCTTGTCTCTGCCTTCACCTGTAATGAAGAAGCGCTTCTGTGTTGGTCGTAGCTCGTCGATTGTCTCTTCTGAGAGCTCGACATCATGTCCCTGCTTCTTGGACAGCTTGGATCGCTTCTTGGTAGTTTTCTGCAAAAAGGAGACTTGAGCAGACTCAAGTTTGGTGGCCTTCGAATCTCTTGAGCTCACAACGTGGTCAAGTTTGTCAGTGGAGCGGACCACCCACTGCTTCCGTGCCTCTTGCCCATAGTTCAAGGTCAGGTCGCCGTGAAGGGGCGCTTCTTTTGGAGGGTCGAGGTAAAGAACGGTGCGCGATGAAAGGCGGGAGGCGTTCGACTTGGATAGTTGCCATGCTTGCCGCAGTCCAATGAGCCATAGGCGTTCGCGTGCCACAACATACATGACAAAAATGTAAACGAGCCATGCCACGGCGACATGGGCCCATAGCCTCGAAGTATCGGCGACATTGCCGAATCCAATCTTCTCCAACTGCGAGAGGTTCCCCCCTCCAGTGGCATTAACAGGAAATAAGATGGGCCATGTTATACACGACCCGACGAAGCAGATGAAGATGATGGTCCTCAGGAAACGTAGAAACAAGTACCCATCAAGGGACGAGTGCTCAAGGATGAATCTATCGTCAAGCTTGAGTAATGCACTGATCCAGTCTAAGCGGGAAGTGCTTGAAGAGGGCGTGCGGTGTCTATGCAAGCATTAGTTCTTATTTTAAACGACGACAAAAAGCAGCTTGGGATATTCACTTTTCGGGTATCAAGTCAATGTATGTCCTAGGTGAGTAGATCCTACGGAATGGTTTTCGCAGTATCATGAACAGCGCAATGTAGAAGATCGCAACTATTAGCGAAGGAACAAAGGCCGCAAGGACTGCTGGCAGAGATGTGGGCGGCGTATCATTGCTGGCCTGTCCACAAGTCAGTGATTTGTCGGCGATGTATGCGCTGGACGCGAGCCTCGAGAGTTCGCGGCGGACCCCCAAGGTGGACTTGCACCTACGTCATCGTTATTGGTGGTTTCGAATATGGCGGCAGAGTGCGCGTTCGACGCCATATCTGGCGACAGAACCACCTGTACCTCCATGGAAGCAAGAAACTACAGATTCCAGATGTGAATAGTAGTGTTTAACACTTTTGAAGAATCGAGTCTGAAAGTTGGCGAAAGAGGCGACGCGGCAGGCAGACGAGTTCGTTCTCGGCCAGCAGGTCGCTTGTTTATTGCTGTGCCCCACTTTTCCTGCTCCTGGTGCATGCCAGCCTCTTTGTAGGCAGCACATGCGCGATTCGGGGTAGCTTGTGGTGCAACACACATGTTTCAAGCTCGTGTCCAACATCAAGACCTTCAACAAACTGATCATTTTCTGTGCATATGAATTATTGTTCATCTATCATCTGAATTCTTCGGTATTGAGATTCATCAAAGCATGATACATGTGACTTCAATCCGAATGTTCGGCATTGTCCTGTGACGGTATTTACACCACCACAAGACCTGGGCCATCCTTTACCTGCTAATTTGGCCCGTTAACATGCTTTTGAAGAAGTCTTCAATTTGGGCCCGTGCCAACTTACAAATCTGAGTCACTGGAATCAGAGCTCAATATTTTTATATCGTGTAATTACTCAAGCAGTCGTGTCCGTGTGTTTGAGATATTTAATTCAAGGGACGTCAGCTGACATTTGCCTGAGGTGGCAGATTTAAACAGTTCTCAAGATAATGCACCGTGATCTCACACGAACTCGAGGATGGTTTTTAGTGATTATGTGCTTTGGAACATGTGTATTACGAAAAGTGCTGTGCATTGGAATCTCCAAGTGCACAAATGGTATTCTACGTTCTAAATCATTCATATTTTCTTCATGACTGCAATGGCAATGTCCAAAACGTTCCTTATGTTTGCACGCCCGCGCGGGGGTCGACATCACCAGACAGTGTGCCTTGCTCCCTAGCCGACTTGATCGCCTCCCGCTGTTCCGCCTGTTCGGCCTTTTTCCTGTTTCAATCATTAGCACATAAATGTCCGAGAAGATTGCTCATGCGTAAGGGAGAAACATACCGATCCAAGTCACTAGCAAGATCTGGCTCCGAACCGCTCGCACCAGGCTTCCTGCTTACTACATCGGCAACATTGCCCTCTCCGGGCGCCCGCATCTGTTCGCCGTCGAGCTCCCGGTGGCGGCCGACTTGCTCCTCCGTCCTGCCGTACTGCTCCTCGCCGGGCGGTGCGCCTCGAATTCCGCGCGTCACACTGGTGGGCGTTGCCTCGTGGATACCCGACGACTGGCTTGTTGGAACGCGCTGCTCGACAGCAGCTCCGTGAGTATGGCTGCGAGCAGAATGGAGCTCTTGGGGGGTTGAATCAATTCCGACGCCTTCCGTCTCGTAAGCAGTTGCCTTTGGTGGCTGAGAGGGGCCAGTGGGATCCATGATGAGTGCTGGTTTGTCGAAAAGTGAGGACAGTGTGTAGTTTATTATGTCTGAGTAAATGGTAATGTGATATCGCGTTTTATTGTGTAGAACAATTTATAATTCTGTATTTACATTTAATACAATAAATCTGTAGTCGTTGAAGTCATTTCAGCGTTGTTTGTCTTGCAGGTGATGTCGTCATTCTTCTGCAACCCAAACTGCCCTAGGTATACTTAGTCGGTCCCTCTAGCCTCACCTCAACACGACGTCACTCCGATCCGCAACCCCCAATGCTTGTTTTCAACTCCACTGCAATCATAATAATCAAGCGGATACAATACCTAGGACTAATATAATTATGGACGGTACGTATTTCAAACAATGAAAAGTGGCAGATTGCCTTCCTGCACAGATAGCTAGGTTGCTTGCCGAGCACACGCGGCGCCATTGCTGAGTGTTCCGCGCCAGCGATGTGTCATTGAGATTCGATCGCATGAAATCGGTGAAACATGAAAAACATCGTCCTTTGGCAGTTTTGGGATACAAATACAAAAGCCACATGATAGTTTCTATGGTGGATGTCTTGGACATGCAAATCTTCCTAATGTATTGACCAATGACATGTTCTGTACCTAGATTTCACAGTACTCTGTACGGAATACAGTTACCTTCAGTCTGCGATATTGCCAAACACCACATTTGACCGCAGTGTATTTGCATCACTGACTGCTGCTTCCGGGAGATTCGGAGAAAGAATTCCTTCGATTCCCGCCAGTTTGCACGGCGTCAATCACCGAACCGGGCGATCAAGGCCCGTCCACAAAGGTCAGTCGGAAATTGGGGATTGTCCCGATCGGAAGGACCCACGGAATGTTGGGACCCGTGAAATACTCGCGACGGGAGCCAATATTTTGGTAGTACACGTATTAGTAGACGAAATATTAATTACCAAACATTACATATTCAAACACTTCAAAAGTTTTTTTCAATTTCAATTATCAGCCAACTTTCCACCATGGCAGACGCACAAAATGTTGACCTTCCCGAAGGGGCCTGGGATACGCACATTCACGTATTCGAGCCGGAGCGTTTCCCCTACGGACTGCCCCGCTCATATACGCCCAAGGCCGCCGCGCTGAGAGATTACCCCTTTGGCACCACCAAGGCCACCAACATTGTCGTGGTGCAGGCGACGGTCCAAGGGCACGGCGCGGGGCCGCTCCTCTCGGCACTGGGCGAGGGGGTTCCCGCAACGTGCACTGGCGTGCGAGGTCTCACGACGGTGGACCCCACCGCGGCCTCTGACGCCGAGCTGGACGCGCTGCACGCGGCGGGCGTCCGCGGCGTCAGGATGCACGAGGTCAAGTGGGGACATGGCGATGAAGCTGGCGCGGGCGCCATTGGCGGCAAGATCAAGGCCATGTCCGAGAGGATCGCGCGGCTGAGTTGGGTGGTCGATGTCTTTACCGACGTGCGTACCTGGGCCTCGCTCGATGGGCTCATTCGCAACGAGATTGATCCCCGGGTCAAGCTCGTCGCGGACCACCTCGGCAAGCCAGTGCCGGGTGATGTGGAATCGGCAGATTTCCAGGTGTTCTTGGGGCTCGTTAGAGACGGTTACGTTTACGTCAAGCTCTCTGGCTTCGAACGCCTGTACCACGGTTACGAAGCTGGAATCGACTCTCTCGAGTCTGCAGTCAAGGCTCTGGTCAAGGCTGGACCAGAGAGAATATTGTTTGGAACAGGTGAGATGCTCCTCTGGCATATGCTTCGGCAATGCACACTAACATTATCATACTGTAGACTGGCCTCACACTCAGCTTGGCGTATCACGACAAGGCAAAACGGATGAACAAAGACTCACAGAGATAGAAGATTTTCGGGATGTCGATGATGCACTGCACATTCGGAAATTGCGGTCCTGGATTCCAGACGAGCAGACTTGGATCAATTTGTGGCGGGAAAACCCCAAGCGCATTTTCCAGTAGCTGGGTTGGCATAGTAAACATGGTTAGCTGTTAAACCTGTATCATTTACTATAATTCCATATGCATGTTCTGACTCTTGCACTCTATATATCTGATCATGAATGATTTGCGGTTCTATGTCAATCTAAGTCGCTCAAAGGCGCGCCGCTACCGTGCTCGTTGACTCCAGCGCAGATTGTGCATTCACAATCTTCGCAGCACTCTGGCCTGCTTTCCTTCCGAATACAGCACCAGAGGTTAGACCACTACCTCCGGGATAATTTTGGTAAAAGAGCCCACCAACCATTTCGCCACAGCAAAACACGCCTGGCACAGTCTTTCCGGTCAAATTTGAGATCACACCCGACGTGGTCGGATCAATGGCCAGTCCTCCAAATGTGAATGTGACGCCACACCTCACACGGACAGCCATAAAAGGACCCTTGGTCAGGGGCAAAGCCCAGTTAGACTTTGGGATTTTTAGTTTCTTTTTGGACGACTGTGTTGAGAGTCCGTCTTTGACTGCCGGGTCCCATTTTTTGCTGTGGTTCTCTTTTCGGAACAAGGCGACAGCTTCGTTATACTCCTTGACTTCCTCGACAAATCTTCCGGGATTCTCCAACCCGTATCTGGCACACTTGTCGGCCAGCTCCTCTATTGTTTCTGCGGAAATCTTCTCGACAATTTCGTCTCTGTATTCCTCACTTCGCAGCCACGGAATTCCTTCGGAGTCCCAAATCTGGAAAGCGGTACCGCCAGGCTGACCCAGAATTGCCTTGCCAAACTTTGCATATGTGTAATTCCGTAGATCACTGCCTTCGTCGAAGAAACGCTCTCCAAGGTTGTTGAGGGTGATGCCCAGTGGATATCCGGATTTGGTAAATTCATTTGAAATTATGCGATCTCCAGAGTTTTGAGGAGAGTTGGCGTCCCAGGCGGTGGCATGACATCCTGACCAGTGACCAGCCTGTTTCGCCGCCATGTCTCGCATAGCAATTTCAAGGACCTCGCCAGTGTTGTAGGGTGTGCCGCGGACATGAGCCAGATCCCATCCGTGACCGAGATATTGGGCTCTCATGCGCGGGTTAGCCTCAAACCCACCGGCTGCCAGAATGATGCTCGCGGCTTGGATCTCGACATGATCCCCCGTAGCCACTTCAGCTATGAGGGAGGTGAAGGCACCCGTCTTGGGATCTAGATTGATCTTCTTGGCTGCGGTCGAATGCCAAACCGTAATCCCAAGACGTTTGCAGGCAGCCTGGTGGTCCTCGACCAAGCCTTTGCCGCCGTCTTCTGTTTTGAGGGCCAGGCCACCCCAGAACTTGTATCGCCCATTCACTTTGTAGGCCTGGCGATTGAAACTCAGTTGATACCGCACACCATGACCTGCTAGCCACTTGATAGCAGCATTTGACTCGTCCACCAAAGTCTGCCCCAAAGCCGGGTCAAAGCGACCGTCGGTGACGCGACGCATGTCGTGGAGGAAGTCTTCCCTGGTATATGGCGCGAGATCAATCTGCTTTGCCAAACTGGCATCTACATTGTTGACCACGGGCAGTATGTCTCCTAGTCCGCCGTGGACGGTGCGCATCGCGCCAGCAGTGAAGTAGGAGTTGCCGCCTGCCCAATCCTCTGGGCATTTGTCAATGAGCAGAACCTTGCCTCTGTGGGAAGGTCCGAGGGATTCTGCAGACGAAATCGCTGCAGAATACCCAGCATTTCCGGCACCAACGACGACAATGTCGAATTTGTGGTGAGCGCTGTCCGAGGGTATGGCCGGCATCTTGAGAAGTAGGAGGAGCCAGTACCCAGCGCCTGGAAGATGGATATTATGTTGCGATTTAGTGGTTTGTATAAGCAGTGTTTGCCAATTGTGGCTGACTGGATATTTATTATGCCTGACTGTAAGAGAATCCCGTCTTATCGTACGACTAGATCTTGTTCAAGGATGACAACTCCCGTGCTACGTTCATTTCCATGCGTGTGCGGTTGTTTGATCCCCCGTTCTTATCATGGTCATGGCCTCGGGGATTTGCAATGTGGCGGGCACCATTAGTGATGATCAGCGCCGGAGCATAAACGTCCGTGGCGGCATGTCACAGCGCGCAGTGGAGTTTTGTCCACTAATTCTGTTGTTGGCGCTGTCGCAGGGCCTGGGGCACTAATTCCCGGCGCCTTTAGTCACCTGGGCAGTTAGCAACGACAACTTCCTCCAGGCCACATGCTTTTGCTTCGACGAGAATGAAGTCCTGAAGCAATAATGCCCATTCACTCGCATCTATACAGAACCTGGCAGATGCTTAAAATTACTGCAGGCTAAAGATACTAAATCTTCATAACTTTAGTCTACAACGCAAATGATCTTGCCAGCATTGACATTGGCTTCCATTCTCTTATGTGCCTCGCCAACCTGCTTCCAGGAGTATACCTTATCCACCGTGATCCTCATGGTTCCATCCGCAAGCCCGGGCAGCGCCAATTCAACAAAGCGGTCACGTAGCTGCTTTTGATACTCCTTGCTTCTCGTGCGCAGGGTAGTGGCCATGACCCAAATCCTCTTGTTCATCAGCTTTCGAAGGTTGAACTCGTCAATGACGCCTCCGCTCATGAGTGCAACGAGCACAATCTTCGAGTCCATGGCCAGCGAGGCGATATTGCGGTCCCAATAGTCGTGACCGACAAGGTCGATAATGAGATCTACGCCGCGACCCTTGGTCTCTCTCCCTACCACTTGGGCGAAATCCTCATCTTTTCTGTAGTTGCAAGCGAAATTGGCGCCTAGTGACTTGCATAGTTCCGTCTTTGCATCTGATCCTGCAGTCGTGAAAACTGTCCTGGCGCCGCCGTGCTTTGCAACCTGTATCACGGCTTGGCCAACTCCTGAAGCTCCAGCATGCACAATGACATCCTGGCCAGATTGTAAAGCGCCGACTAGATGGACTGCTTGAATTGCTGTAAAGTAAGTCTGCATGTTTTGGTTAGTCTACCATGAACAGTCGATTGGCGGCTAAATCGTACCTCTGGAATACCGGCCGCCGTCTCAAAATCCAGAGATGGCGGTTTGTGCATAAGCATATTCTCAGACACGGCAATCTGTTCGGCATACTGACTTTCTCCCCGTCAATTCACAATCATCATCTGGGGGCATTTTAAGACTGACAGCACTTCCATAGGCCAGCCCAAAAACTGCATCGTCAATCTTGAAGTCGCTTCGGCCTGAGAGATATCGTTAGGACTCCGGCGCTCTACTTGGATCAATCTTGAACTTACATTCAACGCCAATGGCCTTCACAACACCACTAAACTCGACGCCCATGAATTCTCCTGATTCTGGCAGCAGCGGATACGGATACTTGTCCTCTCTCTGCATGATATCCATACGATTCAGTCCAAAAGCCTTGATGTGTACGAGTATTTGGCCGGGCCCTGCCACCGGATCCGGCTCATTTTCGCTAATGTAAAGAGCATCGGCATCTCCTTTGCCATTCCTGACCCGAACGGCCCTCATCGTATTCGATATTTCAAGATGTCCTCCGTTTCTAATGTCTGCTATGTATTATTACGCACATCCAGATAGCAGGTATCCTGCCTTTGTAGTCTTGCGCAACTTGAGCTCGGCTCGGAGATACTGGCGGGTTTCCCCGTTCCGTTCCGATCATATGCACCCCACACCCGAACTCAATTGCCGGGCCCCGTCCCTCCGCGGCGTTTACACGCATAGCCGCTTCGAATCGGGGCAGTGGCAATAAGCTTGCCGTCGACAAATAGATGGTTGTCACATGAGTATGAGCAGACAAGGTTCATAAAGCAGTTGTGCTGGATCGAGATTTAAGGAAAGCTAAATGAAGATATATCAGATTATACTGCCCATTTGATTGTTTTGTGCATTACAAACTGTGGAAGACTACCTGCCCATCTACTTGAATGGAGTTGAGATCAAAAGACACGCAAATAAAAGAAGAAAGTTTGCATTATGGCACCTGGAGTTACCACTACCGAGGTTGAACAGTCCTCCACGCTTAATCCCGTCAGCCAAAAGGTTAATGGGCCGCCTCCAACAAACCAGAAAGAGGACTCCTTTTTCGAAGATGTTCACTTTCTAGGCGACAAGGATGGCAATATTGTCATTCGCTCTCCTCCCAAATTTGCCAATGTCAACGATGAGCTCGAGTACAAGAAGCAGCACTTGGCGGCAGCATTCAGAGTCTTTGCCAAGCAGGGCTTTGACGAGGGAGTAGCTGGCCACATTTCACTGCGAGATCCTCGAAACTCAGGTGTGAATACCTTTTGACCTCGTCTTCAATCCTTGTGGACTCTTTCTAGGGCATTATAGCTGATTGATTCGCATCGCAGAACACTTCTGGATCAACCCTTTGAGCAAGCACTTTTCGCAAATCAAGGTCAGCGACCTGGTGCTGGTCAATGAAAAGGGCGAGGTGCAGCCGGGCGGCGCTCAGTACCCAATCAACGGTCCGGCATTTGCTATTCACTCGGAAATCCACAAGGCGCGGCCCGACCTGAATGCGGCGTGCCATGCTCACTCGGTGTACGGAAAGGCATTTTCATGTTTTGGTGAGTATAACAATATTTGGTGTTGTTTTCTTCCCATGGGTATTTTCGGAGAAACTGCATACTCTGCTATGTCTGGGGGCGTTTGTCTATTGTCTCCAAGAACCTGAGATCAGTAATCTTTGATTCCATGACATGTGCCCGTACATCATAATCTCAACTAAAAGAACACGAGAGGCTAAGACAATTTTCAAGGTCGCGTCATTGAGCCATTGTACCAGGATGCAATCCGCTTCTACAATGACCTAAGCGTCTACGACGCATACGGCGGCACCGTGGTGTCGACCGAGGAAGGGCAGCGAATCGCCGAAGCGCTGGGCCCAAAGAATCGCAGCATCATCCTACGCAACCACGGCATCATCACCTGCGGTAACACGGTCGATGAGGCCGCCTTTCTCTTCATCTCTCTCGATCGCTGTTGTCACTCTCAGCTATTGGCCAATGCCGCCGCAGGTCCCGGTTGGGAAAAGGTCTATATCGAAAAGGATATTGCCGAGATGACGCACATGAAGAGTGGCAATCCGAGCAAGATGTGGTTGGCATTTCAACCATATTATGACCAGATCGTGGCCGAGACCCCAGATGTTTTGCAGTAGACGTATAGTACCACTTGCCTAAGGTTCTTCCCATCAGTGAAAGTCAAAAGGGTGAAACGAGCATGCGTTTGGGATCAATAACTTGGATGAAGGCATGAGAGGGACTTTCTAATGGAGAGTTTTCAGCTTTTTCTTTTCTTAATTTTCCCTTTCCTTCAGTAATCAGATAGCGATTTGAACTCGTCCTAAGCAGATACCTTCTGACCTAGGCGTGCATAATACCGTTTCGATCATTCCCTGAAGTCCAATCTGCATCTCCTATATCTTGGAACCCATCCACGGCGTTCATAAAGCCAAACAGCGCATCACTCATACAGGGCTCACTGGCCATACCAGTGGCGGCTTGCTGTGCTACTTCATCACCAAATTCCAAAGGAGCGAATGTGTCAAATATGGAAGTCAGCGTCGCAGACTGAGGTGACACTTCGGGCAGACAGGCGGCGGTGACTACACTGAGTGGATCTGGTGATTGCGTAACTATAGTTTTACGTTAGCATCACTCGTCAATGTACGGGACATAATGGAATACCTTGTGGCTCAGCAATCCCATGCTTTCTCATCAAGCCCCGAATGATCTTTGCGGGCTGCGTTACGCCTGGGTTAGGCGTCGACAGTTCGTCTAGGGCTTTGAGGCTTCTAAATAACAATCGACTATGCTCTCCGTCACTATGGTCCTTCTCCAAAGCCGCGTTCCGGACGTGTATAGTGCAGCTAACGTAAGCAGCATAACTGGTGAGGTAGGGTGCACCTCTGAGAGTGTACGTTGCACGATATGCACAAACGATGCCTGTGATGCTGCGCGCTGCTGCCATGCACTTCTTCCAGCACGATCTAGTGTCAGCTCTGGCTTGAGTTCTCAGGTGCCCATCGGAGACAAATGGTCGGTTCAAGAGTATGACCAGCGAGTGGTAGATATTGTGAAGATTCAGGACATTGGGGGTAGGCACAGTCTCATCCTTGGCTCGTCGGTCGAAATTTAGGTGAGACGGCAAACCATTATACCAATCGGTGAGAGCCGCATCCAGCATCTGCAAATTCGCAGCCGCTTTTGAAGTCGCGGCGTGAGACGAATAGAAACAATCGATGATGCGGGTCATCAGCTTGGACAGGAAACAAAGCTGCTGAAAAGTGGAAACTGAATATACCGGGGTTGGCTGGCACATGATTCCCGAGAGTGGTATTTCGGTATCGACATATGGTGTCCATAGATCCAACTCTTCAAAGGTATCAGCGAATTCGGTCGGGCATCTATTGTCATGTAGATGCATGGCCATGGGTCGTCCAAGGTAAAGGCTCTGCAATTTGTCGCATATGAACGCGCCCCAAAAGACTCGCCGCCTGATCTCCACGTCCTCGGGACTTGTTCCGGGTCTGCAGTCAAGATGCAGGCCCAGGTCGTACACCATGCGTGCTGCGAACCCAGTGTAAGACCAGCCTTTGCTTATGTCGCCGCGGGCAATAAAGGTCGAGCCCAGCAAAAGAAAGGCGCCTATGGTGGGGATACTCGGCCTCCCAAACGGTGGCTCGCTAGCGATTAGCTCGTCACAGCGTTCAAAGAAGCGCTTTCCGGCGCTCAGGGGGTCTGTTGGGTCGTCGCGCAAGTAGACGCGGTCCGAGTATTTGCTGGCGCAGGCAAAAATGGCATTCAAGAGGAGTTTTGAACAATGCGGGCCCCCATGCAACAGATCGCGAAGTAGTGCTGGACGATATGTTAATAAAAATGTGTGGTGCTGCCGATTCCAATGCAGATCGAGCAGGTGTGTCGCTATGTGAACTGGAACTCCATCTATATCTGGCAGCAGCCTGATGCGGAACTCCTTTTGCCGTTCCAGGGCTGCGTTGGCAATGAGCTGGTAACTGGTTTCCTTGGTCACGGAGAACTCTGCGACGCTCGAATGTCTCCCCTGAGCGGGATCGTGTAGGGTCGATGTCAGCCCAAACACGCCAACGTGGCCGTGGTCATCGACAGAAACGTGGTTAAGAGGATCGAAGCCCGCTTCTGAGCTGGTGTCTACATTCTCTTCGCTAGACTCATGTATCAGGGGTGACAATGGAGGACTAGTTGGGCTTTGCTGGCTTCCAATCCGTCCATTGGGTAGTTGATTGGGAAGCACATTGGGTAGTTGCACTGACCCATCGACCACGTCGAGTCCTTCAAGAATGGCGGCGGTCTGGCTTGGTGTAGCTGCTTTCAAACGTAGTAGGAAAGCCTCTAGAGTTTGTTTTTGCTGCTGCAGAGATGATACTACAGCGGCTGATGGCCTAGCACATGTCAGAACGGGCATATCACTAGGGATTTGGGAGACTCTTCACCTTGGCCGGGGTTTCTCATATCGGTATATACATGTTCGTTTGTGCGTGGCGCCTGGGAATCGAGTTAGTAGTATGAAGCAACAAGAACAGCCAAGGACCGTTCAAAATTTGAAGTGACGTACAGCTCGAGCATTCTGGCTGGCCCTTATCACATTTGATCTACCGCTCTCAGTCAGTATAGGGTTGAGCCAAATCGGTGTGGATTCGGGAGATGAGTAGCATACTTTCCGGACCCGACAGAACTGACAAGCTCGGGGCTGACATGCCACACTTGACTCGGCGTTGGTGTTGTCTCTGCTACTAGACTGACTTCGAGTACTCATCGCGGTGCAGCACCGCCACCCGGCTTGTCAAAGGCCGTACAAGGGCCTTCTTGGCTCCGGCGTCGATCCGGGGGCACACTCCGTGGCAGTGCCCGCCCAGCTCGGTTTTGTATAATTCTGCCCGTTTACTCGGACAGACAGAACAGATCTGGCGTTGACCACAACCGGGCCGACCCAGTAAAAATGCTACTCCAGGGATTGATGGTATCATAGGCTAAGGATATGAATCTCATGACCGATGCATTGGAGCCGTATACAATTCAGTATCACCATGAACTCCTCAGGGCCCAGACCAGCTGATCACGTCCCCTAGGATGCTCATTCATCCTGCCCAAGCTTCCGGTATCCTCCCCCACATCGGCACTGATCGGTTTGCATCGCCCACAGATGACGCTATAACGGAGCAACAAGCCCTGTGGGGATGAGGGGAACCCAGTCAAGCCAGTCTAGTGCTCTTACCTGCATTGCAGCATCGCGGTGGACGGGCGCAAAGTTTCCGTATTGTGTCCAAGCAAATGCCCAGCAACGGAAAATGACTCTCCGTTTCATGGTTCATGAATTCAACCCCCAGCCAATAGGCTTGAGTGCTTGGCTTCATTGAAGTTGGAAAGGCATTAGTATAGGTAGTAGAATTTTTATCATCAGCACCATAATCAAATTGTTCAAGTTTGTTTCCAAGTTTCCAATTTCGCTACAGCCGCGATTGGGATGCCGAATGATACCAAAATGATTCTTCTCAAAGGTACGATGCAGGTTTGCTCACTTTTGAACGCTGCTATCAATTGCACGACTCACGAACACACGAAGAAGTTCCCTTACGAAGTCCCAAGTGCTTATGGCGACTTGCACCTCAATAATTTACTCGTCTAGAAAACCAAATCAACCATCTTTTCATACTTCTACACACTTTCTCCACAAATATTCGTGCGGAAGTTGAAGAAAGGTCTTGGAGACATCAGTCGGTGGACACTAGGTACGGAAGTACTATACCCAGTTTCCCCTCCAGCCAAGCTGAACAATCAGCCCCGATTCTGGTCAACCAAATCCGAATCCTCGAGTGTGAATCTAAATTAACGTTTATTTCATGGCAATGGCATTCCACATCTTCCTATTTATCCTAGCTCCGGTTGGGCTCTGAAGAAAACACGGCTTTCAGTACACAACCTCACTCGACGAAGTCAGAACACTACAACTTATTGGAAAAGGAATGATGTGCTCACTAATAAGGGTCACGGTCTACTAACTGCACTATATTACTATGGCCTAAATCAACAGCGCTAGAAATTATATTGTTTAAGAGCTAGACACCAGACACACAAAGTACTTCAAACAAATCTTCATGACAATTATCTGTTGTGCATATCATGACACTTCACACAGGGTTAATAGATGTGGCCAATGACTGCCATTTATAGATAAGGTTTGCTTATGCTTATGCATTACCGGAGCTGGTTTCCATTTAAGCATAATACGTACCGTACCGTATCTATACCCAGTTCAGCCCACAGACATGCTGCATGCACGAACGACAGTATTGTGTCTGCGTCCAAACATATCATTCGTGCCCAACAGAACATATGCTCTTTTAGTGCATCACCAGGTTGACCGTCAGTGCGCTCAAAGGGCCAAATGACATGATTTTAGGTCCGGATATCCCGGTGTTTGGTCAATAAGCACCACCGAAAGCATAGACTCTGTCAAGGTGAAATGGCGTCGGGTGCCTTATAAACGGTGCGCCTTGGCGCGCTGGTCCAAGTTTCAACTAATGGTCGTCCTTTTTCACAGTTCGTACAAATTCTCGGGCCGTCATGAATGACTTTGTCCATAACGCGATCCTGTCAGACCCCTTGACCCGCGGGCTGCTGAATTTCGTTTTAGGGGCTACGACGATTATAGAGGGTTTGGCCGCCGATCGCATCCACGGGATCATCCTGCACGGCGCACTACGAGCGACTACCCAGCCTCACCATGGAGACGGTGAACTGCAGCCCACAAGTCACAGTGGGCATTGCCCACAACGCTTATCGTTTTGATCTTCTCGGCGCAGGATCGAAATTTCTATTTCTTATGACATCAAGGCTGCATATGTATATAGAAGGGGCGCGATCTGCCATCACGTTTGACATCCCAGTTTGCCTCCGATATTGTCTGACTTTGCTTGTTTATTTGTTTTGTGTATTCGAAATTCGCAGGCCGAATATATAAAAGCGCTTTAAAAATGATTAATTCGATACGTGGTTCCACCTTACTCTTGGGCGCCTTGAGGCTCGCCACCTTGTGCAATGCAAGCTTCAACTGGACCGAAACGAAATATGTGATAGCCTTTGGCGATTCATATTCTTTCGTCCAGGGTACTGCCGGCTATCCAAGATACTCCTTCATCGGCTCCATGCTTGATGGACAGTTCGCCTTCTCAGCCTCGCAACTTCTCGACGACAGGATCGTCCAGAACTTCACAGGCACGGCCGAGGGTGGACCAAATTGGCTCGAGTATCTCACCAACTGCGCCGTGGAGGATGGGCAGTATGCACCGGCCGACTGCCCAGTGCAGCTATGGGACTTTGCCTTTGCCGGCGGCTTCATTAGCAGCGAGTTCATATCGGGTGGCCGCGACTACACGATACCCCTAGTCAACCAGACTCAGCAGTATCTCACATACGCGGACCCGGTGCTCGCCGAGTCGCCCGTCTCCATGGACAAGAGCAAGGCCCTCGTGTCCATCTGGATTGGCATCAATGATGTCCTCGATAGCAAGTACAAGAAGCCGTTGCTCGAGTCGTATGAGAGCTTCTGGACCCGGGAGTTGGATGCCCTCTTTGCACAGAGTGTGACGGCCATGCTCGCGGCCGGTTACCAGAACTTCCTATTCCTCAACCTGCCGCCGTTGGATCGTACGCCTGAGAACCAGCAAACGAAGCACAAGTATCCAAACAAGAACGGTGTAGATACGTGGTCCGATTTGCTGTCAGAACGCATTGAGTCCTTTCAACAAGAAAACGACGGCGTACAGGCGATGCTCTATGATATCAATACCTTCCTGAACGGAGTCATGGACGATCCGACTGCTTACGGCATAACCAACACCACCACGTACTGCGCAGGATATAATCATCCGGACGTCATCACAAATCCTGAAAAGTACGACTGTGCACCCCTAGACGAATACTTTTGGTATAATAGCCTGCATATGTGAGTAACGCGTGCCTTGAGCGGTTGCTGGATAATGAAAAGGAGATGACAATAAAGGAAGCAACTCAGCTAATCTTGCCAATAGGACATCGCATACTCACAAGCTCGTGGCAGCCGATTTGGCCGATTATCTGGAGATCCAGTCAGCATAAGATCAATAGCGAAATATCATACCCTTTTGTTTTCAGCCACAATCTAAATAACACATGCCATTGACATGTCCAATTTCGGTGCAGCACTTCTTTTCTCAAAGCGTGTCTTCATGTTAACAGGTATAAATTGGGCTTGCAGTTGCGATAATGCTATATCAGCCTTGCAAGGCAAATGCCGTCTGATGATGCAACTCTGATCCTGGCCGGCCAGCTTTCGAAACAGGAACTCTTTCGGTCCTCAGGAGCGTAAGATCTTCCCGCTATAGTGTGACACAATGAGCTCTTACGCGAACCGGCTCATCCTACTTATGATCTACAGCCAGAAATGATTTGCCAGATCTTGGTCAAGCGAGGTAGGATCCTAGCCCGAATGCCCACGACTTATCTTGGAGGATTAATGATTTTGCTTTGAGTGATCTCAGTGGGGTGCCTACCTATTTTGTGACCTAAGATGTGCCCATGTTCCTATGATGCGATTTGATGATCGTCTTTGGTGGCCAGCTCAAATATGTGAGACGAAATGAGGATGCATACTCGACATTGAAGCTCCTAAGGATTGTTATTACCGCTTTGCTATCTTCATATGAGACACAGACTTGCCGTGGCAACTTGGGAAAATATTGAAATCACTGAATTGACCCGATGGTTTGTTGCTAGGTCCGCAGAAGAATAGATATTGAGCTGGGGCTTGACTGGTCAAGACTGGGTTGCATCATGAAACTAGTGTTGTCGGGACGTGGGCAGATTTACTTGGGCAGTGTGGACAGGGTCATGACCATGGTTGCAATTGTTTCAGTGCCGCTCAATTGGATTTGCCGCTACGATCTTCCAAATGGCTGATTGACTATTGCGAGGGTTACCTCCTAGCAAATGGCGAAGGAAACAGCTTTCACCAGTGACCGTGTTCGGATGAGGGGCTCATCTTCTGAAACGTCTTTCCTGTTGAACTCTTTCTCGGGTGTGTCAAATGCTGGTCCGTGTTTGTTCGACCCGGAGAATTTCAGCGCCCTTTTATTGGAGAAGCCCGAAAGCAGTGCATCCATTGCCGTCTGGACGGATCATTCCGAAGTGGTTGCAACCTTTGGGCGCAGGCGCCTATGATTTGATACTCTAACATCTTCAGGCAGTTGCTGGAAAGTTGGGCCCGGATGAAGGGTATCGAACGAGTAGCCGGCACGGCATCAATTCTGCGGCCCCGCGTGTTCCAAGACAAGAGGACTATACCGTTGCTCTGCGAACGAGACTTGAGCTTTAGAAAGAAGCACACACTATTCTGCTCAGTCTGGTATAAATCCGGTGGAGTCGGACCCTGATACTGACCACACAACGCGGATGGCGGGCCGGCGGTTTTGGCAAATCTTGCGCCAAAGTCTGAGGCCTTTTTTCTTGATGGCATCGAACAATCAGGCCATCATAGAGCACTTTGATCTGCATTTTCCCCAGTATAAAAGAGCCATTTAAATGCACCATTGATCGGGGGGCGCGAGGTGGAACTTGAAAGAAGCACGGCAGTTGGTATTACCTAAGGCATGCCATGCGCGCGTACCAACAACCATCTTTGATTTCACAAAGCCTTCTCCCGGGAAATCAATCGATCTTGTGTACAACTAATGACAGAAAATGAGAGAAGTCGTTTGTCGGTTACAACATGCATGCACCTAGACACTTGACAGGCCCACAGATTGTAGCGATGCAATCGAATAAGTGGCCGCCGAACCGTGTAGAAAGTAGGTGTGTGCCGTTGAGCAAAACAGCACCCATTTCTGCCCAGCGGGGCCACGATGCTCTGGCCTTTTGATAATAACGAGAGGTCGACAGCACGATAATGGTTATCCGAATAAATGACTCGTAAAGTGCATTGATGACCACGTAAATTCCATCTGTTACTGGCATGCTTTTCAATGTGAAAGCGACACGCCGAACGCTTCTCCACTGCATGGCGGCGGCAAAAGCGACGAACATCCTTGGAGTAGAAGAAGCAATTGCTCAATGTCTCTGGTACTGTGGCCATGGACAACCTCAATGATGACGAAGCCCTTGATTCCACGACGAGTACTCTGAACAGGTTTCGATTGATTACATCCTCTGTATCCTATTCACTGCAATACTGAACAGGTATTTACAATTTATTCTCATGTTTGCTTATCAATCTCAATTTTGATTCCCAGAAAGAAAACCTTTTAGCAACTAAGCAACCGACCGCTGGACTGGACCCTTGCCGAGTGAGCACGTTCATGACAGTCGTTTTCCTGAAAGAGCCCCTCTGGAGGCGGGTCCTTGACCTTGACGGCGGGCAAAGCGGGAACAAGATTCTACAGGCAAGATCCCTCCAGACTTTCGCTCTAGTGTCTGCCCCAAGCATGGCATCCTACCTTATTAGGTAGCCTCTAGGAAAGGGGGGGTCGTGATCATGCCCTGCGGCGATTGCTAGGGAAAGAAGCGGCACTGTTTGTGTGAGGAGGATGAAAAGGAACCCGAGGAACAGGTACGAAGTAACGACTGTTTTCGGATTTACCCCTGGATTCTACATGTCGTCTCATGCAGCCACCGCGGAAGGATTCAGGATGTCGGCCTCCAACTGTCTACGCCAGTGGCGCGCATCCTTTGCCCAATATTGATGCTGTCTCTGGGCGGTTTTACAATTCCAAAAGCATGGCTATTGGTATGATTTTTTGTCTTGATCCTACGAAATAAGCACAAAGCTGAAGTATTACCCAGTCAGCCTGTAAGGGAATTACGTATGATATCAACGTAGACACTCCTTGATTGCTGTGAAACCACGCAACACTGATGACGGCACATCCAAGGGTCGTCTTCCAGGTTGTTTCCATCCCCAAACCCAGACACCTAGGACAGACCTATCACATATATACTTTAGGTACCAGACAACCTACCTCGTACCCAGCTGTCTGCATGTAATAGAGAACCCTGAGTAGGTAGGAAACCCTGGAGTAGGTATTTCCGTATTGTGGTACCGTATGCACTTTTACTTACGAGGTGCTACATACTGTGAGCAAGGGAGCAAGGGAAACTGCTTCTTGTCCAGGTTGCCTTCACATGCGTATTTGATTCAACTCCTCATAGAACATGATGGAGAAATCTCCGAGCCCTGCGAGTACTCGTGAGTTCATGAACTGAAATTCTCATCAACAATGTGAGTAATTCATGGTAAGCACCATTTGCCATTTCTGCACGCCAATTGTCGCAGCCTCGACGCGTAGTGTACTGTACTGGAAGTTGAAATCTACCGAGCCATCCCACATTAATCCCCTACCTCACGTTATTACCCAAGCAACCAAGCAAGCCCCCTTTGATACGGATCGACAAACTGCACAGTGCACACAAGGCACGTGGACAACCCTGGGGACAATTTCAATGCTCCAACGGGGGGTGCATTTCTGGGATTTTTATTTTTTCTTTCGAGGGTCTGCCTGTCCAGACTCCATACTACCAGATATTGCCCGCGCCCCGCGGCTCCTATCACAACGCGCAGGACGCTACCTATCATCTTTTGCCCTGAACGTACCCACCCCGGAGCGCATAATAGCGCAGGGCCCATCCACAGACTCCATTGACCTTGGGGGGCTCTCCAGCTTTGTATCTGCTGCACCCGGCACGCCATCCATAGAAACTGGCGTGGTTTTTGTTTGGCCCTCTGCTTTCCTTGCGAGATATCCGTAGGTAGGTAGGGGCTGGTACTACCTTAAGGCTGTTGTTCCCTTTTCTCTAGATATGAACTTGCAAAAAGAATAACCTGGACTCTTGTCCCAATGCTTTACTCCAGAAATTGACTGTTTCTTTCCTTCTTCTTGTGTGGATTGCCGGGGAAAACAAAAGGCTGTCGGGTTTTCGTGTGAGCAGCAGTGTTGGACCTACTTATCACTACTACTACTTACTACTGCTACTGCAACGACAGTCACCTACCTACCTGGGTACTTTCCGCAACCCCAAAACGATCAAAGAATCTCCTCCACTCCCCATTAGTTATTTCGTGGACCGCGATAGCGCGCACAAGCTTGATCGAAAGTGGGAGTCTGTGGACGCCGCCACTCAGCTGCAATCTTGAGTTCTCTGCGTACTGTTGGCTACTGGTGGATTAGCAGTAACCGGTCATTCGGTCTTCTGGCTTCCAGCCGCGGCATTAGCTACATTGTCTAGGGAGCCACTGCTGCAAGGGCACTAACTTTACCTGCCTAGGTGCGCCGCTGTGATCTCCTCCTCCCAAGTCTTAGTGGAAGGAAGAGAGAGATGGTGGCTGCCCGGTCGGTAGCAAATAGGTAATAGGCTTATCTCATGCTTTCTTAGCAAGATTCGAGAATGCCACAACCATATGCCGCCTCCACCAACCCGAGCAACGGTGCTTCCATGAGCCATCACCACTCTTATTCTCAATCCCAATCCCAGTTTCACGTCCAAGGCCAGACGGCGCTTTCACCACCGCCCGCCGCCCACAGTCTCCCCTACAATTACCCGCCGCGCGCGACATCTGTCGCAACAGGTCATTACCCACCAGCCAATGTAGGCTCCGCCAGGGCCGACTCCATACCGTATCACTCTTCGAGGTCGAACACTCCCATCAACTTTTCGCAAAAGGGCCCAGCTGCCAATTACCATTACAACCGGAATCGAAGCGGCACCGCCAACAGTGCCAGCAGTAGCAGTGGTGGTGGTGCATTTACTACGACCACTAACGGGACCAGCAGTACTGCGGCTGGATTTCGGGCAGAAGTTGCGGGATCTAGATTTCAGTCCAGCTTAAGGAGGCCGGGCGATCCCACCATCAGGGAACAGGTACCGCGCCCGCAGGAAAGTCTATCTGAGCCTGCTCGTTTCGCCGACGAGACACCTTCGTCGCCATCCTTTTTTGCGGGAACCTTACCGCGGACCTCGTCGCTCCTCCCGCCCCCGCGCATTGTTGGAACGAACCTCGCCCCTGTCAAGTTCAATGCCGTCGTCTTCGATCCCAACTCTCCTCCGGATCCTCTAACCAACCCCCAACCGCTACATTCAAGAGGGGGCAGCACAGGGGGAGTAAGTGGTGTCAGCGATAGCTTCCGCAATCTCAATCGCTGGTCCGCCTCAACCACCTCCAGTCGCGCGTCCCATTCAGTCGAACCACATCTACCGGCGCAGCCACCCTTGAAAGTAACCACAAACTTCTCCCGCCGCATGAGCGTGGACTCGATCGGCATCTTGAACCAGGCCATCGAATCACCACCGGCAACATACAATTCTCCTCGAAGATTAACCAAGCGACGACCTTCGGCCACCAGCATCACGTCCGCTTCCCCGCGTGCGGCTTCGAGCGCGAGCAACCGACGACCGTCTTCACCTGCGCTTGCGGCGCCGAATCTACCGCCCATAGTCACTTTGCCGTCGCTTGAACTATCGACCGCGTCTCTCGCAAACCTGACTTCGCAGCCACTGGAGCAGGATCGGCCGAGCGCAACGACAGACACGCCTAGCTCGATCTTTTCAGGCGACTTGAGCGGCGAACTACGAAGTCAACGGCTAAACCGGGATGAGCAGACTGATCCAGACTCATCTACATATACCACTTCTCAGACCAGAACAATACTAGCCGCAGCAAGATTAAGGGAAGCAATGCCTGAGCGAAGGGGGCACTCGAGGAGTCGGTCCTCGACGCTGCAAAGCAGTTCCGACTCCGGGGGGAGAGCGAAGAAACACCCGTCGCAGAAAGCAATGCTGTCCAAGGCACTTGCCAAGGCAAATACCGCTGTTCAACTCGACAATGCACAAAATTTCGAAGGTGCACGCATCTCGTACATAGAAGCATGTGATCTCTTGGCGCACGTCCTTGCCAGGACGACTGGGGATGAAGATAAAAAGAAGCTAGAGGCCATTGTGAGTCGTCATTTGAACTGCGGCACCACGCGAGTGTTACTAATATGACAATGCAGCGGCGGACTTATACCAGCAGGATAGAGGAGCTGGACGGCATGGTTCATGTTCAAGTTCAAATGGAAAGCAAAGCACTCCCTGCAAGACCTGAAAGTATATCCTATAATGGAGTCGAGATCACTACTGCCGACAGCGACGAAGAAGACCTCTCTCCGACAGCATCACGAAAGCCTGCGCCAGATTATTTGGGCTCGGGACGATTTGGAGGATCTTCGACCAATCTGGCCGTGGATTCTGTACAGGGTCCCCCTACGTCCTCCTTCTCCTCGAGATCGCCAATGCGCCGCAATTTTGAAGGCTCGCTCACAATACCGCAAGGCCAACTCATGCCGGCGCCATTATCTCCTCGTCGCCCTGCCTCACCAGCTAAACCAAGGACACCGGAACCTGAGGAGGTATCCAGGCAGGACTTCTTCGCCTCTAGTGATCGGTTGAGCGCAGAGAACGTCAATGGCCACAACCGGAATCCCAGCCACGAATCTGTATCGTGGTTAGATCCAATCGACGAATCCGATGGCTCGGAAGCGTCTTCAGTGCACTCTAGGAGCTCTTCTTTCGGTGTTCGGCGCAAGCACATTCGCGCCATCAGTGGTGACACAGAGGCTGAATTTGATGCTGCTCTAGATGCTGCCGTTGAAGCTGCGTACGATGATGGGTTTGATCCTCTTGACGTATATGACGAACCACCGGAAGAAGACGTGGTGGCGAACGCGATGCGCCGGGTTGAGATTGCAAAGGAACGGGTGCGTCAGACCGAGAGAGAAGCACTGTCAGAACGCGAGGCCATCATTCAAGCAGCGCACGAACGAGAGAGACAAAGACAATTGTCTATTGCAGAGCATGGCGACCCGCAAGCATACAATGGCCACTTCTTTGACGGCAGCGATTCCGACGAGGATGAGCGCATGCTTGAGGACCTGACCAGAGACTATGCGCTCAACAACTTTTCTTTCAATCAGCAGGGCTCAAAACAGGTGGATGCTACCTCGAGGGAACGCAAGTCGGATTCGAGCGGCCTCACGCAAAGAACATATCACAGTTCTGTTGGTTCAAGCCCACCCACAGCCAACACGGTATTGTCGTCCGTTGCTGAATTGCCAAATTATAAGCCTCCTCCGCCGTCACTCCCACCGCCGCCACAAGCTTTGCCTCAAATCCCATCACAGTCGCCAGGTGGGTCGAGCGTTAGAAATCGAAGGCTGTCAGGACAGAATGCGAAACAGCTCAAGATCGAGACTGCCAAGCTTGTTCAAGCTACCAGCGGCGCTTCCACAGCTACGATTCCCGTGAAGCCAGGAAACTTTGCCGCGCAATCAAGGCAAGCAATGTCAGCAACGGCTACAAAGCCAGGTCCCTTTTCCATGCGCAGTCCAGATTCTCCGCGAAGAGGCGCCAGTCCCGCCCCGCCGATGATGGCGCCACCAACGCCGCCGCAAAACCCGCCGCATACCGAGGATCCCAATGATTTCCGTACTGGTTCCCCCATGTCTTTTGGTGGCCCATTGCGCAAGAATCAGTCTTCCTCAAGCCTCAAGTCGCTCAAGGCCCGGCAGATGTCGGTTCCGAATCTGGAGAGCCCGTCTGATTTGTACCCACTTGCTCCCCTCAGCCAAACAATGACAAACTCTTCCATTTCTCGGCAACCGGCAGTGCCCGCACTCCCAACGCCATTAGCAATGACTTTCGGCAGCAAAGCGGCTGGTGGTTTTGGTGGAATGTTTCTTTTTGATTCCGATTTCCATGCTGAGCGGCCTCAGTCACCAAATTCCATCCAGTCCCCCAATCCGGATATTCCATTGCCACTCGAGCCATGCCCTTCTGATGTGATGCTACGGCCCTTTTGGCTTATGCGAGCTTTATATCAGACTCTTGCGCACCCCCGCGGTGGATACGTCACCACTCGTATGTTTGTGCCTCATGAAGTATGGAAAGTCAAGGGCGTCAAACTGCGGAACTTGGAAGACAAGTCTTCCCAGTGTGACTTTCTCACCGCTGCTCTGCTCAATCTAGCAAGGGTCGACAGCAACGATGCCGATGCCGTGTTGGAGGAAATGCAAAGTTTGGAGACTGTGCTTGAACAAGTACAGCAAACGTTGAGCCGGAAATTGGGAAATGAAGTTGGGACGCAAAGCGCGGGTGCCTTCCGAGACCGAGAAGACAGTGAGCCTGCCCCGCCAGTGCCGAGAAGTACAAGCGTCAGCGGTAAAGCAGCGGCCTTCAGCTGGCGCAGACTGAGGAGCAAGGGATCGGCAGCGAATCTCACGAGCGCCTACGGCAATAAGAGCACGAGTGGCGGCGGCGAGAGAATTCCGGAAAAGGAGGCTTTGGGCGTAGGATCTGGCACAATGCCCACCCTGCCCATGGTTCCTCACCCTAGTAGCCGACCAGCCAAGCGTGATGTCTTGTCTCTGAAGTTTGACGGTCCTTATGCCGGCTATATGCAGAGTCTTGCGCGACTGTTTGATGCTGCGCAAACAGTTGGTGAGTGCTTTTACAACGCTGGCTGCTCAATTGTCGTCCAGTGCTAACCTGCTCTATAGATCTCATTGCGCGCCAGGTCGATGATCCAGGACTACGACATGCCGACAAGACACAAGTCGGTCTCGAACTTTGCACAAGACATGCAGCAGAGTTTTTCAGCTTCTATATTTGCCGCTTCGTGCTTGCAGACTTGGGCTTGTTGCTTGACAAATTTGTCAAGCGAGGCACCGAATGGGTGCTCATGTAAAATGCCACCCACCACTAATTTGATCATCTGAGGTATAATGAATCAGCATACCTCAATTTTAATCGCTCGGCGGCTATTTCTTCGCCGATCCTCTGCGACAATCAACAACACGAAATATGACTACTTCAAACGATGGCCGTTAAAGAGAAACGATAATACCAATATACCCGCCTGCATTTTTGTTCACGATATATTACTTATAAAGATTTTACAGTTCCGAAGCATAAATGCTTTGGAACGAGAGCTTGCCTGGGAAAGATCTGGGAGGCTTTGGTGGAACAGGGAATTGCTAGAGCCATCATACAGATATTCTCTCGTATTGGAGGAAGTCTTTTTTCGGGGCACAGCATGTGAGGATATGGCATGTGCAGAGACGCCAAGTTGCTACTGCTGATGTATATCTCTGTATGAGCGAGATCGTGACCAGAATCTTGAAGTTTAACAAGAACTGCTGTTTATTATTTGCACACATTGTGATTCTGACTGCTTTGATTGTGTTTATTATGTTTATTGTCGGCCGGCCACAACACAAACATGAAAGCGTATAGGCAATCAATCACCCAACCTTGAATCCTGAGTTGCTTCGTAGCCCCCACTGCCTCTATGGGTACTAATATACAAGAACAATGGTGGGCGCCGAGCGACTGAGTCACAAAATTTCACGATGTGGATCTTGTGGCCCAAAATTTGAGGAACATAACACATATTGCAATAAGTTCTCTTTTCTCCAACGAATCATATCTGATCTGATTCAATACTTCAATCTCGATTAGTATAGTGGTCAGTATGCCAGCTTGTCATTGAATGCTCAGTTCAATACGCTGGAGACCGGGGTTCAATTCCCCGATCGAGAGGTTCTTATTTTTTGCCCCTATGAGCTTTTTGATCAAATTTTTGTGTAACCCAATCCCCAAAACTCTGGATCCTGATCGATCATTCATCACATTGCATCGTGCGCTTCTGAACGTGAGACATCCTTGCCAGCTCTATGATATGCAGGACATCACGCACTTGCGTCGCCTTGACCTCGAGCTCACCCGTCCCTTTGATGGCGGCGGCAAGATTCTCATACAACGACAGCCATCTTCCGGGTATGGTGGGATAGTGGCCAGTGTATTTGCCAGTCTTGTCATCGAATTCCTGGTGACTGGCGTCGAATTCCTCTAGGGTTGTGAGTATACCGTTGGTAGCGGCTGGCTCGATGCCAAAGTTGGGGTCAGACGGGCCGATGCCGTTCGAAATCTGCTCTTCCTGGATACAGGTACTTCGCTGCTGAGTCTTGATGACGGATGGGAGGTCAGCAATTTCATCGAGTCACGCAGACAAGTAGAGTCCATGAAAGCCTACCTTGAAATACGAACCCTTGGTTCCGCGTACAATGTATTTGAGCTGCTGGGACATGATGGTGATGACACAAGACTTGACAGTGACCAGAAGATCTCTTTGTTGTCCTTCATATTGGAGCATAATGGTAAAGGAATCTTCAATCTCAGACTCAACCCCGCGCTGGGCTCGAAAGAATGCCGTTACGGATTTGGGGCGACCAAAGAGGACCATTGCATGATCAATGCTATGTGTGCCTGCAAAGTATCTTCTCTTTAGCCTCGTCTCTTCAAGCTCGAAGAGTTCAAATATAATGGTAGAGGAAACTTGGCTTACCCAGTCCGAATGTCATGCCGGAACCTGGCGTGTATTCCTTTTGATCCCTGGGAAACCATGCGCCAGCGTTTTCAAAGTCGTAGTGTATTTCAGCTTCTTTGATCTCGCCGAGAGCATTTGCATCCTTGAGGCGCCGAAGGGTTTGAAAATCACCATCCTTGAAAGGTCCATTAGCATAATTCCGATGGATGATGGTACACAGCACGGGAGAGGAAGATGGAAACAAAAATAAAAGCCTGCCTTACCCATCGCCGGTTCTGGAAACAAGTGAGAATGAGCCCCTTGCTCTCGGCAAGTTGAATCAGCTCGTCCGCTTCTTGAGTGGACTGGGCAAATGGTTTGTCGATTATGACTAACATTTTATCAGTAGATGTCTTGAATAGTCAAGGGCATTTCTCATGAGTACGGTATACTTACCATGTCGACCGGCCTCGAGCGCCAACTTGCCCAGCGGCGCATGTGAATCATTCCTGGTGGCCACCACTACCAGATCAATATTCGCATCCGCAAAAAAGGCATCACTGGTACGATGGTGGCGGATAGCCGGGAAATCGACGGTGCAGTGCGAGCCCGCCGGCGCTGTCGCTGGGTCGCTGGGTGCTGCTGATCTTTGTAAAATGGCCACGAGCTCAAAGTCTGGCACGGCTTGGATAAAGGGGAGGTGAAAGCTCTTGGCCGAGTTGCCATAGCCAACCACACCGACCTTGATCCTGGCAGTCATCTTTGAGGAGCGTTTTTCCTATGCTGGGGAGAATGTCAGGCTGTTTTGGATACAGAAGTTGTCCTAAGAACAACACAATGCCTAGTCCTTTAAGTAGTCGAATCAATGTGGAGTAGCTTGCCATGGTCGCAAGGTCATGCACTCAGTATAGGCCATTGTCCAGCTCATGTCATTGGAGGTTCGCGAGAACGTCGGCTAATGTACGGTACTAGACGTTCCGCAGCTCCAATTCTTGCTTGGCATGCATGATTTTAACCGAAGCTGTCCTCCTTTCTGGCAATTTTGAAGGTCCAGCCGAGCAGAGGTGAGTTTGTTGTTCTATGATACGCTGGGTTTAAGCTCCTTCTGCATTGGACCGCAGTGATGCGAGTGGAGAAAACGGGCAGGAGTCATACTAAGTCGACTTTCCTAGAGATGAGATATGGATCGGAGACAATGATCGGAAATCATGACGCCAGCACTCGAAATTCTCATGGCATAACAAAACAACAAAAGTGTCGATAAAAGTGTAGTGGAGCTGCGTAAGGGGCTACTGATAAGAATGTTGAAATGCAGTCCGCATCAGGTGACTGATGCATGTTGTATACAGATTGACTATCTCGCTTAGATCAAAATAACGGACAAGTGCAACCGCGGAGCAGGTATCTCTTGGAGTTGCAATAAGCTGGCATTTTATTCATTTGGCACACTATTTAATCAATTGATACGACGCCACCCCAAGACACCTTACAGAAAAGAAAAATGAGAAATACCATGATATACCTCAAGCCACGTAAGAAGGAAGTTGTGGGTTGAAATCGTGCTTCATCAATTGTCGAGGGAATCCACTGATGCTGCTGAGTAGACGTTGCTGCCCGTTGGGTAAGCCGAGTTCAATAGTAACTTCCGACTCCTCGCTCGGAACTGATATCTCCACTTGGACGGGCCTGTAACGACCCGTCTTGACCATGGCGTTGACATCAATGGGGTACTTCTTTGACGTGGCATTCGCAAACACCTCAAACTAAGGGTTTCCCGAGCGAGTCAGGTATTCACCGAGTGCTTTGATGTTGTCAGCGTTCTCTGACAGTCGACAGTATATCAACCCGCGTAACTGTACGCCAGTCCTCGAGCCTCTTTCTGCATTGCCAACGCGCCCAAAGTAGAATGAGCTCGCGACGAGGGTACGAGCTATGTCGTCAATGTCATTGTTTTGAGCTAACCAGCCGTCGACACTTTGTATCAATGGTTCAATTTCTTCCACCTTGTCCATTGCTGGAGGCTCCTTTCTCAAGTCTGGATTGACGCGAAATAGCTGACCATCATCTGGATGAGAAAAACTACTCATCCATCTCTCCCATTGGCTTTGTGCATCCAAGTTGAGTTTGATCTGATAGCTGATCAGGGTGAAAAGTGTTTTGGCGAATGGCACCCTAGTCCGTTGTCTTTCTTGGTTCTCCTGCCCCGTGGGCGCAGCAGATGACCGGGATCGGCGAAGACCTTCATACGGCATGCCTGTTCCAAGAGATAGGACAATGTCTGGTCTTTGGTTCAGGTTTTCTTGAAAGGCAATTTTTGCCGTTTCTTCCATGGCGATGTTGATCGGATTGTTGTGAAGAATTCCTCCGTCCATCAATTCTACAAAGGACCGTTCGAAAGGTTTGAAGTATCCTGGGGCAGCCGAAGTAGCGCGAGCACTTGATTGATCATTAGAAACAGCAATGTTGAGCTTGGTCATGTATGAACTTACGCTTCCCATACCCGGACCTCCTCGTCCGGGCTCTCCGGTCTGTCTCTTCTATATTCAATGGCACTTCGCTTCAATGAGCTTGTCGCCATGTTGTAGTTTGACAGCAAATACGGAAGTCTGCCGGCTTCAGTCGTTGCTGTGACAGCCACTTTCAGGGGTCGCACGTCTGGGTCGATTGGTCCAAAAAGAGGCTCCTCACCAAGAGCCCTTTTCAGCGCATCTTCAAGGGTTCTGGTCCTGTACTTGCTCTTCTTCAGCATAGTTTCAATGTATCGAATGCCGTAGAGCTTTTGGCCCTTGCGAGGTGTAAAAGCGTCCTTCACCAGGTCTCGGAACAAGGAAATGCATTTGTCGACGGGAAGCCGCTGATGTCCAAAAGCTAGTGCGATTATCCCACCGGTGCTTCTTTTTATTAGTGAAAGCTTGTTGAAGATGTGGCAGGAGATTCTTGCCTTGTGCCAACCACCAAATCGAAAAACTCCTGCAGCGGAACTTTTCCCAACCTCGTCTGAATCGCTCTGAGAGTGCAAAGTTCAACAATTCCGCGAATGCCGCCACTATTTTCTGATCAGCTAAATGCCAGACAGCAAAAGATTGGGACTGTAATTACCCGTCAAGAGTGAGCACCCTCAAACCCGAGTGTATGGGGTTGGTATGAATGGTTGTGACTTCACCACCATCAATCGGACACTGGACCCGTATCCGCGTCTTGCCGCCTTCAAAGTGGCCCACCTCCATTGCGCACTCGAAGCATATGAAGTGTTCGCATCGAAGCCGAAACTGGGCAAGGTTGAACAAACAACACAGGCAGATTGAGTTACTGGTCAGCTTGCTTAGGCCAGTTCCCAGCTGGCTGTAGAAACTTTTCACTGCTCTGCAGTGCGCGCGTGTACGATCTGACAAATCTTTCGTCCGCCACTCGCCAGAGTCGTGTAGCTCACGCAGTTGCTGCTCAATGCGGTTCTCCCAAGAATATACCTTGGGACTGAATTTGTGTTTGAAGGTACCACCAATCTGCCGCGTGACGCCTATCGCGGCCGAGCCCTGATGCATTTCGTCGTGGGTTCCCGCGTACAGTGCGCAACGCCAGGGGAAAAGTCCCTCGTGCTTGTACTGACACTGCACATTGGTATTGACATATCTTCGAACGACGTAACTGCACAGACTCTTGTACGAATCTGCTTCTTGCTTTCGTGGATACTCTTGACCTGTCCTTTCACCAGAGTTTGATGCCCTGGGAATCTCGGCTCTGAACCAGTCTTGTGGCAAACCTACAGCGACGTCAGCATGGTATATTCGAGGACCTAGGCAGCCTGTAACAGACAGAGGTATCTTAAACCTCCTTGATCACGGAAAAGCAACAAAGAAATAAAATCATTGATACGTGCCAAATCATAAACGAGCTAGAGTCACTTACCAAAACGTTGTTTTCTTGCCGAGTCAAGCATAATGCATGAGGCAATGAACCCGGTCACCTTTGCGAAAAGCTCTTCCACTTCAAGATTTGTCTTCTTGCCTACGAGAAGAACGAATTCCAACACATTGTCCCTCAAAGTGTCCGGCGGTGGTCGATGTCTCAACGATGCTTTGACGTAGTCAAAAGGCTCATCAAGGGTTTCGGAGAAGTGATTGAATGCGAGCGAGAGATACAGCCAGAACTGGTCGACATCTGGCAGCATCCCTCGGAACATCTTCTTTCTGTATGACTGCTCGCAGCAGTCTTGTATGGTTTCGTACAAGACATCTCGCTGCTCATGTAACAGCTCGTACCTGCTCTTGTCTGGGAGACGCACGACGTGGACGCTGGAATAGTAGCATTCAAACAATTGGCGCAGGTTATCGATTTCTCTGCGACCTGCTAGTTGCGCGGCATACTTCTGAAATGTTTTGTTCTTCTGAAGCTGTGCGTCCATGGACTTGAATGCCTCATCTGTCGCGGTTGCACTGCTCCAATGACTATTGGGAGTGGAGTTGCTTGATTTGTTGATGGCAATAACAGCATGTGGTTTGCTCGGGAGATTGATGGAGGCCGAGTGGTTTGCATGCGCCCACTTCAACAGTTTTTCAAAAACGTCCTCTAATGTCCTAGATACATGTGAGCACTCTACAGCTAGCTCTTTGTGTAGCAAGACTTACTTTGGATTATTCAAGACAAAGACTATGACATCGGAGAATGCATGAAATATCCGAGGATACATCTCAGTCACGGCGTATTGGCGTTTGCTGGTTCGTTCGTGGTCGGGTGTCTTTCTAGATGCCCACTTCAAGTTTATCTTGGAGGCACGGGCGACACGGGAGAGTGATCGTCTGCCTTTTGCCGATGCATGGTGTCTTCCAACTGTGACAGCCTGCGCAATTGGGTCTCTTTCCCCTCCTTCGAAGCCTTCACAGTCTGCGAGTAGTATTGGTCTGTCGCTCTTTTGCGTTTTGGGATCGATATAGAGATGGACATCAGATGATGTCGGAACATCGCAGTCACTGCGTCCTAGAATCGGCACAGCCACCGATCCAGACTCCTCAACAGAAGTTGGATGATTCACCGGATCGATGAGTAGGCGTATCAGTGTACTTTTTCCCGCACCTTGATGCCCGTGGTAAGTTGCTGACAGAAATAATTGTAAGCGTGGCACGAACCTGTTTGGCCAACGACGGACACAAGTCCAGGATATCGATTTGGCAATCCTTCCTTGAAGGTGTCCATCATTATGGCCGCATAGCGCCGGTAAACTTCCAGGATTGGGTTGCCTTCCCCGTCTTTGCTGACACCAAACCACAAGGAGTCCTCGTCATTCTCGTGTTGTTCATGTTCATCTTCTTCATTCTGAGGTTCAGCCATCCACTGCTTCACCTTTTCGACGATCCGAGGGTCGGATTTACTGTGAGGGATCCCGCCGGGTCCGGGCTTGTTGGTTTTGTGGTGCGGAAGGATCTGCCAACAATTGTCGCAAAAGTACATATCACATCCTTCGCAGAAAACCACCTGACGATCGTTTTGACACCAGTTGCAAAGCATTTTTCTAGCGGCAGTCTGTTGACACGCCAGTTACAAAAGCGAAACTGCCGGTCTGGTACAATGGCTGTGTACGGAGTTTCCTCAGGACATTAAACCTGGTACTTGACAGGCAGAAACAGCGAGAAATGATTAAGACAAGTCTTTGAAATTTTATGCCGAGGACTTTAAATCTAGCTTCTGTCATCGATGGGCACCAATACGGCTATGGCCATGCGCATGAGGTGGTGAGAGGCTGCGCAGGAGGGAATTCAAACTGATTCGTGGTGTCCAGTTGTCACGAAATAAATGAGAGGCAAAAACGCGTCTAGTCAACATAAATAAAGATCCTCAAACGGTTCGGTATGAGAGCAAGACGCAGCCAGTACTACATCGGTTGATCCTGGAATGAATTTCAGCTGGTCTCGATTCGCCTATAACCCCTGCACCCCTCAGCTTTGCAAGCAAACCGCTGGCCAAGACTGCAGCCACAGCACTTTGGAATCCAATCAGAGTTCCTGGCCGAATGTCTCGCTGAGAACAACCCTTCAATTGGTTGCATGATGATTGACCCGTCGCGAGACACGTATCTAGGGGTGACTCGATATATTAAGTCTGCCACCCAACCTGGCTATGATGCGGCTGACCCAGATGGGAGTCGAGCTGGATATCGGTCCATTGATGGCTGTGGTATCCAGTTGGCTGTCTGTACATACGCCGTCCAGAGTGCCCAGTGCAATGAATACCCGCTCGGTGTGGACTGAACGAGTTCGGACGTCCACAGCCCTCAGCTCTTGTAGCTTCGAAGTCTCTAGAAATATGAGTCAGATCTCTAGCGGCCATGGAACCTCTTTAGTGTAAGTGACTAGATGAACATTATTGATCTGCTTTGAAGCCGCGGGGCGAGACATGTCTGCTAGAAAGATACCGCAAGGCTGTGAAATCTCATTCTCACTCGACTGGAAATTATAGGGTAGCTTTTAAATCAAGGCTGACTTAGGAGCCCATGAAGCTGCAGCCAAGACCATCAGACAACCTCTGCAACCTCATGTTGGGCTGTGAATCAAACGAGGCAGTATATCGTGCTAGCAACGTCTCTCATGTTGCTCTGTGCCGCGAATGGCTTATACAACTACATCGGCACAGCAGGCTAGCTCGGAGACACAACTGACCCAGACACAAGACCAATGTACAAATACCGATAGCCAAGAAGATGGAGTACAGTGAATTTAGCAAATGAAAGTGCATTTCAACTTCTAATCGGTCCTTGAATTTAAAGGACTTCTCGCTTCTAAATCGTCTCTGGTACTGTTTTCGCTGCTTGGCTCCTAGAGGCAGCTACCAATAAGGAAATAAGCCGTACCAATTGTAAGCTGCATCCTCAGGATCAGGCATCCCAATCTCCGAGATATCGATATCATCTACACCATTAGCCAAGATAAATATATTTTCCTTGATCCCAACGCGCAACCAAAACCGTCTCATGTCGGTCTGTCCTCGCCGGAAGACTGTGACAACCTTGACATAGAAATCGTACTTCTCTCTCCAATGGCCCCGCGGTGGCTCGCTGGGGTCAAATTGTAGTAGGTGGTCTATTCCTTGCTCATCCATTAGGATGCAGAAATGGTATCGTCCCCAGTACACCTGACGGAGGTCCTCTAGCTGTCGATGTTTGTCGAGCCAAGCATCAAAGGCCCTGCCGACCTCCTCGGCATCAGCTCCATCCAGAGACGCGGCATCTTCTATAATATCGCAATAGAAGCGGCGGGATAGCTCCTCATTAGGAGCGGGATCTAGTGGTCCTTCTGGTGGATTGAATTGCGTGAAAGAGTTTCCAGGAAGCCGCTTGACTTTTGAGCGTAAATCTTCCGTGGCAAATGCATGGGCATGTTGCTTGAGGCGTTCGATGGCTCTCGGGAACGTCTCGTCTGACTCGGCCGTGTAGGTAGTACGGAAAACAGTAAGACCCCAAGAGTAAGGACGGTCGTGACCCTTGGCCATGTCGTTGAGCTGCTTTAGGTAGCGCCGCGCCTGCCTATCAGGTTCCTTGTCGCCAGGATAGCGAGGCGCGACCTTTATCAGAGCTTCAGGAACTGGCTCAAAAGCTGCCATGTTGTCGGCGAGAGAGGGCAAGTGAAGTTTTGTCTAAGTTGAGGATGAGGGCTGGAGGGCAATGGGGTCCTAAACTGATGAGCCGACGTTAGCGGAAAGGGCGGTGATAGTGGTGTGTCTATCAAGGCAGCAGTGCGGGCCACATTTACCATCACCACTCTCTTCGTGACTGAATGAATGCTGAAGCAGGACGAATGATCTGAATTCGATTTACTGCTACTCTGGGGAGTAAAGCTTTATACCAGCCATTGTAGATATGTGGTATACATTAGCCATTGTTCATACAACCTCCGATGTCCCATAACCGCGGGTTCAGAGTCTGAGGTCTGCCAAGCCCCCGACCATCTAGGCAGCAAGATCGCTATGGAAAATTTTAATCTCACGCTATTTGGTCTATTTTGTGTACACTTTTCTTTCGTCTTTACCTTGTGACTTTGATAAAGCAGTAAGATCTAAATTCCTTGCGATGTTCTGTATCGGCACTTCTAGTATCAACGTGGAAAGCTGTCTCTCCACCATCTCGCAGTTTGTTTGATTGCTCGCAATATCAAAGATGAGGCCATCTTCACAGAGAATGGACTTTTCCCATCTTCCCAATATCGCAATGGAAGCAGCATAGCGAAGCAGAGTACTCCCGACAGGACCGCACTAGAAGATCTCGTCATGATTACAACCATCTGATGGATGACTGGCATCTATTCATTTCCACACGAAGATTACCTTGACTTCAAGACCAATAAGAAAAGAAAGATTCTTCGGCCCTGACAATGATCTTTACCCGGGCGATGCATCAGCAGCAATCTAGCCGGCAGAAATACCGAAAGGTTTGCTCCAGGTGTATGAAATAGTACTAGATGTGGGACGTCCTCGTGAACCGACGAAGAGGTGCTAAATAATCCTAGACACTCCGTTTCGGCAATTCTGCTGTGTTTCTGGGTGTATATTCGATTTTTCTCAGCTCAACACATTCAAAATTCATAGAAATTTGTGGGTTTTGAGTTGTAGTTCCGAAAGGGATATTTTCAGCTTGCTCGAGACATAGAAAGTCGAAAAGTACCAGGTGCTATCGCCGTTAGCGGGACCTACCGCAGTCGCACCCAGATCGCTGGAAACGACCTAACCGCATAGTACCTAACCTAGTAGCTGAGCAACGCAAGACATGGTGGGGGGGGACAGTCACTAGGTTAGAGATGTACCTTTCAGGACAACCTACAAGACGCCAGCGCCGCAAATAGTGCTGATGATTCATGACGGCATACATTGTTACCTTTGCTAATGGTGTTAGTGGTCATCATCTGCTGCTCGAGGTCTGCGCTTTTTTCTTTCTCTTCAGCATGGCAACTTGAAGAGACAGTGTTTGAAATCAAGGTTAAGGTGCTTCAGCGCATCCAGCGTCTGTCTAGTTTACCCGTTCCCGTTTACCATTTCAGAGCTTGATTCTTCGCTGCAACGGTGGCGTCCATTCAGTCCTTTTTGTCGACTCCAACCAGCATTCTTGGAACCCACCACTAGCAAACCAGTTGGTCGACAGCAAACGCTCAAAATACGTTATCCTCAACTATCACTGAGTCGCACAGCACAGTCCAGTACCATGCAACCATAAGCAGAAACGCCGCTCAGTCCCATCCAATCTGATTGCACCTGAGGTCCATCGTCATCCGTCTCTGAGGAAAGCTCCAGGCCTATAGCAGCCATTTGTAGAATCTAGACCACCAAAGTCTATCCTACCCTGTCCTGCAACGGCGATTATAAGCGAGTGCGGTGACTTTAAGTGCCTGGTCATTCCCGGGATCAGTTGCGCTAGGCTGCGCCATCTCGGCAACCTGAGTCTCTGACAGGCCGATCCACCTTGGCGAGTTGAACGCAATCTAATAATTTCACAAGACAATATCATTGGTCCAAGGGAAACTCGACGGTATTGATTACTTATCTATATGATCGCTGGTGTAACAGGCACCGACCGCGGAATCAAGTTATAATTTAATATTGAAAACCTCGCCTGACAACTGCCACCCGCGTCTTTCTCGGTACCAGTTGCGACTTGATTGGATTATAATTCATTCCAAGGCTCGCATTCGGCTCATGTCCCACCAAGCCCATCTCACCATATTTCGCATATTGGTGTAGGACAGTATCTTGGTCCTTCCAACGACCCTATAAATACAAGGACCATCAGGGAGATTCAGGACACTATTCATATACAACAGCCTGATACTTCACTCTGCTCATCATTCGCCAATCAATATTCCTATCAAAAAGTCCCTCCCTGGCTTGTGAGAATCAACTCAGGACGACTTGAGATAGGTCGAAAACAACGATCTACAAACACAAAGAGACGAATATGCCCGATCCAGAGGCAATAGACCAGTGCCTCCGACGGGGTTTGGAGCATGAAGATGAAGACTATGAACGCACCGTCCAGAAGCTAGTGGATCAAGATCTTGACGACTGGCCTAATGAAGCAGGCGTAAGTTTTACTTCATATTCATAGAAGGGTAAAAATCACAACTAATTCTATAATGTCTGACAGTTTGAGGGCTTAAACGAAGTTCGAGGTCCGGTTGACCTACATGTCAAGGGCTCTATACCGTCGTGGGCTGCCGGAAGTCTCTTTCGAACCGGACCGGGTCAATACAATGTGGAGGATACACCTCTGGGCACATACCGAACCAAGCATTGGTTCGACGGCTTTGGTCACTCGCACAAGTTCCAAATAATACCAAACCAGCTTGACCCGAATGGCCCAGTCCGTGTCGAGTATTCTTCGAAAAGGCAGACCGAGGAATTAGTTGCCGAGATCAAGAGCACCGGACGGCGCTCCACCATTACCTTTGGTCAACGGCAGGATGTCTGTGTCGGCATTTTTAGCAAAGTCATGAGTGTCTGGCGCGCCTCAGGCCTACCGCTTCCGACCAATATTGAGAACATCGCAGTGACTGTGCAGGGTAGCGTACCTGGTCTGCCGTTGCCAAACACAAAACAGCCACTCGAGTCCGGGCATCGGAGCACGCCCAAAGTCTTGTGGCTCGGCACTGACAATTCGATTCTCAAGGCGTTTGACACAAACACTATGGAGGCATTGGATTGCAAGGCACACACGACCTTGAATCCTCTGCTTAAGGGCCCGCTCAGCTGTGCACATGCTCAGCGAGATCCAGAGACTGGCGATTACTTCAATTACAACCTCCAATTCGGCCCCGTCTCAACGTACCGTGTGTTTAGATCGAATGCAGCCACTGGTACTACAGATATCCTAGCGACCATTGCACAACCCGACGTCCGGCCTGCTTACATTCATTCCTTCTTCTTGACACGATCCTACGTTATTCTCTGCGTACCATCAACACATATTAGAGCCATGGGGCTGAGTATACCTTGGAATCGTAGCATCACAGACGCTATTGACGAATTCGACGAAAAGAATCTATGCAAGTGGTTCGTGATAGATCGCCGGGAAGACAAAGGTGTTGTGGCACAGTTTGAAACGCCAGCAGGCTTCTACTTTCATAGCGCCAACGCCTACGATGAGCTTGACGGTTTGACGGGGGAGATCAATATTTTCTGCGATATGCTCGAGTACCCCAATACGGACGTGATCAAGTCGTACGAGATTGATGTTCTCATGGGCAAGAACGGCATGGGAAAGAACTTTTGGGGAGATGAAAGTCGAGCACGCAACTCCCAAGTCCGACTGGCAAGATACAAATTCAGCATACCCAAAAACCACCAATCCAGCGGCGGTTCAACAAAGTACCTGGGAGCACAAAAGATGTTTGAGATTAAAGCACCTCACATCGGCGAGCTTCCAACCATTAATCCAAGCTTCGCCACCAAAGATTATCGCTACGTTTACAGTCTGCCGAACCGCGGCCGCAGCACGCTGCTCGATAGCATCTCAAAGACGAATGTCAAGACGCGCGAGACTATTTATTGGGACAACCCAAAAGGTCATACGCCGGGAGAAGCCATTTTTGTCCCTCGCCCGAGAATCGAGGGTGACAAGGAGGAGCCGGCCGAGGACGATGGCGTGCTGCTGAGCATTGTGCTGGACGGACACGGCAAGACGAGCTATCTGGTCTGTCTGGATGCGCGGACAATGAAGGAGATTGGTAGAGCCGAGTGTGAGTGGGCGATTGGGTTTGGCTTTCATGGTATGCACGTGCCGGCATAGATATTTGGCTATGGATATGAAATGGCCATGGTAGTTTCTGCTGATAGTCATATAGTATATGTGTGAAGGTACAGAGACTTACCACTCCCGACTTTTGGCATGATCAAGAAACACTTGAGTCGCAACTACAATAATGTTATTGAAACGGAACTGATGAAGAGACACCGCTGGTCAAATTACCTCAACCCTTGTGTTCTGGAATATTTCGGTGCCGAGCTTTTGTTCGGCATGATTAGAAAGCTCCACTCCAATGTTGCTTAGCAACAATCAAACAAAAGTCACTTCACCTGTGATTCTATCTTTAATGTCGCTGAACCTAGCGCTTCTTTGTTTTACTATAAGATATGGCTGGCAGCCGTCGGCCTTTCCGATGTCTCCGACCGACTCCGCTTTCATAATGTGATTATAAATATGGCCGACTGAATAAACTGGCTGTAGAGAGTATGTCGCCATATTGCCCCGCTTTGAGGCAGTCTCCGGAGTCCGGAATTGATACCAGAATCAGGATAAAAACTGCGCATTAGCTCAGCTTGCCGTTATAGACTCAATTCAAGTTTCAAATACTCTGTGAGATTATCATCAAAAACCTTTAGGGAACTCTGATCATACAGTAAAAAAACAAAATTGTCCAGCATGGCGACTGAAACCCCCAAGATCAAGCTTTATACCAATCACCTCTGCCCATGTAAGCAACATACGGATCATGCACTTAGTCATTCCCCCCGTGGGGGACTTTTTCTGTCCATGGCATTCACTGACTGGGGGAAACCTACAGGGGCCCACCGCGCCCACATTGCACTGGCAGAACTTGGTGTGCCCTTTGAGGAGGAGATTATTGACCTCTCGGTGCCGCGCACGCCCGAGTACCTCAAGGTGAACCCGCGAGGGCTGGTCCCGTCGCTCGCATACGGCGACGAGATCATCACCGAGTCGGCCGTCGTGTCCAACTTTTTGGCCGACGCCTTCCCGTCGCACCTGGTCCCGGCCTCGACCGACCCTAACGGGCCTCTGGTCCGCGCCCGCATCGCCTTTTTTGCCGACACCTTCGTCTCAAAGGTCGGCGGCCACTTTCAAAAGGCCAACTTTGGCAAGACCGAGGAGGACCGCGCCGAGGCTGTCGAGAACCTTGTTGCCGCCGCCGCCAAGGAGCTTGAGCCTTTGCTCGCTGATGCTGCGCCCTTCTTTGGTGGCTCTGACAAGTTGACTCTTGCAGAGGTATGTTGTTCATCTCCTGCTATTCTACTACGGCAATATCTTCCTTTTTTTTTCTGGCTTCGCTCTAAGTCTTTGGATAACTAACGGTTCTTTAATTCTAGGTGCTCACGGGTTCCTTTGTGATCCGCATCTACACAGCATCCAAGCACGGCATCTTGCCCAAGAGCCTGGCGAGCGACCTGGCCGCCAAAGCACCCAACTTTGACAAGTGGGCCCAAGCCGTAATCAAGGACCCGAGCGTCCTTTCAATCTGGGACGAGGACAATGTTGTCCAGCGCACCAAGGAGAGAAACGCCAAGGTGAGGGCTCAGGTGTAGTCAGGTATTTGATCCCGCACTTTATGCTTGAATCTTGTGTACAGAAATCTTGTTAGCTAGCGTTTGTAGAGTTGGCTTGCTCCAAATCGATTATGAATGTGAAATAAATAAGAGCATGTGCGTTTCTCGCCTGTATAGTCAATCTTGAGATCTGGAGGGCGAGCACGGCTCAAACTCCGGCTTGGCAGGAATCAAAGTTTGAGCCTTTCTGATACCAAGCACAAGCACCATCTTGGACTGGGTCTAGACCCTTGAGCTGTACCTAGGGCTGCCCATACCTTATTTTGCCTCGTAGAGTCAATATCGTTTAACCTCCATCTCTACTAGTTATGGCTGAGTCTAGTTGGGTGACTTGGCTGATGTCACTAGTATACGGCAAAGCTGCGCACCACTAAATTCAAATGGCGTTGAGAGTCAGATAGAGTATTCCTTTGACCTGTCCTATTTTACTGCCGACAGTAGTTTTGCACCAGCCATCTTGGCTCCTGTATTTTGCATCATTGAATGTGATACGAAAACACCCAAAAATGTCTGAAGAGCTGCTGAGTCCATGTATATAAATAAACCTCTAGGTGTGATTTTCCAAGATGGAGTCACCTCTACACTCCCTCTGCTTGTCATTCTGCAGAAGAAGACAAGAAGGAAAAAATCAACATGGGCGATACCAAAGAGATTCGGTATCTGGATGATGAAGAGATTGCATCCTTTGCTGGAGAGCTCGATAAGAATAGAGATGGATATATTGATTATCACGAGGTAGAGCACAGATTGGACCTTGTCCACGACGAGATTGCACCCAATCCACAGCCACATCACTTGCACCATAACGACAAAGATGACGAAGCAAGACATCAGTTTCTCCGGAGTTTGATGGGATCCGACGAAGATCGCATTTCACGAGGTGAATTTGCATCGCGAGGTAAGCAATATTGGAGCGTATTCACATAATGCAGTCTCATGAATAAAAAAGCTGATAAAAATGGTTTTCTTTCCTCGAGAAATAGTGCGTGAATGGAAGATTCCTTCTTTGAAACAAGACTCGGAAGATGAGAAGCGTGATGATGACCTGCTCAAATCAATGAGCATCTGGCGTCGAATACGCGCTTACTGGGCTGTGAGAGGACCGGATGTCTTGTTCGTCGCTCTGGTAGTCTCAACGCAGCTAGCCTTCGGAATCTGGCAACTCGTCAAGTACGTAACCGAGACAAAATATCGTGCAGCATTCGGATGGGGCGTCGTGCTCGCCAAGACGTGTGCCGGTGCACTGTACCCAACAATGTTCTTTCTGCTTTTGAGTATGTCCAGGTGAGTATATCCTAGCCGACATTCATACTGTTCTTCAACTAACACGGAAGCGTCACAAAAGATACTTTTCCACGTTCATGAGACGTTCTCCACGGATCTCTCGCATCATCAACTTTGATCTATCTCAGAAGTTCCACATTCGCATCTCCATCGTCGCTCTATGCCTAGCTACTCTTCATGCCATTGGTCATTTGGGCGGCTCCTTCATTTGGGGCAGCAGAACCGACAACGAATCCGACGTTGCCAACATCCTCGGTCCGGGCATGGTCCCGAGACCGTACCGAGACTATGTCGCTTCGCTGCCCGGTTGGTCTGGAATCACTACTCTTGGCCTGTTTTATGTATTATCCATCTTGAGCATTCCAAAAGTACGAAGATGGAACTATGAGATTTTTCAGCTTGGCCATCTTCTCATGTACCCCATTATTGCACTGCTCTGCGCTCACGGTACGTTGGCGCTCCTCCAGTGGCCAATGCTGGGATACTTTCTTGCCTTCCCGGCTCTGCTGGTCGTGGTTGAACGTGTTATCCGTGTGGCAATGGGTTTCCATCGGATTCCTGCTACGCTTACCGTTCTTGATGACCAAACACTCGAGATCAAGACTACGATTCCCAGTGAGAGGCTGTGGAAGTACCGAAGTGGCCAATATGTATTCCTGCAGATCCCCAGCATCAGCTTCTTCCAATGGCATCCCTTTACAGTATCTGCGTGTATTGGAAGAGAAATGTGGCTTCATATAAAAGTCGACGGAAATTGGACAAAGAAGTTAAAGGGTCTGGCGGGTGAGTCTGGAGACAGTCACATACTCGTCGGCATCAACGGACCTTTTGGTGCACCTGCGCAGCGCTTTCACGATTTTAATCATTCCATCATTGTTGGGTCTGGTATAGGTGTTACGCCCTTTTCGGGAATCCTCATGGATCTTCAGACAGAAGATAATCGGCTACATGGTGGCCCAGAGACACAAAGACAACTATCCACTGGGCCGGGAGAACGGCGCCTCTCGGCTGCACAGCCACGAGGGCCGGGTCTCTCCACAACATCATCACCGATTTCAAAGAGCACCACTGCCGTCGGGGAGACGGGAGCCATGAACTATCATCACTCACAGAAAAAGACGGAACCGTACGGCTCCTATCGGCGCGTCGACTTTCACTGGATGGTGCGGGATCGCAACCAGCTGCTGTGGTTCTCGGACCTCCTCAACGCCGTGTCGCGCGCGCAGGTCTGGCACCGGCAACATGACCCCGACTGCCACTTGCACATCAACATGACGACCCACGTGACGCAGAAGCGCAAAAACATTGCGACCCACGTGTTTAGATGGCTACTGGAGATGCACCGAACCAAGGAACACCCAGAGTCGCCGCTGACCGGGCTCATGAACCCAACACACTATGGCCGGCCGGACTTTGTGCAGATTTTGGAGAGCCACTATGAGGACATGAAAAAGTTCAAGTATACGGACAGGGAGAAGGCGGGAGTAGGTCTTGAGGACAGGTTGAAAGTGGGTGTCTTTTTCTGCGGAACTCCGGTCATTGGAGAGATTCTGGCAGATCGCTGCCGCATGCTGTCAGCTCGGGGCCGGGCGGACGGGACAAAGATTGAGTACTACTTTATGATGGAAGTATTTGGCTAGGACTATGGTTTGTATGAGTAGAACGATTGAAGCAAAAATCTTTCATTCTCAAAGATGACACATTTCGCTGCTGGTGTAATGCAACATGCCAAGGCTTGCGGGGAATCTTGCTCGCAATTATCAGACTGGTGATGGTGCAATCCGCATGGGACTCGGCTAAAAGGAGCACTTCGGCGCTGGTTAGGACGAGGCCAATTCCAGTGGCAAGTGGACGGAAAAACTTTGTAAAGTTTACAAAATACATTCCGCGAGTCTTGCAATGAAAAATATATAGTATTGAGGAACTGCCGCCAGGCGAAACTGCTTTTGTGCGTAAAATAGTATAATACTGCATCAAAATAACATTTCTGATACGTTACCAATTCTCAAAATGCTGTATTTATCTACGTCACTCTTCGTATCAGTGCTACCGCTCGTGGCATCAGCCTTTCCGTCTTACAAAAATAATACCAAACCTCCGGCATTCTTCCTTGCTGGAGATTCTACCACGGCCGTCGGTGGAGGCTGGGGTGATGGCCTCTTGGCAACGCTGCGCGCCCCTGCCTGGGGCGTGAACATTGGGCAAAGTGGTGCCACGACGGTCTCGTATGAAAACGCAGGCAACTGGACCAACATTACAACGCATGTTGAGGAATATGCCAAGAAGTTTGATACCTATGTGACCATTAGCGTGAGCTTGCTCCAAAGTCTTTGCGGCAATGTATACGCCGTGCGCTGACGTTCTCGACAGTTTGGCCACAATGACCAGAAGTCGACCAGTGGTGTGACCTTTGAGGAATACCAGGCCAACCTCATCAGGTTCGCCGAGGAAGTCAAGTCTCTGGGTGGAACTCCGGTTCGTACATGACGAATACCTTTGCGCTCTGACTGACGCAGCTAATAACTCATGACAAAGCTCCTCGTCTCGAGTCTATCCCGGCGCGTGTTCACCTCGGAGCACAATGCCACAGACAGCCTCCATGACCAACGCCTGGCCGCCATCTACGCAGCCAATGTCACGAGCTCTCCGATTATTGATCTCAACGGCGCCAGCCTCAACTACGTCGACACCATTGGGGAGGACGCGGCGCACACCTACAACCTCAGCCCCGACGACAACACGCACCTCAACGCCTGGGGCCAGGTCGTGTTTGGGCGCATGGTGTCGGATCTCATCATTCAGGCGCTGCCGGGGCTGAACAAGTGGATTATTCCCAACGAGACCTTGAGCAACGAGATCTGGAGTGGGATTGCTGCTTAGATATTGATTATGATCGTAGGGGCTTTTCCCGGACGGATACATGATTTTACGAGTTGCAACTACGACGCCGATCATACTCCAGCTAGTAATGACGATATATATGTGGAGCAGATGGAGTTGTGCCCAGTATTGCTTAGTAACGAAAAACGTGGTTGACTTGAGGGAGATTCTTGGGTGGCAAAAGGGAACCGTCGAAATTTACATATCGAACTCAGGCGGGAGCGGCACTAATAACCTGGACCAATTATAACCACACGTTGATGAATCGTTGCCATGTATTGTTACCTTAGGTTGTCTGTGAAATCAATTAGATCCGCCTCATGTCATAAGTAAGAGAGACTCTTTAATTCAAATAGGAATATGATCACAAATAAAAGATTTTGTTTTCTTAAAGAAATACCGGCACATGTCCCGTAAATGTCTAAAAATGTTCTGGTCACTGACTGACTAGCGAAGCTCTTGACTGTCCCAGGTACCGAAAGGTCATTAACAGCCAAAGAGATAATTATCATGACGAACCGCAGAATAACCAGTTGACCGGTTCTACAAAAATAATAATCAATGTACGAATACTGTATTTAGTAAATAAATAAATTGCATCCAAATCTCATCATGAGGGAATCCATAATCAAAGTCAGCTGATTTGGGGCTTCATATTGCAGGTCCAGGTCCAGGTCCAGGTCCAGTGCCGCCCCCAAGGTCCCTTCCGAGCTTTCCCCTGGTCACCAACGACTCTAAACGGCCCATCAGCTTTTTGCCCCGCCAAACGATTTTGGTGACTCCTTCGCCGTACGTCTCGAGTCCATCACTCACTTCCCCTCCACCAGCTCCCCCGGGGTTCGTCCACTCTGGACCCCTTCATCTATCTCAATCGTCTTTATCTTATCTGTAATCGTCGCATCGCATCTTGAGGTTGTCAAGCGTGCCAGCCGTGTCGTTACGTCTTGTTCCCTCGGCACCCAATCTTGTCGGAACCCCCATTTCTCTTGCATCGGCGGTCGCTCGGTGCTCGTTGTCGTCGTCGTCCCCACCGCCCGTACATCACCTACCTAGCCCAGGGTCCTCCGGCCCTCCGGTATCTCGAGAACGTGTCGCGTCATTGCTCGAGTCCAGGCGGCTCGACCATCATGAACCCCATTCCATCAAACCAGGGAGGCAAGTCCCTATCAGCATCGGCATCCAGTTTCAATCCAACTCAATCCTTCTCTGTTCCCTCGCCAAGTTTCGATTCAAACTCTCGTCGCGCCGCTGTGGCGAGTCCAGCTCTCGCCTACTCAGCACCGAGGAAGGGCCAGGCTTCTAGAAAACAACACAAGGATAAGAAAAAGCCCCCAAGAGAGAGTCGGTTGGATGAGGATGATGCCATGGCTGAATTTGTAGGTTGACCCCATGTGCCACTATCATTCCAAGCTCGTAACCTGGTCATCGTACTGACTCTGCCTTTTAGAGGGCTATGAGAAACACTACGAGCCGAAAAGGTCAAACCTCGATTACACATCTTCTAAACTACTCTGCCCCCCTGCGTCATTCTCATGATCATGGGTACGGACATGGGCACGGGCACGGCTACGGACGATCTTCTCGACGACAACCTACGTGGGGACCGGGCTCCGGCTACCACCCGGTAGACAAGGCAAAGTTTGTGCATGCCAACTATCGCTTCGTCGTCGATCCCCAAGGCGAATATGCTGCCCAGGCGAGCGACGCGGATAAGCCTCTGGACTGGAACAATGTCCAGCAGATCATTGCCTCAACCGAGTCGCAATCGACGTCCTGTCCAATATGCCTTTCCGACCCAGTTGCACCCCGCATGGCTCGGTGTGGACATATTTTCTGCCTTCCATGCATGATACGCTTCATGAACTCTACCAACGATGACGAGGCAAGTTCGAGGAAGGAGACCAGATACAAGAAATGCCCCATCTGCGAAGACTCGTTCAAGATTCCGGAAACGCGACCGGTCCGTTTCTACGCCGGTCAAGAGAGCCCACTACCAGCACCGGGTCACGATGTCGTATTACGTTTGATGGTACGAGAGTCATCTTCGACACTAGCTTTGCCAAATGAAGGTGGCACCGATCCCGTCAATGAGGGCGAGGCGGTGCCGTGGCATTTTGCAGCCAATGTCCTAGACTATGCACGAATCATGAAGGGTACGCCCGATTACATGGTCGCCGAGTTTGATAGAGAAATAGAGGATCTGCGAAAGCAGTCAAGCGAGGACGAGATTCAATTCGGCGCCGAAGACGGGGATTGGACTATACGAGCCATTAGGGCAATCACCACGGCGAAAGATCGACTGAAGGAGCCCAAGCCCAGCGACAGTAGTGATACTGCTGTAACGAACGGCTCAGGCAAGGCAAAGAGTAAACGGCCGGCAAGCCATCCATTCCATTTCTACAGTGCGCCTCCGCATCTCTACCTGTCGCCACTCGATATCCGGATCCTAAAGACCAAGTTTGGGGACTATTCAAACTTTCCGTCTACACTCTTGCCGCGCGTGGAGCACATCTCAACGGGACACGTTGTTGATGATATGCTCAGGAAACGGACCAAGTACCTAGCACATCTTCCACAAGGATGTGTGGTGAATTTCCTGGAATGCGACTGGACCGAAATAGTACCAGCAGAAATTCTCGGTACATTCGCCACCGAGTTAGAGAAGCGAAGAAAGTCACATCGGGACAAGGCGGCACAAGAGGAACGAGAGCGCGTGCAATCAGAACGGCTCGAGGCCGCATCCATCGGTCGCAGTGCTAGGCACCATTTCGAGACGAACCACGTCGAGCCTTACGACCCGACGCCAGCATTGAGCTCAGAAGATTTCCAACCCCTAGCCTCGACGACGCCACCCAATCCCAGACCAGGCTTTGAACAGCTTGCTGAGATGTCTACGAGCCCTTCTACCTCAAAGACAGTTTGGGGTACGCGGGTCGTCGCTGCTTCGCCTGATCTTGGCGCAGTCCCTGAGAAATCTGGAAATGATGGATGGCTCAATGAGGATGAGTTCTTTGGCGCCGCAGAGGTTGCTCTACAGATGGAAGCCTTCCGTCTTGATGGGGATGGCTCAGGTCCAAGTACGCCTGGGGCTGCAGGCGGAAAGAAGAAGAAGAAGCAGAAGCAGAAGATTACGCTGATGAGTACAGGCGGCCATCGTGGCAATTGAGTATTTTGGCAATGGGTCTGATGTCATAATCAGCAATCGGCAATAGTGCTAGAAGTAGACGACCTTGAAAGAGACGGGTCATGACATGCCAATGCGCAGATCTAGGGTTTTGCTTTGGAAAGGCGCACTTTTTATGAGAGCGCCGAGTCTGCATCTGACAAGATGCTGGCAAAAGGGCGATTCTAGAATGTTTTACTTTTACGCGGAATGTATTGCATGAATTAAAATAAATAAATAAATGTCAAAATTAAACCTCAACGTGGGAGACGGCCGACTGCATCCTGTTTTATCGGTTGCTTACATATATGTACCTGCCTAGGTAGAAAGGAAAGGAAGTACATTTACATAGTAGGTTCGATGGACAGATCAATAGTGAGTTTTATATCTGGGTACCTAGGTTAGATTGAATACCTACCTCCTTTTATGAATGGCTCGGCTTCGCTTTCCGAGCTTCGTACGCCATCCACTCAATCACGTCTTGAAGTCGGCCCTGGACAAGCAAAATACGATTCTGCAGAAGCCGGCCAAAAGTGATCGAAAGAGCACTTTGCATGATTCATGTGCGGAATGTATGACAAGTCTCACCGCCCTGCGCGACTTCAATACGCACAGGCGCAGCGTAACACCGACTCTAGCCACAAGCTTGATGTTGACAATTACGAGAATGAGTACGTTTGCACTTTTCTTCTTCTGTTTCCAAAAGTCTGTTGTATACTCTTGGATGAAGGGAGCTACGTAGACTCGAAGGCGTTTATCGTGGTCTACAAGTCGGACCTATTATATCTGGTCAAGTGATGAGAAATTCAAGCGGGAGATGGGACAAGAACTTGGCCGCATTGCCAACATGTAACAAGATGTCTCGACCTCCATCACTCAACTACGTGCGTACGAGCGTTTCCGAGGCCAAGCCCTGAGCCCCCAGAGTCGTACCAGCACATGTTTATTCTAGATGTTGTGCCCCAAGCAACGGGGGAGAATCTTGTGACTCGCCGATTCTTCTCTTTCTGTTATTCGTGGGTATTGGGGGGGCCTGCAAAGCACGCAAAGCATGCTGCGAGCAGGGGAAGGGGAAGGGGGGATTTTGGTGTGATTTGTGAGTTATGATCGCCCGGCCCCAATCGACTTGGCATTGCTTCCGACCATTACTTTGCGCCGGCTTGCGTGGATATAGTGTACTAGCAATAAAGATGTGGACTTTTTCGATCCATCCCAGATGTAAAATGGTGATGATGTGTGCTTACTTGCAGCAGACGTACATAAGCAGTGCATAGTAGACATGCCTTCCCCAAGTGCAACGGCAGTGGCGCCGACCTACGCCACGTTACAGCACCCTCCACAGTTGGTCACATCGGGCTGTTTTTTTGGTGGCTCGGTTGACTTTTGATTTTGAATCTCTCTTCTCCTCTTAGCTGTAAAACTAATGTACGATCGGTAATCCAATAGAGAGGCTGTAAATGCTTGCTCCAATTACCAACGCAGATGGCTAGCCCGTTTGCTTGAGGGGGTAAGGGCGGAGGTGGTGGTGGTGATGTTTGTTAGTCCATCATGATGATTATACTAACCTAGACTACTAGTGGTCGAATCCCCTTCCCTGGCGTCCGGGACTTGAGAGACAGAGAGACGACAATTACAACCCCGCAGATTTCCCCGCACTCCAAGTGGGATGATTTGATGTCCACCATCTCAAGACTCTATTCCAAGAGGTCCCACGATGACGAGCTACTGCATGAGAACGCTGCAATACCTAGCAGCTAGTCGGGCAAAGGCTGCAGCCATTCAGTCGGAAGTCTTCATCAGTGCCAAGGTGGAATCTGGGAGCGAATGGCCCCATATCTCTCTCACAAAGGTTCTTCTTTTCCGTTTTCCCAAGAGCCAAATAACTTGACTTGGTCACTAAGCCTTGTACTTGCAATTTGCTTCCCAAGTGATGGCTCTGGTCTACATCATACCAGCCACTCTATTGTTTTCTTCCTGGTCGATTGTTTGCTTTGACCCTTTCCTGAAGTCCTGGGACCAGGCTCATATCGATGCTATGATATTTGATCGACAGACTTGCATGATAATCTAGCCTGCAGTAACTAGGTACTAGATAAATCTGCATCTGTCTGGCTGCCAGCCAACCAGCAAGAATATGCTCAGGCGCTGCAGCTTTTTCTAAAACTAATCTGCCCAATTTGTGATAAACCTCAAGCCCTCAAGAATAAATTTTTACTTGTTCGCCATTTTGGGATCTGTCCCAATAATATACATCATCATTATCGCTCACATGCTACAACCTCTGATGGACTAGGAAACTAATTGCTGCCGAGGAAAATGGAAAATGAAAAAAAAAGAGACATGATACCGATATTCAATGCAGCAGCCGCGCCAACACCACCCATACCTGCATCGAACGAGACGCAGAATACTTCTTGGGGCCTTGGTACAACTGGTCACGCCCACACATGGATACCATGTCACCTGCTGCCAATGCACCCGAGCAGAGTTGCAATGGGAATCTTGAAATACTTTTGCGCTCCTGTTTCCATGGAGAATCATCGCTCCCCCAAATGTGCTCCCCAGTTGGACCTCCATGGATGTCTCGGGCTGCCAAGCAGTGCCAAGATTGGAGTTTGTTCGTTCCATGTACCTACTGAATCTATCTCACTGGCAAACTGACCGACTTCTCCGAAGCGTGGGCTGCGGGGAGCAATCCCATCTTGGTTCATGGCAAGAGCCTCAGTTTCGGATACATAGATTGCCTCGCCTGGTTCCGAATGCCTCCAGCTCAATGGGCTTCTATACGTACTTCCGAATGTGGACATGTTGCTCTGTTCTTCCCGTGTACCACAGGTTCGGCAGCGTTTTATTTTTGTTTTGGTCCATTGTCAACAAAGCATGTAAGTATCCGTCTTTGGAAACCTGCAGAAAGCCCACGCGATGTCCCTCCCGCTTGAGCATCAAGCAAAAAAATAAAAAAAATAAAAAAATCCCTTTGCCGCGTTTCCAGTAGCTCGTGAGGCCGTTCCGGCATGCAGTGTCCGTCCACTGTCCAGGTTCTCAACGGTACGTGTCAGCCAAGCAGCCTCCCCATATCGGTACTTTTCACTCCCGCTCCCAGTCATGCCGGCATGGTCACCGTCACCGTCCACTCAGAGAAGGGTTCTCCGCACAACCCGGACGTGTACAAGTTGATGCAGCTGCCAGGGTGCTCGTGAGTTGTTTCCGACTGCATACCAGAGCTACATACACTACCCGTATATACCTATTTGGCCACACATTTGTATACTGTCAACCTACCTACTTACTGACTGTACATTACTCCAGCTCTTGCTGCTGTACAAAGAAGCAAGCAGAAGCAGGCAAGCAAGCACGAGGCACAGGGTCTGACCCCCTCTCCTCCTCATGTTTTCCTACGTGTTTCCCAATGACTCAAAAAAAAGACGACTGTTCTGTTCCACACTCCTGTCATCGCCAATCACGCCGTGCATATATCGTTCTTCTCTGCCAAGCGAGCCCAGATATGCTCATCTACGCGCGAAGGATGCTCCCCGTAACCGGGCTCGGCTTGGGATAACTTACCTACATACATTAGCACAAGAAGCTACTTGCAAGGGCGCCAAGCTTATGGAAATAACGTTCCAGGAACTAATAAAATCTACTACCACCATGACAGCAACCATGACCCCGGGTTCGGTAAGCTCCTGGCTACCCATCGTCATGTGGTCATCCATGACTTGTGCGTATGAGAGTCTACCTCTGGTAGGTATATATATCTATATCTTGTCCACTGCAATCATTTCAAGTCTCATGTAACCTACCGTGACCCGAGAGTTTCCCATCATTCCCTTCTTCCATTGATTCTTTCTGGGGAGTAATAGAGTCTTGTATCACTCTCATCCCCTCTTATCCGGTCTTTCTCTTTATATAAGCTCTACACACCTGCAGCCACATTAGTAGTGCCTTTCTCAGAGTGAACTCTGAACAAATAGCATTCTCCATCATGCGGGCTCCCTTCGTGGCAGGCTTTGCAACGGCCTTGCTGGCTGTTCCCACCTTTGGCTACGAGGTGCAGACGCCGCCACTGGACACGGATTGGACCTACACCGTCGGCGAGAACCCCTGGCCCGAGCATCCGCGGCCGCTGCTGCAGCGAGACTCGTGGCAGAGCCTCAATGGCATCTGGAAGTACCGGCCCGCGTCCGACGGCGAGGGCAAGATTGCGCCCGTCAACGAGACGCTCACCCAGGATGTGCTTGTGCCCTCTTGTCTCGAGAGCGCCCTCTCTGGAGTCCAGGCTCTTAATGTGACCTACTCCTGGTGGACCCGAGACTTGGACGTTCCGCACGAGTGGTGGAACAATGGCCGCGTCCTGCTCAACTTTGAAGCCGTCGACTATGAGGCCACGGTTTTTGTCAACGGCCAAAACGTCGGTACGCACACGGGCGGATATTGGCATTTCACCTATGATGTGACCGACTTCCTCAAGCGAAATGGCACGAACAAACTGTAAGACTGCCCATTCTAAGTGAACATGTACACCAATTTTATAATCATTCGTGCTAATGTTGAATCACATCTACAGTGCAGTGTTTGTTTTTGACCCTACGGATATTGATCCGGCAACCTGGAATATCCCCGTAGGCAAGCAAACTCGCAATCCAGGCCACATTTTTTACCGTTCCTGCACTGGTATCTGGCAGACGGTCTGGATGGAAAATGTACCAAACACTTATATCAGCGGTCTGGACATTGCTGCTGGAATGGACGGTCAAGGTAAGTCTGCCCCAGATTGTCATTCTCCGGTTCTTGACCCCATGTGTTGACACTTTGTCGCAGTCGACATTACTGTGAATGTGACGACTGCGGGTACTTATCCCGAAGGCGGGACAAGCGCCAGCATATCCGTCATTGATGCAGATGGTAATGAGGTTGGTTCATACGAGGGCGCAGCGAACCAAGCCCTCAGCTTCACGGTCGACTCTCCAGATCTCTGGTCCCCCGACTCGCCCACTCTGTACAACCTGACCATTACGGTAGGCGATGATGAGGTCTCGAGCTATACGGGATTCCGAACCATCTCCAAAGGTGAAGTCAACGGCATCCTCCGGCCGTTGCTGAACGGCGAGTTCTTTTTCCATTTTGGCACACTCGATCAGGGATTCTGGCCCGACGGCATTTATACGCCTCCCAATAGGGAAGCCATGGTCTATGACTTGCACTACCTCAAGAGCCTTGGAATGAACATGCTTCGGAAACATGTGAGTTTTGATTCCCATTTCCCGTAATAATAGACTTGGGTCTAATGTGAGGACTATAGATCAAAGTAGAGCCAGCTCTATTCTACCGCGCATGCGATGAGTTGGGCATCTTGTTGATTCAGGACATGCCGTGCCTCTATCCCAAGGACTCTGACAATGTTTTCCCAAATGCTGCGCAGCAAGCTGAATTTGAACGACAATTTGATATCCTCATCAACCAGCACAAATCCTATCCCAGCATTTACACATGGGTGAGCTAGACACATCATTGGTTCAACTTACCGTCAACGCTAATGCGAGCCAGGTCATTTATAATGAGGGTTGGGGTCAAATCAATGACGGGTCTCTCCCTGAAGCTAGATTGACAGCCAGGGCAAAGGAACTGGACCCTACAAGATTGATTGATGCCACCACCGGTTGGTGGGACCATGGCGTTGGCGACTTCTCGGTATGACTACATGGACCACAATGTGACAAGGTTGTAATGAACTAACAAGTAACAGGATAACCACCACTACGCCAACCCTCAATGCGGAACACCATTTTACAGTATTCGCTCGTCGCCCTATGACCCATCGAGAATTGCCCTCCAGGGAGAGTTTGGTGGCATTGGACAGAACCTGTCTATTGAGCAGTAAGCATGTCCCAAACAATTCATGATTACGATGACTGACCATAAAACTATTCAGCTTGTGGAACGTCGAGTTTGCCATTAATCACATTAATGAAACCTATGAGCTCGATGCCGACTTGGACGCCTACAACTACCGAGCGCATCTCCTGCTCGACGAACTCCGCCAACAAACCGAATACTATGCCTGCAGCGGAGCCGTCTGGACCCAGACCACTGATGTCGAAGGAGAGGTCAATGGACGTGAGTATCAATCCCAAATTGTCATGAGAGTTTGACTAAAATTCACGGCTAGTATTGTCATATGACCGAAGAATCGAACGTCCGTACTCTGATCAGTGGAAGGCTGATATTCAAGCTCTGTACGATACTGCCAAGGCAAAGGCTGGTGGTGGCAACGCGACGATTGAGATGAGCTGAGCTGAGAAACACCGGACGTTATGTAAATGGGGAGAAACAACAAATACTAATTGAAATTTCATGAATAATCAATGCCAATAATGATCAATCTCTAGCCGCTTGATTTTCACCGTGTAACCATGGTCTTGAATAATGAAGAGATCCATATCTCTTGTTATCGCAAAATTTGTAGAGATAAGAAAATATTCCTCCTCTTGGCTCTAGATTTAAGTCTGCAGGATATTTTCACTGCAATTTTAACCCACGCAAAGGGGACATTGCATACATAGTATAAGGCACAGTGCATTGTGCAGTACCTTTATTTAGTATCAATTGTGGGGACATGCTCCAAGCACCATTACCTCGTCACCTTTGTTCAGTAGCAAGCAACTCAGGTTCACAACCTGCTTTTCTCCCAAAATGGCCGGTAGCAATAAAGCTCCAATGCACAATAGATGCCGTCCACTAGGAAGATGTCCCCGATATTTGGGAGGACTCGCCAGAAGTCTCAAGAATGATGCCATTTTGTATGCATGGTTACCTATACATTTTCCTTGCGTTTCTTTTATTTTCGCAATGATTACTCACTTTCGCACGGTAAACATAAGCGACATGCTTAAGTAACACGCAAGCGGGCTTAGCAATTGCACCGCCAGCCCAGCTCCGTCGGCGGTAAGGAGAAACGAGTGCCACGGATTTCGGAATTCATACAAGACACACCACCATTTATAAATAGTTGATTGTATGGTCTTGATTTCACAAGATAGCAAATGAAGAGACATTTTCGATACAATTGCTGCATACATTATTCACTTCCAAAATGTCCAGCACATTTCAGAACATTGCGATTGTGGGAGTAAGGCAATTCTACAAATCTTGCTATTGCGCATCTTGAAAATTAAAGCTCAAGGATAATCGTGACTAGGCATCTGGAAATGTAGGCGCCGCAGCCGTACAAGAACTCCTCGCCCAGGGCTTCACCGTGACGGCCCTAACGCGCGCCTCCTCGACAGCCACCTTTCCGGCGGGGGTCCGAGTCGAAAAGATCGACGACTACAGCTCGGTCACGGCCCTGACGGCCGCGCTCCGGGGCCAGGATGCCGTCGTGTCTGCCGTCGCGACCACGGTGGTGCCCAGCCAGATTGCCCTGGTGGACGCTGCCGTGGCCGCTGGCGTGAAGAGATTCCTTCCCTCGGAATTTGGCGCCAATACGCGGACACTTGTCGGCAATGATGGCGTTACGGCGGCGCTTGGCACCAAGACGCGGGTGAATGATTATCTTGTTCAAAAGAGTTCTGAGAATGAAGACTTTTCCTGGACTAGTGTCGTTGCTGGAAGTTTCTTTGACTGGGTAAGTTTTGCTTTTTTTCTTTTTCCTCCTCCTTCCTTCGTTGGTCTCAGTGTTCAATCATGGACATGCTTGGGAATCAACAGACTAACCACTCGTCATCGCCTACATCAGAGCTTGGACATGGGCACATACGCATTCAACAAAACGACCAAGACGGCGACCATTTTCGATTCGGGCAATGCGCCCCTGCACGTCTCGACCGTGCCCTTCATCGCCAAAGCCGTCGCTGCCGTGCTGCGCCATCCCGAGGAGACCAAGAACCGATACGTCACCATTGCCTCGGGCTACACCAGCCAGAATAAGCTGCTTCAAAGAGCCGAAAAAACCACGGGGCAGACGTGGACAGTTGAGCGCGTTGCCACGGCGGATCTGAAAAGGGTAGGGCGAGAGGCACTCGAACGGGGTGATTTTGGCGCCGCTTTTGGGCCGCTCTTGCAGAGCCATTTGTTCCAAGATGATGGGGGCCGGCTTGTGACGACCGAGAATGACAATGATGTTCTCGGCCTACGCGAGGAAGATTTGGATGCTATCTTTGACGAATGGCTGGTCGCGGAGAAGGGAAAGGCCTGGGCATCAGGACTCTAAGAGCTAGTCGCCTAGAACTTTGTGTGTACAAGTATGTTATTCTATGCAAATAAAGATTATTGGCTAGCAGATATCATACAGAAAAGGCGAGCATAATACTCCCCAAAGTCAGTATTATAAGTGATATATAACTTGATCTAACCAAACACTAAACAACCCCAAGCAGCTGCTAACCTTGGAGATAAATGGTATAGCACAATGAGGATTTGGAAAAGGCCCGACAAAAGTAAGAACCAATATAGCAAAAAGAATGCACCGTTAATCCAAAACAAAAAAGACATGCCCACTGGCGGAATTGAACCGCCGACTTTCGCATGTCGCATATACCAGTGAAGGTTACAAGTGCGACGCAATACCACTATGCCAAGCGGGCTTGTTGAGGAGTAGCTGATCCAGCTGAAGCGGCTGGATTAACTGCTTTTGGACATAGCCGGCTTATAGAGACTTATACTGATTGTGACTCCACCGGGTTGAGCGTTTCTTGGCTTCGAGTGCAATTGCAAATCTGATTATCCACATCACTTTTATCGATTCATCTTCTAGCGGCTATAAATCTGGTCTTTTGCAGTATTTTCATCTTGTGTACACGCCCGCCAAGCGACAGAATGCCTGGTGCAGGTTGCATGCTAGAACTTCCGGACGAGTGTGATTGCCACGGCTCGCATGCAGTCTTTTCAAATTTGTACAAACGAGCAAAAAAGTCTCAAAGCCATGGCCAGGTCCATCACCGATTATAATAATTTCTGGCAGATGTGTGTCGCAAATCACAGCGTGCACGCATCAAGAGTGTAGACACCTTTTACTACAATCATTGGCCAATTCTTGTCACTTTTCTCGTGCGCACCTAAGTACTCATTTCGGTCGCCTAGCCTTTCTCATAGAGATATTCTACGGTCTCAAAAGTACAACCACTATAAAGATTCTCGTTGGAGGTTAGGCGCGGTATTGCCATTGGTATTGGTTCATCTTGTCGATGCAATCACAAGAATATGTCCTTGAAAGCTCCATGTCATCCCAATGTGCCTCGAGAGAGGCGGTGGAAGCCGAAGAGAGCCATCCCATGGTCGCAAATGTCGATATCTAGATCAATTCTCAAGCGCAGCTCATCTGCAAGACGAAACTCAATCAGACTGCCAGTGTCGAAGGAGAGAACATTAAAAAGCATCGTCAGGTGCCATTCACATCGCTTTCGTGACTATATGATCCGGACCCACCAAGCAACTGGTAGCGCCAGGAGTCTGTTTCTACATTCCGGTTGAAGAGATCCTCAAATACTCGACATTCACTATATCTGACAAACCCCAACTATTCTCGCCCGAAACACGACAAAAATCCATTAATCAGCTTCAAAGGTATCACGAGCGTTTGGAAGTAAGGCTCGGCCATTTATTGCATAAGCTGAATTGCCGATAGACGCGAGTCTTAGAAATGAGTCCAAAAGGTCCCACAAAACTCGGAACCGAAGGAATGCCCAGCCCGGCAGTCGGGTCAACGAGGGAATGCTTCGTCAGCCTCGGATTGGCTAGCCATGTAAATGAACTTCATAAAAGCTATTTATATCATCTAACTAAAGGCTCTATTGGCAGTGATTTACTCGATTGTAGGTATCATCAAGCTCCAAGCAAGTTCTGATTCTTGTGTTCTCTTACGTCAAATCGCAATGTCCACAATAAACCCCATCACGGTCTATGTTCACAGTGAGTTTGCTACATGATTCATGTATAATCAGAAAATCAAGCTGACGTTCTTGTAATGTAGCCGGTGGACCGAATCCCTGGAAAGTCACCATCATACTGGAGGAGCTTGGTCTGCCGTATACCAAGGTAACTCAGCAACGGAAGTAAATGGATGGTATTTGATAAGACTGACAAGAGTTGCTTGAATTGCAGATAGTCGTAGATAACCCAAAGGAAGATTGGTTCACGGCCATCAACCCAAATGGTCGCCTGCCAGCCATGATTGACCCAAACAAGGAACTCACCCTCTGGGAGTCGGGGGCCATAGTCGAATACCTGGTCGAGACCTACGACAAGGAGCAAAAACTCTTCGTCGACGACTTTGCCACGAAATGGCACCTGAGACAATTTCTTCACTTTCAAATGTCTGGCCAGGTCAGTTACCTTGATGCAAATGCTCTCAAGTCAATTCAGTTGATCAGTACTGCTTACACGTATGACAGGGTCCATACTATGGCCAAGCTGTCTGGTTCCAAAAGTGCCCCGAGGATGTTCCCATGGCGAAGCGGCGATATATTGAACAATCAGTTCGCGTCGTCGAGGTGCTTGACAAGATGCTTGAGGGAAAAGAGTATCTGGCTGCCAACAGACTGTAAGCTCCGACCCCCCCGCTTCATTAATCCTTAAATCAAAAAAAAAAAAAAAAAAAAAGGAAGGACGAGCCTTGGATTCTAACGGTCGCTGATAGGACATATGCCGATCTGTCTTTCGTTCCTTGGAACCATGTTCTACTGAGTGCACCATTCTTCCGCGAAGCACTATGGGATAAATATGACCTGGCCAAGAAATGTCCAAACTTTATCGCTTGGCATGAGAGACTCATGGCTCGGCCATCCGTGAAGGCTGTGTATGGTCTATAAGAATATATACCTATCCAGGGTAGAAAAGACTTGAATATTGTTAGGTCATACATATGTCCCACTTGAGGACCTTTGTGATAGCGAGAATAGAGATCTTGTATGCATGCGCGCAACCTCTAGTACGGAATCAGAGCAGACAATCCCTACGCAAACTAAGCCACAAATTTGTGCTTTTGAATAACAACTGGCACTTCTGGGCAGATTCTAAGTAAATCACGGCGAAAGATTTGATATAAACAATTTACTATGTTCATAAGCACTCAAAAAGTCATTTATTTTTGGCTGTATCGATTCAAGAACCAAACAATTACATTCTTTGCCATTCATCTGGCATAATTTCGAACACAGGTGCCCTCCCGCTTGAAGATTTACATGATACCATTATGAGCCTCACTGCATCCTCAGGTTGTATATTAGAGCGCAGTCCAATGCCATATTAGATTCTCCGCCCTTGAAAGCCCACGGCGTTCCTCTTGCGCAGCGCAGCAAGACCTTGACAGGAGGCTCGTAGGGGAGCTTGGTTCGAATTAGCAGCAATTTCTATAATTACTAACAATGCAACTTCTGGAATAAGACAATCGATATGGAATGCCGGCCCCCGGAATTGGTCGTTGCTGTTCTCCGTTAATCCGTCTTCCGTGCAAGGCGAACGGAGCTGCTTACCAATTGAACAAGTCATCGGCGGGAGACTACACGCGACTGCCGAATGGCACATTGTAAACTTCCGTATTTGTCCAGGAACTTTTAGCAATTGTCGGTTATACCTATACTCCGTTGGGGGCGAACTCTCGGCAGTCGAAAGTTGACCATTCCATACATCATCTATGGATGCAATAACGAGTGATTAGTAACGCCATGATTGCTTTCATGACCATTCGGGCCAAGGAACTTCAAATTGGTATCCATGGACTTTGCCCAATCGCGTGCCCCTGGTCTTGACTCCATCTCGGCATTGTGTTCATTGCGCTGCCAAGGCTCTCGGGACCGAGCAAGCGTCGATCGATTTGATGCCCTGTGCTGGCGATGTTATCAACTCAAAGTTACGAATTCAAGAAAATGGTTATAAAATGTCCTTGATATTCGTGTCTATTCTTGTAGAAATTAAGATTATTCATCGATACTCTACATTCACCGTGTGCAACTTTGCTGTGCTAAACACTATCAAAACTCTCCATTTTTTCCAATATTGATTTGTGTCCAATATGTATACTCTGGGCCGGACTCTAGTTCTTGTCCTGATTGGGATTAGCCAAGCGATTGCTATGGACCCGTTTGAACCCCAGATGACATTGCCTCAAATCACGTTTCCGGCCAATAAGACATGCGGCGAAGTCAACGTTTTCTACACGTGAGTGTCCTCGAAGAAAATTCCTACTTGTGCAACCAACTAATCTCCCTGGGCAGTGGACTCACGGCTTACCACCCTTTGGTCATCTCCCGGGGTTTTGATCCTGTGCAGACTGACATTGCTCTACGAAATGATACGGCGAACTTGGTCAAGGCTGGTTTTAATGTTTACGGTATGACACTTGTCAGACCACCAATAATTGATGTCAAAAGGCTAACTGAGCTGGCATCAGTACTCTTTCAAGGACCGGATCAACCAGTATCGAACCTGGGAGATCGTATGAAAGGCCGTGTCTGGGACGTGACTGGTGTTGGCTGGGGTATCCGAAACTCCACCATGCTTGAGCTCGTCGATAGATTTGAAGGTATGAATGATCTCACCATTGAGAATTTTGGACAACATGTTAATCGGGAATCAGCAAACTTGATCGAGTTCCGTGAAGAGGCGCCATTGACGCCAACCGTGTTCAATTGGAGTCCCACTTCACTGGCGCAATCCGTGGTTAGGCACGTACCTCTTATTGAAGATTGCACCGACAAGCCAGGAACACTTTACGTGGGTAGCTTTTCACCTTTTTCTCCATCTGCGTGTTTGCTGATAGTCTAATGACAGGCATATGAAGAGAATTGTCCTCCCGAGCTTTGTGAAAAGGTGACTGTTGTCACTTCTGGAAGTCTTGAAGAACTCCTCGAGGGGATTCAATAGTTAGGCCCTCTTTTGTTGGGTTCAAGAATCGCTCCAACACTGCTACACACGATTTGGTCAATGAGAGACGGTTTAGAAGGCTGATAAAACATCCCCAATTGATCTTTCCTAGGCAGTGAGCATAGAATAGTTGAAATGGGGTTTTCATCTCGTGGGAGGTTTCCCCTACTTGACTTTTACTTCAATTTCTGGTTTTTCAATTGCGATCTGCTTCCCGATGTCATTTCTTATACAATTGTTAAAGAACCAAATCCCTCGTTGCGGATATCTAGAAGCCGTTGCGGCCGTCTTCTATATAGCATTCAATTACATGCGTCTCCTTATATATGCCGCTCGGGCGGTTTACTCTTCTATAACATGCGGCTTTATGTTATACACGCGATCTACAGAGTATTCATGGCCGAATGCCATTCGCATGGCAGCTTTCAGGCCTCGTACTCTGGATCGCTCTGCGCCAACGCCTGTCTGACCTCCTCCACATCCTCATCCTGGTCCTTTGGACCATTCCACCCAGTCGCGGCTTGTAGAACCAAGACAATGGCACTGAGGACGACGGCAGCCTGAAAGAGAACCTTCAAGCCAGCCACGTAGCCGTCAACAGCGACATGATGGTCCACGGTCGACAAGCCGCCGTCGTGGACCAGCGCAGGGCTACCGACGAGCCTCTTGATGAGCAGCTGTCGCGCGTCAGAGAGCTTGTCCGTGCCGTCGACTGTCATGAAGCCCTGCTCCAGTCCATCTCGGAGGCTCCTGACAAAGATGCCGCCGCCAATGGCCGTGCCGAAACTTCCTGCAAAGCCCCGGAATGTGGCGAGCAGGCTTGTTGCAATGTAATGCGTGCTGCTGGGTGTCAAGTGCAGCAAGTGTGCCAACGTGCTAGATCAGACAAATGTCAGCAATCTATCCAGACGAGCTCTGAATGAGCGAGAGTGACTCACTAGTTAAGGGTTGCACCCGTGCAAAGACCGTTGGCAAACAAAATGGCCACGTACACCCAAGTAGGGACACTTGGGTTGCTCGCGAAGCTAAGCATGAACAGCGACAGGCCGAACAAGGCCATGGAGACCAGACTTGGCAGCCAGAAGCTACCAGCACGCTTGACATGCAGCCAGCCGACAATGAGGCCGCCGGCTCCGAATCCGAGATTCGTAGGAATGAGCATGCTTCCACTGGCCCCAGGACTGAAGCCAAATACGGCCAGCGCCGTGATGGGAGCGTAGAATAGTCTATTGAGTTTTTACATTATTAGTCTTTGCCTTGATACATCAAAAGGTTTAGAATGCATAGTAATATCAAGTGTTACACGAACAGTGGGCGTGTTGCAAGGATAAAATTGGTGGTTGATTCCTTTCTGGTGTAACCCCAGAAACGATAGTATCATATATCTTGGGTACTTACACAGTCCAGCGTGTCGCCATGAACCCGAGTTGTGCAAGGCAGGAGAGCAAAGCACCACGGTTTTGGAGTACCACAACCGGGATAATGGGATCGGATGCGACATAGTACTCAAACAGTACAAAAGCGACCAGTGTGCAGGCGGAAACAAGAATTGGAATGATTTGAATCGTTCCAGAGAGACCGTAGAGGAAGAGCACAAGAGTACCGGTCTGCAAAGTGCATCAGTGAATTGTTCATGAAGCAACAAGTGTTATGAGTCTCCTGACTTACTAGTGTGAAGGCACCCAGATAGTCAATTCGCTTCAGTTTAGCAAAGGTCGACACCTCCTCGTCATTCTTTTCTGGCCTGAACGAAGCAGGCAGACTGAAATAAACACCCAGGCCTGCCAAAGCGGCGAGGGGGGTCTGGATCCAGAACAGAAATCTCTGGTAACAAGTTGATCAGCTCCGTCATATAGCTATTGCGCCAATGCCCGATGGAAGGAAATTAATGACTCACCCATCCAGTCACCGGAACCAGCTCGCCGAAAACCACAGCACCAAGACTGACGCCCGTGGTAAAGCCAGTGTTGACAAGTCCCACGAACAAACCTCTTCTTCGCTTACTCGTCAGCTCGAGCACGAGAATCATGGCCGTAGTAAAGATACCAGCACCACCAAGACCAGTGACGACACGGCCCAAGAGGAAGACGGGCAGGCTCGTGGCGGCAGCCGACAACATGGCCCCGGCGACAAAAAAGGCCGAGGTGAACAGAATGATAGTCCGAGGCGAGAAGATGGCCGCCAGTCTCCCGGCAAGGGGGCCAAACGACGACATGGCAATCAGGTACGACGAGGTGAACCACATGGCGTGCTCATAGGCATCGAGCTCGGCGGCAATGGTGCTTTGGGCCATGGTCATGCCCGACATGTTACTCGCTGTTTTCTCTCTCATCAGTAAAGCAAAGTCCGGAAACGCACCGCCAACTAAAAGCTCGCATGCAGAAAAGACATACCTTGCAAGAAAATCAAAACATAAACACTCAGGGCAATCGAGACGCCTCTCCGCGGGCTGACTTTGACGTTGGGCTCATCCAGCCCTGCCGCTGCTGCACACGGCGGCGAAGCTGCGCCTGAGACGGAACTACTCCGGCTCGTCCGTGACGTGGTCTCGGAGCGCAGGAGCGGCGTGGTATCCGAGTAGGCGCCCATGGTAGGCGCCCGCGACGATGCAGCATCGTCGCCGTCGAGGTGGTTATTTTCTGGCACTGGCATTTTTCCTCTTTTGTTTCACTATCTGAGGAGAATTGAATTGCCTAATGGTTGGATCATTTACTGAGCTAGGGATGACTCTGATTAGAGAATTGTACACGTTGAGACGCGGATCTCGGTAGCCGTATCGGAGCCGCGGTGCCGGAACCGGGATTGTTTAGTCCTATCTGACTTACCCATAAATGCGCAGCTGTTATTTTAATGTTCCATTACTCAACAACAGCTGAGTATGATTATTGATTTGATAAAGTACCGTATTTTGAGCGTGTACATGACTTGATTTGTAAATGCCATGAACTGAAATTAGCCGGCAAAAAATGACAATGATGTAGACTCCCTATCCTTATCGTCATCGGATTGGTAAGCCGTTTCGGGGAGGTCGCTCGGACAGGGATCGCTACCCGGCTCGCCCGTTGGTGACGGACCGGCCTGGGCCCGAACCTTCATCTCCAGCGGGGGCTTTGGGACCTAGATATCTGTTGATTTTTTTTCCCCCAACGAGTATATTCTTTGGGAGACTTGGTTATTGAAGGCACGATTGACCAAGGAATGTCTGCATGTTCTTTCAGAGAAGCCTCAAATCTCTCGGTCAAATGAGATTATAAACTCTTCGGTCCGAGAGCATTAAGATTTAAGTGACAGTTTATGAGCTAGGCAGTAGTCAGGCACGCGGATAAGTCGTTGAACACGAGGGATGCAACTTAGGAAACTAATGAGAAACTACTTCACTAGTTCTGTCTTTTCTTTCCATATTATGCGTCACTTTTTTTTTTCAAGTTTGTGGTGCATATGTGTGTGTGAGAGAAAAGCATTTTATTGAAATGGAGGAGAACGTGGCGGGCTTGAGTATCTCAGCCACCACTGCCTCTCTTATTTTCACGATGTTCTACAGAGGTCGGTTCCGATACCCTCCGATTCTTAAATGGATTGATGAACGCTACCGACAGTTTCCTCACCATGCTTGGCTGAGTATTACCTTCCGTAGTATGTCTCCGCCGTGCAATAATCTCGTCAAGGCCCATTTGCTCTTGCTGTCCAGATTGGAGGCGCTGCTGTTCTTCCCTATCCACGCGCGCGTCAACCAGTGTCCTGGCATCCCTTTTGAAATCCAAAAAGATGGCAAAAGGTGCTGTAAATACCAAGAGTCCAACAACAACAGTGAATGCAATCTGATAGCTTGCACCATGCTGCTTGATGGCGTACATGACAAATGGCCAAAACGCAGGTCCAGACGCTCCCATGGTGATATACGCCGCCGCCCTTTTGGTACGTTTTCCTTGGCCGCGCAGACCGAGAGTATAGATCAATGGCCACATTGGCCCTTCCGAGAAGAAGAATAAAATTGCTGGAATGGCCACAAGGTTGGGATTTGACGGGCGTATTGCTGCTATCAAGATTGCAAAGAGTATGCTCAGGCCTGTGCTAATATTAAGCACAGTACGCGGTTGCGGGACTTTGGGGTGTCTGGGTGATAAATATGCCAAATAGGCAACAAGAAATCGAGATGCCGCGAATGCGGTATGAGCCACCAAAAGGTAATCCGAAATCGAGAGGGCGAGTGCAGCAGTATCTTCGGATGATGTATTTTCAGATGATTCTTGTCTTGCTGCAGTGCGGGATGCCCCAGAGTTGGAGGCTGCTTGGACTTGCGCATCGGGTGTGAGAAGGCCTCGGAAGAATATGCTCATACTCTCCTGGCCAGCAACATACGTCCACTGCGCCAGCACAGCGAGAGCGAGTGTCCAGGTGCGAAGCTGGAACCCTCCTATGCTTCGTTTCTTCGGGTCCATTGGAAGGTATTTCGTAGATCTCTCCATCTCAGCGTCGGTAACTTCTGGTAGAGGTATGTAGTAAAAGAATAGGGCCAATGCTGCGCACAACAACGTTATCGCCAAGTATGTCCACTGCACGTCCAATAAAAGTGTAGAGTCACTTTCTTGGCCTTGTATACCGATGAAGAAGACTTTCTGTGCCAAGAGTTGACTGACGACGGTGGCGACAGCTTGTATGGCCTGGGCCAAGCAAAGACGCATTTCCGCATAATTCAATGGCCCGCAAAGAGCAATGAAGGGGTTTGCGGCGGTCTCCAAGACGGCAAGACCAAAACCAACCACAAAACTCGAAATCATGAAACCGGTAAAAGAGGTCAAAATAGCGCTAGGCCAAAACATAATGGTGCCGATGCCGTATATGGACAACCCTATGATAAAAGTTGCTTTGAAGCCGCCGACCGAGGGTGTTCCGTCGTGTTTCTTTGTACGGCGATGCTCATCGTGCCGCAGAATCCATTCGCCCACGACCAAGGGGCCGAAGAAATAGCCTCCTCCAAAATACACGCTAGTGAGTCCGATGGCTTGCGCCTCACTCATGTTGGCCACCGTCGCGATGGCATTGTTCAATGTGTTCAAAAGTCCGTAAGAGAACCCCCACAAGACGAAAAGAATGGTGACCACTGTGCAGTATTTCCAAGATTCGGCTACAGTAGTACGAATGATACTCTTTGGCTTTTTCATGTTGACAAATCCAAAAAGCACCGTGTTCTCGCTACTGCCAGTTGTGGCGGCAGTGGCAGCCGTCATTATCGTCGACGATCGACCCAGCCTCGTCGGTGAGCTAGGCTGGGTAGTATTTAACATATCCGGTGTCGTGAGAAATTCCAGAGCAGTGGATTCATGCTCAGCGGCCTGATCTGTACGTGCAATACCATCAGACAGTAGTGCTGGCTCAGGTGCCATGGCTGGAGGTCGCACGACTCCTTCGTCGCTATAGTGCCTTGAGGAGTCCGAAGGTTGTTTCACCGTCGTGTCGGAGGTGCGCCTCGTGCCGTCGGGGTCAATGAGCATGGCTGGCAGAATGCGCACGATGAGTGGTTTGAGAGTCGGTATACAAGCGCAGGTGATGCCGACATTGACTTCTACCGAGGACCACATCAACGACAGAGAAGCATTCCACGCAAATTCCGCCTGATCCCCAAAGGTCGCCTCGGGATTGCTTGAGGTGACCGGTGACACACTTGTAATGGCCTGTTGAAGGTAATATATCCGGACGACGTCAACCACCGTAACAAAAATGCCGAGAGTAAAGGTGACAATCAAGATGATCTTCTGTCGAAACGGCAATCTCATGCCAGTAAGCACTGGGAGTGGCAGAGCCAGAATAGCAAGATCTGTCACTATATTGACAGGTGCCGAGCACAAGAACTCGGTGAGTAGCGGGATGCATTGCGCCTCACCCGGGTATCTATCAAATGCAGCGCGTATGGGCCGACACTGAAAGATATTCAGAAATGTCAATACTACTCCAGCAACGTTGACGACAATGAGCACTGCCCAGGATGCTAGGCGAAGAACTTGCTGCGTATTCCTGGAGAGCCGCAAGTAAAAGATCAAGATGGAGGTTTTTGTGGCCATGAGGGCAGGGTTCTAGTTGAACAGTCAGTCAGTCAATCTCCAATACCATTTCGGGGGCCCATGGGCAAAGCGCATACGTATAAGACAGAAAAGGCATATTCGCAGCGCCGAAGAGTATTCCAATCGCCAGCGGCGATATCGCTGTCGTGTTTTCCCAGGCCATTTTTAGTACCGAGATCGATGGTGAAGCCAACGGCGAAGGCAAAGGCCCAAGCAAGTATGATGAACCAGTCATCCCAGCTGAATTGCCGCACTATGGTCAGGCGGGTATATAACCTTGCCGCGACGAAGACGGAAGCCAGCACGAGAGTAGCAGTTGTGACAGCGAACACACTAGGTCCTCTATCCGGGATGTTGGCCGAACCAGACTGAGTGGCCGACATGTTGTGAGTATGTTCAGCAGTGTCGCGACAACCTTGTGTCGACGAGCAGATTACCGAGGATGCCTCAACTCCATTGTGAGCAGGCCCGAATCGGTTGAAGTTTGCTATTGTAACGGGTTGACCTTAAAGTCGTCGTCGAGTAGATGATTGAGTCTAGGCTGGATAGAAAAGATGAGACATGTCGTGTCACCGGGCCAGTCTACCTACAGGTATTCAAAAGATGCAGGCAACTAACAAGTGCCTGGAAGGGAACCGCTTTCCAAGTGAGACAAAAAGGCAAGAAGCGAGTAAGTGCAGCGCAACGGCTTTTGCGATGGCCACGATGTGGGGGTTGAGTAAGAGTGACCCATATAGCGCAACGCGGGTCTAGATCGGGGTGGTTAGGCAATGACAGGGCCTCGCCAATGGTTTGATTCCTCTCAACCTCTACTCATTCGCCTGACCTTGTAAATGACAAATCTGCACTACTACCTAGGAGGGAAAACACTGCCGGGTCGGATAGTGGGCAGGCTCAGGGCTGCGGTGAGGCAAGTTTGGCGACTCACTCACCAGGCCAGGCGAGGGAGGAGAAGGGAATTGTACGTTGTGTGTGTATGTAGTGTTTTGCCCAGCTTGGTGTTGACTGGCAACTAAGCGATATTGAGCTGCAGGGTGTTATGTCATTTACTGGGCATACATAATCTCAATCGTCCAGATCGCCCATCTCAGCCTCAATCATAACGTTACCCCGCCCACCTGCTTCCCAAGACTGGAATCCTGGGCGACTTGAGAATCGGGAGGCAGCTTGGGCAATGGCCCGGAGATGACGGTAATCAGACCGGGGGGGTGGTTGTCGATGGATGGGAAAGGAAGAGCCGGGAATGGTTTCGGCCAGCTAGCCAGCTAGCCAGTCAACAGGGAGGACATCGAAGCATAGTAGGCATGTAAGATTTTTTATTTTTTCTCCCTCCAAAGGCGGAATTTTTCATGTCTTTGGTGGTATTGATTTTCTTCCCTCCCGACCAAGTGCATTGCAGGTTGCATCCGAATCAATTGCCGCAACCGGCAAGAATGGCGCTTACCACATCGCTTCGCTTGGCCTGAAATCCAAAATCGCGGAAGAAAGAAAAAAGAGCAAAAAAAACCAAAACCAAGTTGTCTGCTGATGGGGGGAGCCAGGGCCCAAGACAAGCGTGTGAGCATGACATAACTAGATCTGGATCGAGCCCCCCAATGGGTGGGTGACGTTTAGGGGATCAATCCTTGTAAGTCCCTGGTCGTTACCCCAGGTTTTTTGCGCCGCTGGAGCTTTCTCATGTCGCTCCTCATTAAGGCACTTGGGTGGTGCTAGAGGGAGGCCAACAGGCGTCTAGTAGTGGCAGTCGTACTGGGCGAATGGAAGAAAGAACCGTCGGTGCTTGTCCGAGCCTCGCCGCTGTGTGAGTCGGTGCTGTCGGGTAACCTCCCACCACCCATTTGACTCCCCCAATTCAAGGTTTAATAAGAGTGCGTGACCGGGGCCATTGGCCTTTCCTAACTGTCGGGTCAAAGCTGCCAAACCATCGAAGCAACCAGTTATTTTGTCTAGCTATCTACCTGGATAGTGTCTGCTTTTGAGTTTCACTGTCCAACCAATAACATTGCCTATGCAGTAACCCGAGATTCTTGCGAGAAAGGAAGGCAATAGTATTTAGCCAAGCGACAAGACGCCGTGGTTGTGCCGCCAAGGATTGAGAGAAACCTCGCAACCTCGGGAACTTACTGGTCAAATGCCCGGCGGTTTCTTGGTTATTAGCGACGTCAGGAATGTAACCAACCCACCAGGCGTTCCCCGAGAGCCGTGAGTCTGGACGAGTCATGACTGTTGTAGACATAAAAAGCCCTTGACCTGACCAGATTCCTCATCATGAACCATTTCTTCTTGCGCTTGCACTTGGAAAAGTCTTGGTGGCACTGAGTACTCTGCAGCAAGAAGTCGGAGCTACCGCATAGAGGTATACTTGCACCTGATTGGGAAATACAAGTAATCATTGTACCTCGACAAAGAGCTTATACTGTTCTTGGGGATGGCGTAAGACAAGCAATCACGTTTTGAGCCAGTGCATAGACGAGGCATCATGAAGATCACCCCTCGCATCCTTCTTCTGGCAAGATTGATAGAATTTCACCAATCCAGAGCTGCCACGCTCAAAAGACTCTGGATCGCATAAATCGCAAGTTCTCTGCATATCACAAATTCGAAGTGCAGCAGCGGTGAGTAATAAAAGTCAACCGGTCATAAGCAACGCGCAACCGCTCAAGGTCGATTCATTGCTGAACAGTAAGCAATTGCAAAAATTGTGGTCAACAGTGAGCCTACGCAGCCACCAGTGACAGTCATATTGACGAATATAAACAATAATATACTCATAATCGAAATTATATGTAGTGCTTCTAGGGAGCAACGACATTCGATCCATGGATGTTGGCTGTGTAAGTGTTATGCGGAAATATCTCTACATGTACAAAGTGGTGCTGAAGAAAGAAAAGAAGAAGAAAGAATAGAAAAAACGATGAAACGAATTGTAAGGACGTCTCAATTGAATCGCAATCCAAATGTTCAATGAATGCTATTCTGATTTGTTTGGCTTGTATACTTTGTTGGCACATATTCGTTCCAAGATGAGCAATAAGCCAGTCGCAATGCCAATTCTGAATGCTAAGGATCCGTTGTCGTAGTGATTTTGGCTTGGTGCAGCTGCAACAAATCATGAACTTTTGAATTGATGACCAAGTTTTGTTATTGCGGGAAATGCGCTGCGGAGACATCATCAACAAATGATGCAAATGGTATTGCGAAATAGGACCGAAAGCATCACCACAATTTTTGGACGCAGGCTTTGGTGATTATTTTCGCCTCTTGTCTGGCTGGACAATGGCTCTGATCAAGTGCGGGTCCGGAAAATCCGTCGGGCCCTGGGCAGCCAATCGGAGGCGCGCATTTGCTGATTAGCCAGAGGGCGGCGAAAAGAAGCTCATCATCAACGTCAATCGAATTGATTGCAAACCGACCGCCGCGGGCAGTAATTGAGAGCTGGTTCAATTGCACTCCTGACGGAACTCTCCACTCTGCATACCCTTGAGGATTCCCACCAATCTTCAATAACCCAGCTCTGTATCCCACATACACGATGCTGGCATCAAGACGAGTCGCCTCGCTGGCTTTGAGAGGTACGTCGCGCCCGGACCTGCCTTAGGAGGTCAACAAGCTTCCACCTCCGAGGAACCTCACCGGCCCTCCCCTAGATGGTTGTCGCCACCGTAACTGACTCCGTGTGTTCGATATAGCCAAGCCGGCGAGCTCAATTGTCCCTCTCCGATCGGTCGCTGCCATCTCGACGACCAGCAAGAAGGATGCCACATCGGTAGCTCCCCACGGTTCGACGAGCGTCCTGCCCCGTGAGCGCAAGGAAATCCCGCTTCCCAGCCAGGAGGGCACCAAGGGCGTCATTCAATATGCACTGTAAATTCTCCCGGTCCTACGAAATTGATATGGACGATTTCGGGTTGTAAGGGGACATGAAATGCTGATACGCACACCACAGTACCACCCTTGACCAAGTCGCCAACTGGGCACGTCAGTCGTCGTTATGGCCCATGACCTTTGGTCTCGCATGCTGCGCCGTCGAAATGATGCACCTTTCGACCCCACGATACGATCAGGACAGACTCGGAATCATTTTCCGTGCCTCGCCGCGTCAGTCCGATGTCATGATCGTCGCCGGCACCCTCACCAACAAGATGGCGCCCGCTCTGCGCCAGGTCTACGATCAGATGCCCGAGCCCCGCTGGGTCATCTCCATGGGCAGCTGCGCCAACGGCGGAGGCTACTACCACTACAGCTACAGCGTCGTCCGTGGCTGCGACAGAATTGTGCCCGTCGACATTTACGTCCCCGGTTGCCCGCCTACGAGTGAGGCCCTCATGTACGGTATCTTCCAGCTGCAGCGCAAGATGAGGAACACCAAGATCACGCGCATGTGGTACAGAAAGTAAATCAACATTGTGATACTCTGGTGGTTTGGGAGAGAAGGAAAGTTCACCGATCAAACATCTCTTTTGTATTGGGGAGGCATTGTACATAAGTCACGGCTGCATAAACGCCAGTGGGGTTGTAGACTGTTTGAGGAGTTCGCAGATGCTTTATACCTGGAATCAAAAATATTCAGTCAACAAGAGGCTCGTCCATGTCTTGAACAACACCAAATGGGGTGGCGTGGTTGCCCTATACCGACCAACGGAGATCACAGGGGACACACGAGTCAATGTCACGGCTAGTCTGCCATGAGAGTCGCTTGTTACAACTATCGCTGACCTAGAACAAATTCATCCATTTTTACTTCAATGCCACTCTGAAAGATGTGACAAATTGTATGTTGTTACAGTGCCACGTACCACGACCCGAGTCTACGATAACAAGATCAGGTTTGGTGGTACGGCTTTGCCTCGAGTGGTCGATTCCCCAACTTTGATGCCGAAGCTCACAATATACCTATTCATAACCGACACGCCGGGTACACGGCATAACCCTTACAGCTCGTATACGCAGGGGAGAAACTCGAAACGAACATTACATAAAATCAGTTCCTCCCTGCATTGGAGAGCAGATGTATATGTGACAGGGGCAAGACGTGTTGTTTAAGAATGAAGAGCAGAACGTATTGCTCAAATGGTTGACGTGCATTTACTGTCCACGCCTTGACTAGGCAAGCTTCCCAGGCACGCACGGCTAGTTCAATGCCTAGGGTTGAAGCTTGATATGTCGATGAATTCAAATTGAAGCTAGCAACAGTAAGATCATGAGAACTTACCTACGATTGGGCTGGATTAGACCAAGCCTCGAAAGAGGGGAAATAACGGCATGAGAGTTGGCCTTGTTCATATTGACCACACATGGAGTTACAGTGAGATTGAGTCGAATCACGGAAAGATAGAGAGTATGATTGATTAATATCAAAGACCAAGAAATTACTACCAGTTTTGACATCCTAAAAAAAAAAATCGAGACAATGTGTCCAAATCAGGCTTGTTTGCAATGCTTACTTACTCTCCACGCCATGATTACATATTTCCCTGTCCTTTTTCTAAATTTCTTTCTTTTCACCTTTCGTAACATTTTGGCATGCTTCTTTTTACGCGGCCACACACTGAAACCCAATACCCAACCTAGAGCAGCGCAGCGACGGCACCCGCCACGGCAACGAGCAGACCAGAAGACGAGCCGACCTTGTCGAGGCCGGCGGCGTTGGTCTGGGTCGAGCCCGAGGCAGACGCGCTCTTGGTGCTCGTCTCCTCGGAGGAGCTCGAGTCTGAAGTCCCGGTGGCCTTGGACGAGTCGGTCGTGGTGGCCGTGGCCGCCGTCGCCGAGGAGCCCTTGGCGCTGGTTGTGGCGGTGGCGGCGCTCAGCGACGAGTAAATGGAGGCATTGTTGCTAGAGAGAATTGCACGTGTTAGTTGAAAGAAGTTCGAATCCCGATTGTGTCCATGTAGATATGGAAACAAACTCACCAGTTGAGCTGCTTCAGTTGGCTGTATTGGCCCTCCCGTGAGTCGTTGGGGCAGTTGTTGAAACATGTCATGATGGATGTGTACTTGTCGCAAAGGCAGCTATAGTCGGTGGTCATGCAGAGATTGAGGTAACCAGTCGTGGTGACCAAGCACTGCTCGAGAATGGGCTGAGCATCACACTAGAATGGATTGAAAGTCAGAACTTGGGATCATGCGAGTCTCAACAGAGACCAAACGTATTTCGATTAATGTCGAATATACACCAAGGTATTCTTACAGTTGGGCCAGTCGATGAGACGGCCGAAGTGGTAGCTTGTGCTGAAACGGCAGCGGCCAGAGCTACGGCGGAGAAGATGATGGACTTCATTTTTCTTTTTACAAGATTATAAGATGGAATATGATATAAAGTAATTAAGAAACGTTAAGAGAGGTAATTGATACAATCGAGATGAATATAGTATGTATGAATGAAGGCGAGAACGAGGGAGATATCCAGAGAGAGAATGAGAGACTCTTGGGAGGCAGCGGAAGGGGAAGGGAACGAGAGCGTCTTCCAAGATACCTTTCTCTCGGGGCCACAAACGTTTAAAGCTCGAGGGCGGCGACCACGACTAGGCAAGGTAGTCTGTCGCCCCGGGTCGCTCTGAATGTAACAAACAATATTTCTATTTAGATGAGAGCAACGCTCGCCCAACCTAATTTCTAAGCTTGAAATGTTAATATTGCACAGCTTGGACCCTGTCTAGTACAGATATGGAGAAGGGACTTGCGGAGCGCGGCTTGGGGATGGATGGATGGATGCAAGCCCCCTCCCTCCCCTCGGCGACGAACGAAAAAGAAACGATGCCGCTTGAGATGATTGCATATGTGTGAGCTGCTTGACAAAGGAGATGCAGTAGTCCGCCGAGTATGACAGGCAGTGTGTTTCTTGGATTCATTCTAGATCATTTCTGATTATCGTGCTTATTACTGCTGTGCCTGGAATCCATACTCTCATACGTCCACAAACGGACGAAATGAATGGATGGGATGGAACTGATGCCGTGCCTACCAGGACGATACGAGAAAAAGAGACACAAACACACGATGAGTCGTGAGAGCGGCGCAGGGATTAATTTAGGTACAATCCTTTTTTAAAGGGGACGGCCTGGGCTGATTGGCCAATTGAGAGGTAGTCTTTTGGTTAAACCCGAGCCAAGCCTTGAAGATCCACCGCTTGTTCTCGCGCTACCGTCGTGCAATAAAGCAGGGGTCTGTCTACAGACTGCAGAGTGTGTACTACTTCCTTAGAATGATACATAGATGAGAATGAGATTGAGACAGACCCTTTTAGCGTACATGGTTAAAGTTGGGGAGACCCTTTCTCAGCTTTCAGAGAGATCCGAACCCCGACCATCCTTCCTAGTACTTTATCTTAGAATCAATCATATTTTAACCTCTTTCTCCCATCTTTCCATTCTGCAAGAATCATTCATCAAGTTTACTCTTTCCAGAACAATATTCACCCGGAATAATCACTTGACATCAAGTCGAAAAACCCGTTGCCAGTCCCCAGAATCCGAGCTCTGAATGACAGGTGCAAGCAATCCGCCGAGGCAAGCAATAGAAAACTATAATGGCCTACTGGCTCCTCTTTCGGACCAAATTTTGGATGATCTGCGCAACGTATATCCACCTTTGATCAATATCATAAAATAAAAAAGGCATGCTTTAGAGTTGACCTGTGACACGTACATTTCATGTGTGCACAAGGAAAGAATGGGCACTCTATCGCAGAAACAAGCGAGATGAAATGCATTACACGGTCCGTGATTCTTGGCATTTGATGTACTCCATATAAACCTTACTCGGGGCCTTCCACCGACAGCTCCGGTACTTATCCCTGTCCGAGTGTCGTTCCTGGGGGACTTCCTGAATTGTCAACAACGTGAAAGATATTCTTCATGCACGATTTACTGTTTGGCACAATGTCCAATGATCATCCTAGACGTCCATGGCTGACGCGTTTGAGGCTCCGATTGTCTCGGCAATATGCGCCTACTCGCAATGGAACTTTCTTGATTGTCTGAGACAATCCCCAGAGACTGGAGGGAGGTCTCCGGTCGCAATACATTGTCGCTTTTGTGTATATATGAGCGTATAATGAATATTGAAAAAGAAGTTCACAAGTCCAACAAAGGCCCGCCGTCTCGCACTTTCGGTTAAGCGGCAACGCAACTGTTTTCCGGCATGCAGTCCTCGGTCTCTATCCTGCTACCACCGGACTTGCAAAGATCGTCAACATTCCATGCAAGTGGGCAGGACTGGCTTTTCTTTCTATGATTTCATCCAAATTCGTCCGTTCCCACGGCAAATGATCAACGCTAAGAGTCAAGACAGGTCCAGCCGTCCTAGATTGCTCTTACCCCTAGTCTGTGAGCTATCGATCCTGAGCGGACGCTAAAATCCATCTTTCACACTCCAAAGCTTCTCAGGCGCCTGCAATTTATCCAGAGCTCATCATATACGTATATGCCAGTGGCCGATTCCAATTATGAAGCCTCCATTCCAACGTGCATAGCAATACTCACCTAATTCACGCAAGGCTCTGATAGCAAAATCATATCATATAGCCCACTGCTCCTTTGGCGGCTCTATCAAGAGCTAATGTTTATGATTTACTCGACACTTGACTCGAAGCAGTGTTCTTCGTAGCAGAAACTTGTGACTAAAGACTATAAGATCATAGCAACAGAAGATGCGCTGGGGCATACGCCATGCACCTCTGCATCTAGAACTTACATCATCCAATCCAGTCTTGGATCCAGATGCGCTACATGTCGCCGAGGTGGCTGGGCAACGAATTTTCTTGCCTATCTAGAGAGAGGCTCATGATCGTGGGCCAAACATCATTTTCTCAGTTACACAAAGATGTCATGCATGTCTCAGTACTCATGGCAAATGCAGCATCTTACATACAAGAGGTGCTACAGAAGCCAAATAGACTCACATAGATGAAACCAAGACCGTTGACCAAACAACCATTAGCCAAGCCCATGAACAAACCACATCGCCAACAAGACCACATCCTTCTACTGTTCCTCCTCGATACCTTCGTCAGGAATGCCTTGCTCCTCGTCAGCGGGCTGCGCCTTATTGGAGCGGCGCAATTCCTCGCGGAGGTCCGAGTTTTCTTTTTCCAGCGCCGCCACGCGCTCCTCCATCTCGTCCCAGCGCTCCGATGCCTCGACGCCAAACTCGTCGGCAATCTTGACGAACCGCCAGAGCCGCAGAATCACGACGAGCGAGGCCACCTCCTCGGCCACGCCGCCGTGCTCGGCCACGTCGACCACGAAGCTGATTACAATGACAAAGGCATCGAAGCAGGTGATTTTGTTGGATAGGTACCGTCTTTTCAAATCAAGTTGTTAGAAAAAGAAAAAGAAAAATGAAAATCCATCTTGTTTGGCCTTGTTACGTTTTTTTTTTTTTTTTTTTTTTTTACTTTCGTGTATACCGTTCCTTGGAGAAAACCAGAACATGGGCCAATATCAATGCATATTATACACACCCAGAGTACAGGATGACCCAGGCAAACTACAAAGGACCAACATTAAAAGAAAAGAAAGAAAAGAACTCACCGAGGACCATGAGCCCACAGCTCAAGCAACAACTCCACCAAAAACAGACTGCTCAAGGTCAAGGCCAGCACCTTGAGGGACTCGCGCGTGGGATGGACCCAGGGCTCGTTTTCGCGGTCGAGCTCGCACGTGATGAGCGCGATGCAAATGTCAGCCAAGATGCCCGCCACGTCGAGCACGACGAGCGTCAGCACGAACCAGTGCTTGAACTTTGACGAGAGCGCCCGCTGCGCCGCCTGCCGGCACCGCCGGTACCGCGTCAGGCCCAGGTGCCCGCTGTTCGGGAACTGGACTATAGATTTTTGCAACAGTATCTTGTCAGTCAAGCCGAGGTTGACAAAGGGTTGTAAGGGCCCCGTGACGAAAATGTGTGCATTTCCCCCCCGGGGCCAGATGAGCAGGTGGGCAGACTCAAGAATTGGTGCCGGCTTGAATGGTCGGTGCAGCTCATTTCTTGCATGGGGCGCGCCAATTCACGACAAGAAATTCGGTGAAAGCAAGAATCAACAGAACTTTGAAGCAGAAATCAAAAACAACTCACCAAGCAATGGCGTTGTATCACTCATGATGATCGCACTGAGCTACCTCTTTCCAAATCAAGCTTAAATCTGAGGACTGGATATGTTTGTGTTTGGGGGTTCCCGCTGGTGAGGTAGAGCTCCGGCCGTTGATGATATGGTGGTAGGTATGCAGTCGCGGTTGATGAATCGAACCTCAGAAAATCAGCCTGTCTTGGGCTGCCTCTTCGGCGTAAATTCGGCAGTGTGTCTCCGTAAAGGGGATATGCAAACGGCGAGTACCCGCTATACAAGGTCGCGATGCCGTGCAACTCTTTGAAAAAGGAATCTCCAATATCAGTCTGATGAATCTAACTGAGCTGCCAAAGCTCTCTTTGACATTGGAGCTTTTGGGTTTGGGACATTGGGCATTATTACCACCGAGTCATTGTTCTTTGGCGTGACCCACCAAGAAGCTACCAAGTATCATACATTCGACCGCGGGAAATGGCGTGAAAATGGGGTGGAAATACTTGGGACGTGGTAGTAAAAAACCGTGCTCAACTATATTAAGTCATCTACTACCTTATCTACAGCAGCCAGAAGAAGGAAAAATATGCATGCCTTGTCCGCTATCGTGATTTGTCCTTTAAATGTCCAAAAAAAATTATCGTAATGTCTCACTGCGAGATGCTAACTCGCGATTATATGAATGCTTCGCCAGAATGAGTCTGTACTCGGCTGACATTGCCACAAAAGCAGTGCAAACATTGTTGGGCATTAGGCAAGGGAATGATTGAAGCCTTCCTTTTTCCACAACTCAATAAATGCGATGATCCGACCCAATGGTCATTCGATGTAAAAAGCACAGGAATGTTGGATAGATGGGTATTATTACGCAACCAAATGCCGTGCCTTCCAACTAAACGGTCCTCCGCGCTCTCAATTGAGCTTCCGAGATGGGGAATCATGAGCAATAAACGACCAAAGACTCAAAAATGATTAAGTGTGTTACCGACAAGTTTCAAAATAAGATCAGTTTCAACCGACTTATTTCTTGGCGGCCTTCTCCTTGAGCTTGCCAAAGAAGGCGCTGATGCGGTTCTTCTTCTTCTTCTCGGCGGTGGCAGGGCTCTCCTCAGGCTTGCTGGAATTGGTGGTAGACTTGGCCGGCGTCTCAGGAGTGGCGGTCGTTGGGGCACTGGATCCGTTGGCAACGGCAGTGGCAGGCTCGGTAGCCGCAGGCTCAGTCTCGGTCTTGGGCTCAGATATGACCTCACTCGTCGTGGCGCCAGCGGCTGCGCCAGTCTTGACGACGGCCGGGGTCTCAACTGCTGCGGCTCCAGTAGATGGCTCAGAAGCAGGTTCGGCCTTGGCCTCAGTCTTCTTTGACTCCTCGTCAATAGCAGCAACCGGTGCAACCTCCTTCAACAGCTCCTTCTCAACAGCAGCCTTGTCCTCAACAGCAGAGGTGCTCGCTGCAGCCTCGGGGCTCTTTCCAGCCTCAGCTATCGACTCCTTCACTTCAGCGGGCACGGCCGGTGCCGTCTCTTCAATGGTAGTCTCTTTAGAAGTGGTGCCAATAGCGCTCTGCACAGACTCGGGGAGCTGCGCCTTGACAGAGTCAGGCAAGTTGGTGGCAGCCTGCGTAGCGCTTGCCTGTGCAGTGGAAGCGGCGGCAGTGCCCTTCTCAAGAGCAATGTCCTTGGCGGCAACGGCACCAGCCACAGCAGCGGCACCCAAAGCAGCACCAGCAGCGGCAACAGAAGCAGCAGCTTCGCTCGCGGTGACGGTGCTCTCAGTCTTCTCCGTACCGACTCCAGCAGTACCTTCGGACGTAGACGGGGCCTCCTTGACTCTGTCGAGCAGTTCCTTCTCAGTGGCGGCCTTCTCCTGGACTTCTTCAGGCACAGCACTAGCTTCGGGGTCAACGTGAGCCTTTTCCTGGCTCTCCTTGACGATTTCAGGGACCTTGTCAGTCTTGGTCTCAATAGGTGCACCGGCAGCCAATTGAGCAGTGGTTGAGGTGGGGGCAGCAGAAGAGAAGGTAGCAACGCCGCCTACAAATGGGTTAGGTTCTAGACACATGCACGACTTTGAGAGCAGAGCTTACCAGGGAGAGTGTCTGCCTTTTCGTACGACTCAGGGTCCAACTTCACGTTGCTGGTCGTGCTCTCAGCAGCGACATGCTCGGGAATCTTCTCGCCAGGTGCGAGCTGGATGGGGTTCACAGCGCCAGGGGCAGCAGGCAGCGGGTTGACGCTGAACTCCTTGTTCAAATCGGCAGCAGGAGTCTCGGGGAAGACTCCGGGAAGACCGTCGGTCTTGATGTCCTTGTCCTTCTCCAGAGGGACATCAGCTGCCAAGGCAGCGGTCGTTGAATCGGGAGCGGCAGAGTTCATGATGGCCGTTGTAGCGGGGGCGTCTTGCACGATTCGCTCGGGTGTGAGGACGTTGTTTTCGTTTCCACTTTCGTCAGTTTCTTTGTGAGCTGTGTGATCCGTCACCCAGTTGCCGTCAACAACAAACTAGAGAGCAAGAACAGGTTAGCGCTTCCTGGAGGGCGGAAGGAGCGGCACGACAGGCAGATTTGGAGAGGCAGCAGCAAGGAACGGGAAGTCTGACAGTGTCCGAGTATGATGATTTCTTTCTGCGAGGAAAGATGGAATTGGGAATTGATGGTGAAGGTGGTTTGAGAGCAAGCGCGATCAATCAATGGGAAGAAATGTTTTCTTCTAGAAAAGGGAGGAACCCAATAGTGCAATGGTTTTGTTTCTTTCAAGTAAGTCGCAAACCATTGAATCTAGTAGGAGGAGTTCGCGTGAAATTGGACCCAGAGCTCCGTTGGGGGGGAAATCATAAGCAATGACGATGTTGGTCCCATTTGCGTGCTCCACTGCAACCTAGGAAACCTTGATTGAGACTGGCATGCCCCGGGCCAAGATCCCTGTCGCTGTCACCGTCACTTGGCTTCTCATACGAAATTCGGATTCGAGAGCAATCAGTCTTGCGACCCCATTGACCAATCAGCGATGGTCCCTCTTGTCCCTCTCCTCTCCCTCTTTGTGAGAAGAAAAAAGACGAACAAAGAGAGCGTGGGCGGCTGCAATCCTCGATGGGCGGTGCGTCATGCGTAACTTTAGCTGAGCACATCCATGGCTTTTTTTGACAGAATCATAGTACAGCTGAGGTATCCCCGGAAGTGGCCGCTAGGCATGCGCTCTTGTAGCTTCGCGATGGGATTCTCGGCAAGCACTGTCCGTCTGTCTAGTCGTCGACCAGTCGTCTGTCTTGCGTCTGAGGACAGTGCACGGCTTGCTGGTGGGTTCGATCGATCGGTGCAGAGGGGCACGTACCCCACGAAGGGTCATCTGGTAGATTGCAAGGCAAGTTTACCCCTCCAAAGACATGACTGCCAATAATCGAGTTCCAGAGTCCAACGGCGCATGCTTTTAGACCTTTTGCGTGAGGAGAATGGTTGAATCCTCATCATGAGAGTTCAAACTGAATCCAGCGCGCTCGCGCAGAAACAAGGGTTCGGGTCGACTACTCCGAGCTTGCAGGGGCAAAGCGGTAAGATGGTGCTATTGGGTGAAGAATAGACGGACTGTTGACGATGCGTTGCGATGGGCGGAGCGTGATGCAAAAGATGAGCACAAACCTTGTAGTAGATCTTCTTGGAAGCATCGCTGAGCTGCACTTGTTTTTCAAAGTGCTCGCCAACCTTTTCTAGCTTCTCCGTCTTCTTCCAGCCGTCAAAGGTGCCAGTCACGTAGACCTCGGAGGCCGGATGCTCCCTATACAGTCCAGGACAGAGGGTCAGCAAGCTGCTTATTCACATGTGTCCTATCTCCCTCTTTTTTCTTCTAATTTTTCTGATACACACTCCACTGCTTGCCCGGTACGTTGGCGACTCGAGAGAGAGACAATACAGCTGTCGCATCTGTACTCGGGCAGTCCGACTGGAGGATGTGGATATTCGAGTGGACGTGGAGCGTTGCGCTGCTGGTCGAAGGGTTCGCGCAGCTCCCCGTGCGCCAGCATTTGGCGGCATTGCGGCCTGCCTAGTAGCAATTGCGCGCATGCGCCCACGCAACGGGCATCGTAGCGGTCGTTGTGGGGGTGTGTCGGGACCACTTACCACTTGAACAGAAAGCTTCCCATGATGTTGGTGAGCTGGCGACGTATCTAATGTGTCTGAGATGTGTAAATGTTTTGCTGAAGAGGTAATTTGGTAGGCGGGATAATTATTATTATAATAATAATATTAGAGGGCTGGGGAAATTTCAGAGTTGAGGTCTGTGGGCGAAGCTTTTTGCCTGCTCAACAGCTTACGGAGCTACTAGACAAGGTCCAGGTACAGATGAGCTTGGGGGAGGAAGCGTTATCTGACAGCGTCGCTCGGTTTTTTTTGGCGGGCTTAGCGGAGGAATTGCGCCTACGTCGTACAGCTAGGCTGCTACCTTTTGCGAAAACTGACGTAATATGAGTGAGACCTCTTTGGATAACAATGATTCAGTGCTCTTTAAAAAATTGTCACGGATGTAATACGAGAAAGAAAGCTATGCCTTGACAATGGTGAGTCGATCCTCAGAGTGTAGATTGTCTTATTCTGCACGGGTTATGTCTGAAGCTAGGAGAGGAAGGGGAAAAATTAGGAGCAAGCAGATGGAAGCTCGACATCACATTTTCTCGAGCGCTGTCGTAATCTATTCGGTACGAATCTGGCAAACCGGCGGCTGCAGAAATCAGCGAGGTTGGGTCACCCATGGATGGTATCGCTCGCAGCTGGAAAGATGCAATCTCACCCGAAAGGAAGTAGGTTATTAAGCCAGATTACGCCAGAAGCCAAATCACGCACGCACAGAGGGTAGACGACCCAGGTACCTCGAGTAAATCAGGTAGGTAGGGCCAAAAAAGGGATCATGTAGGTAGATAGATGTGGTAACTTGGCACATCAAAATCACACTACTTGCGCGGCCATGCTCGCAATGGGCATTGTATCTGGATATATGCTCGTGGAATTCGTGATGACTCTGTATCGTTTTCTGCTGACCTGCGTTCCACTAAAACCGTTGAGATCTTCCATGATCATGTCCAGCCAGTGAACCAACCGGTGCTTCCGCCAACTCCGATGATCAGGATCTCCCACTTGTCCCCCATCTCAGTCCAGTCAGTGCCAGGCATGCACCCTCCCCTGGTTCATGGCAATGTTGCAGCGCTATTTCTAAACCCTGAGCATTGTACGTACTGCGTACGCCTATACATGTACAAGAGCAATTTTAGGGTACAAACGGCGATCCGGATCTAACCTCATCGAAAGACGCACATCCGGGCCAAACAGTTCAGATACTACGGACTGCACGTTGTCCGTTGTATGGGTAATCACGCCTTTGCTCTACACAAAATGGTTCATTTATAGTATTCTTAATCATCTTTGATATTTGTCACACGCAGTCACATACGAGACTGTCGCAATAAAGGAATTGGTTTAGATCGAGTAGAATCGATCGTCCCAGGCACAAGTTGCTGAAACTCTGACTGGTCCAATCGCGCTGGCCCCCCAGCCAGGTACCTTTTACCGTCCTAGCCCACCTAATAAAGGTACGCAGTCACAAGTCGTACCCACCACAGGAGCATAATCGTCATGGTGTAGGTAGTAATGTACAAACCCTATTATGGACAAAGTATTCGTACAAGAGCTATAAATGACTTTTGACAGCGGGCACTAGGCAGGTAGTTATAGAGAAAGCATGCCGCGATTTCCCCAGTTTCTGTGGGATAGCGCTATTCCACAGTACCTACCTATATAATGTAGTAGGTAGTCCTTTTCTTCAACCACTGTCGAATCAGTCCGAAACAGGCCGCGAGCACAAAGTATTACGCAAAGAATGTGATCAAGCATCAAACATGAACAAGTTTCGATTGAGAAGCTCTACCAAACAAGAGGCTTCCAAGGTTTCAAAAACAAACACACTGTCGATCCAAATGCCGGAGACAGTCTGCCCTATCCAGGGCATAAAAGAAATAAGAAAAAAACTAAGAGATATCTCGTTTGCCCCCATAATTTTCACTATCATGACATAAGGAACGTCCAGGATTTTCCCCCAATCTCTTCCCCGAAACATGAAATAAGAAGCATTAGGTCGTGTCATGATGCGTATCGTAAGAATCCCCCCTATTCCATCGTTGTGACGCCATCGCCCTGTCGCGCTTTTTGTCTCGCTATGTATCCATGCTTGTACATCGAGAAGAAGAAATATAAGTGTTGAAATGGAAAAAAAGAAGAAAAAAGGAAATGAAAGAAGAGGGCAAGGGAATATTACAGATCTAGTAGTACAGGTGTATCCTCCAAATGCGTCTATATCTATGTGATCAACGCTGATGCAAGTGGTGATGGTAATGCGTATGGGTGGGAAAGTGGAAGAAGAAAGGGGAGCACCCGCAAAGTAAGGACCAAATCGCCCCACCAAGCACAGACAATATGGAGTCTTTGGAAATAAAAACATAAACCATGAAAGGGGGTGGACGGAGAGAAGATGGAAGGAGAAAAAGAAAAAAAAGGAAAAGAGAGATCGGCAAGGGCGATGGGAAAGGGCAGGGAAAAGAAAAACGGAGACAGCGTCCTCTAGAACCACTTCCAGTTGACACCCGCCTCGAGTTTCTTGAGGATCCCGACAGCGTCAATGAGGAGCCGACTCCTGCTGCCGGCAGCCTCGCCCTCCAAGCGCTTGCGGACCATGGCCACGACGGAAATGGTGACGGCACGACCGCCCACACGGACGTGGCTAAAGACGTCTTGGAGGTTGGCCTGGCTGGCGACGAGGTGCAGCCACCCGAGCGCCTCGAGCTCGCTCTCCCGTTCCTTGATATTAGCGCTCGCCGTGGCGCGAGCGTTGCCTGCTCCCGACGACGATCGCGGGCCAGAGGAGCCGCTGCCGCCGGTGAGGGTCGAGGCGCCGCCCGAGGAGGATGACGATGATGCCGTGGCCGGGCTGGTGCCTCGGTGGCCCAGGGCCCAGCAGATCAGGGCGCAAACATAGATGGCCCAGTAGTCTGAGACATCAGACATGTTCCACCTCCTTATAGAAGAAGAAGCACCGCCGGTTGTGTTGTTGTCATTATTATTAATAGTTAAAAATGCAATGAGTGCCTTGGCGGCAAATCTGGCAGCGGTGGCAGCGTGAAGACTGCCGCACCATTGCTTCAGTGTCTTTTGGTACTGCACAAATGCTTTGCCCTCCAGGACCTTTTGGCTGAATAGCCACGAGTCCCCAGATACTGCGAGAAGATCGTGCAGTGGCGTGTAGTGCAACGCTGCATAGGTGTAAGCGACCCCAGAATCGGGGAAAAGAGTCAGGATCCGCTCCACATCCCCGAGGTCCGGGTTAGAATACAAGTCTATGGTAGAAGCAGATCGCCTAGGGATGCGCAGGACCTCGGAAGCTAGGAAGACGGCCTGGTCCATGGGAGCGGCACTGGCGATAACCTCTCGGGAAATGATATCCTCGGACAGAACAGCAGGCTCCAAGGAGGCGGGCCGAGCATTGGTTAGGGCCTCCCACTCTTCCGGCGAAGCATTCCACAGCTCTTCGCTGGCTGCCGTTAGGGGGATCGGTGGGTAAGGAGTAGTGAAATTTTGCATCAGCGGTAGTTCATAATACATGGAGGTGTGCACATCGACGGCGAAGCACGCTGCAAGGAGGCGACGGCGAGCCTCTGCTTCGACCCATTCGGCCCATCGTGGTTTCTGAAGGGCGTTGGTACTGGGAAGTCCTCCGATAGAAGGGGTAGAGTTTGTAGATCCAAAAGAATGATCGAGATCCGGCGGTTGGGTAATGGTATCAACCTGTAGCGGAGACGTTGAGTATGGGTGCCATTGGGAAGATGACGGAGAAGAAAAAACAAGACTGAAAAGAGAAGAATCCTGAAAATGAGAGTAGGTAAAGAAATCAAAAGAGGACACAGTAGGAGATGAAGGAGGACTCACTCTCGAGTATAGCGACCGGAAGGGCTCCGACGGTTTGATCGCAATCTTCTTACCCCGGAATCGGGCAAAGATCTCACACAAGAGGATCGTCTGCATGGTTGAAACGTTCCACTGAAGGATCTGGAGCTGCTGATTAACATGAGTTTCCACAAGAGTCACACTCAAGAAAGAAAAATTTTTGTCAACTCACCCGTTTCGCTTCTTGCCAGGCCCACTCATGCAGCTGGTTGCCCTTGAGGCGATCCTCCTTGCCCTCGAGAAATTGCGAGCCAACGGCGGCCATGGCAGCGCGCAAAATCTCATCGGGTGCGAGCTCAAACTTGCGTCGATGAATAAGGGGATAAGAAGCGTCGAAGCGCTTCCAGTATACTTCGAGAAAATGCGGAATAGCATCTCGGGCAGGCTTGGGCAGCGTGAACGCTGTCAGGAAGGTGGCTCCAGAGAGGCTTCCCATGAGAGCCGCCTGGCCCTTGAAGCGAGCCCCTAATAGGGGATCATGTGATGCTGGCGCGAGTGTGACTAAAGATTCAGCTGATTGAACAGAGGAAGGCATGTTCGGTGGGGTCGGACTACGAACAGAAGGAAAATGGGATTGAGGGTGGCTGAGGAAGTGATTGTCCTCAGTGTAAAGAGACATTGATGGGTCGATCATTCCAGTGTAGAAAGGATCTTGAAAGAAATTGGGATTGGAGGTAATCACATCCATGTGAGGACTGTGGATGCCTTGGGAAGGAGGCGTGTAAACAAAGGAACTCTGCCACTCTGAGGCCGTGGGCGGCGAAGAAAAGGCGGGAATATTGTAATTCCTCCTGTGGCTATTATCAGATGGGGTGGAGGAATAGCTGTTGCTATCGGAAGATGCCCACGGAGATAATTCAGGTTGAATCATAGCAGGGGCGGCGTCCGGTCCCAGTCCGGATGTGACAATGAGAAGTCCGTTTCCCGGTGCTGTCCGAGGAACTTCATGATAATTTGACATATGCGTGTCATAGGTGAGCCCCGGCGATTCGTCCAGGCCGGGTGGCTGGTTGATGGTCGGAATCTCAGCATGATGGGTATAGTGACTGCTCGGTCCACTCGAGTCACGGCGTTGTTGAGGCGACATTGGCTGGCTCCCTGAAAGGGCAGGACTGTTGTACTGGTTGTCACTATACCCAGAGTATGAAGAGCCTGGATAGGGCTGGCTAGGGTTTGGGCTCATGACCGGACTTGGCTGCATTGGTCCTGGGCCACCCTGATCATATCCAGTCGACGTGGTAGAGGCCCTTCGGCTGTTATCACCAGTGCTCCTAGACGAAGCTTTGTCCCCTTCGAGTTCACTATCAAGTCTATTAACGCTTGGGGGGCCGTTTACGTCAGCATAGCTTTACTTACTGTCTTGTTGCATGACGAGCGAGCAGATCCGCCCGGTGGAACGCCCTCTCACAGCCGGGATAGGTGCAGGGATATTGGGGCGTTTGATGACTGAGCTGGTGACGCCTGGATGAAGATCGATCAGTCCTCTGTCCTAGAATCATAATTTCGGTTTCCTCGTTCTTCTTACCTGAGATGTTCTGCGCGTGTAAAAGTCTATCAAAATGTCAGTTTCTGTTTGATGTAATCATATTGTACATCAGAATGGCTTACCTTGGGTGGTCTGCATATCTCACATGTATGAACTGGCACGCCCTTCTTTGCCCTGCTCACACGACCAGTGATGGGAGTCAACTTGACTTGCACCTCTCCGGGGTTTCCCATGGGCCGGTTGGGTTGCTCTCCTCCTCCACCTGTCCCCGATGGCGAGGCGTGACTGCCGTAACGATGCATCTCTTCACTGTTGAAGTTGCTGTTGTTGTTCCCAGGAGCGGGGGCTGGCCGAGTAGAGGGCCCCAGCGGCGATGCTAACGTAGATGTTATTGCTGTTGATGAGTCGGCGGCTATAGTGTTGAATGATGATGATGATGAGGATGACTTGTTATGCCTTCCCGAAGCGCCTCGTTTTTGTTTGGTAGGGGATGTGTCTAGTCTTCCTTGGTGTTCTCTAGGATGTTCATGATCTGAGGCTAGGAGGTCTCGATCTAGTCTGGTGCCGGATGTTGACGAAGATGGTCCATCCTTTTTAATGACCTGGGGCTCCTCCTTATCTACATCCATATCCATGATAAATTCGAGGCTTGTCATGGTGGCAGAGGCTCAAAATGGAACAGTAGGTATGGGATGGGATGGGATGGGATGGGACCGGATGGTAAAGTTAGTAATCGCGGCTCAGCCCTGCCGCCGAACGCTACCCCCAGAATAAAGTGATGATGTATGTATGTAGGTATGTATGTATGGTAAGGTAGGTAGGTCACTTTGTAAATAACTACCCACAGATGTGAGATGATGCGTGAGGCTGGGGTCACAGGGGCGTGTCTCTGGGAAAGAAGGCTACACTGTAGATAGATCGAACCTGCAGCCTTCTACTCTGGAGATGGGGATCGAGACTCTTGCTCGGCAGTGGTGTTTTCCTTGGTGGATGATAGTAAGGATAGTACCGTGCCGTACCCGTAGTCCTAGATGATGATGGGAAGGGGGTGGGAAGTACCGGGCGGTTAGACGTGGTGGGCGGAGCAACAAGTATTGCTATATTCAGACCGATTTAGGGTTTCCGAGGGTGCGGTTAGCTGGGAAGTAGAGTGTGATTGAGATAGTACAGAGAATTAAAAAAAAAAGTGAAGTCAGAGGAAAATCCCAGAAACTCCCAACGGTAACCATGTAACTAGTAGCAAAGGGTTTCTCCTTGATGCGAGACGACAAACGATGACCGACGAAGCAGTGCAAAGTGCAGCATGGTATTCCAAAAGTGTATCCCCCTGTCAGCTGTAATGCAAGGGTCCCGACTGCAGGCTCCTTCAGCAATGGTGGCTCATCTCACAGGATGCTATTTACGGGGTATCGAGTACAATAAGACTCAAGGGTTCCCGATTGGGAAATCTGTACTGTCGACCCTTAATTCAGAAACACGCGCCGCAATGGTGCAGTGGTGGCACAGCTGATCGCGGTGGGCAGACATGAGAATATTTGTGGGTGGAAATGACACGGTGATGAATTCTGCAAGTGTCTTTTTTTTTTTCCTGCTACCTTTTTTTTTTTCCCGCAATCGCTTTGCAGAGATGCAGATGGGAGGTTTTTGACAGGGAACCGACTATGCAGTGGCTTGCGAAGAAAACAAAAAAAGAAAGGAAAACCTTAGGTACCATGTACAGAGTACCGTATCTATTGTAGGTATACTACAGAGTACTACCTCCACCCACACAAATAATTAGGCTGGCAGGCATACTTGACTGCAAATGATACCGGTAGCCTGGGTCGTACGCTAAGATACCATATTTAGAATAGGCATACTTCTGACCACAAGCCAAGAGGCGGCTTTCCTTCGGTGGGACGGTACCGAAGATCTCTTTCTTTTTTCTCCCTCCTTGGCGGCAGCTTCGCCGACGACCCGATGCACCTGGAACTATGCAATCAGAAATCTGTGTACAAAAGATTTGGTAAGATGAACGACATGGATGACTATGTTTGAGAATAATAAAATAACGACATCCTGATACCAGACATTACAACATTATGCCCAAACGCAGACTCGATTACTACCTAGATAGCTGACGAGAGTGAGAGAGAGAGAGAGAGAGAGGGTTGCAGTGAGGAGGATACATTAAGCTCAAGACCTAGCTTGCTACCACAGCGCGAAATACACTACCCAGAGGCGCAGCATGAACAAGCCCCTGCCCGCAGAACCACATACAGACGGGCGTGCTTATTATTCTCAAGGCCTTGCGCCGGGCGCCCAGTCTCCAAAAGCGATTTCAATATGGTAACACAACTTGACAGGCTGATGTTGATTGTTTCCCTTTTGGCAGGAGTTGCAACAGAATAGGATCTCTTCACGCAGACGGAACGTGATCACATCATGTTTCTTGACGTGATGGCTTGCTTGTATTTTCGGCCTCATCGCTGCCGGTCGTACATGCAGTCACTAACCCATGCAACCTTTGAAAAAACG